GTCATTTCGTCGGCGCGATACGCAGCGAAGGCTGGGAAAAGGGCGAGACGGTTGGAATGCCCTCCGCGGCCGATGACTCAACTCGGTCTGACCACGCCCCTTTCGTTCTAGAACTTTCGCGGGCTATCTCGGCCGCCGATGTGGGGCGAGGAGGTTCGTCGGCGAAGCCACGCTTCCGAGGGGAGAGCACGCGCCCCGGGGAGCCTTTAGATGTTTGTTTTCTTTTTCTTTTGACCTCGCGGCGCCACTCCGACGTTTCGTCGTGACAATTTGGCGGCGCGCCCATTTTTAGCGCTCTTTCTGTGACACTGCCCCCCACTTTAAGAATATTATCTCATAATATTCAAAACCACACAAACGAGCGCGAACAGTCACCACACACTCTGAAAGACTGTAACACAAACCGTCGCTCACGACACTTCACATTCACAATAGATCGCTCAATACAACTGTACATTGTAATTCAATTCCACGACACATGAAATATAGCCACAGGTACATGACTACAACACTTCATCACACATTCCAAACAATACAAACGTACAAAGTTCTCTCATTACCACAATTATACAACACTATACATCACATCACAGCACAGACACTTCGACACTTGTGACACAGGATAACACAACATTAACACAACATCTGGCACTCAGCCCTGCCAAACACACTCCGATTCCACCTCAGCACCTATCCTGTGTATTTCGAGCTGCGCTTGCGTCCTCTCTTGCGGTGCTCGCTCGATCTCTTCTTGGTTTTCCTTGTTCTTTTTCGGCGAGCCTTTTCCAACGACGGTATCTGAGGCAGCGTCTCAGCCATCGTTGTCACTTCCGACACCGTTAACGGGTCATAACGTTCAACGGGTCCTGTCTGTTTATTTCCCCGCTTGTTCATGTCCCGAAATTTGGCCTGGCTGGCCGACTCCGTCTCCTTTACACTGTCGGTCGGTTGAGGTCGTGCCGACGTAAGTCCAGTAGCCCGGCCCGTGAACTCGTTCAACACGATCATCTTATCATCCATAGTCCCTTGCACCACGGCTTCACCTTGGGCTCGAGGGGGATCCGTCACGGGTTGCTCCTCCACTGTATCTCGCGGTCGTTGGGTTGGCGAGGGCTCTATCTTAAGGTCTTCTCCCACACATTTCGGATCATTCGGTCCTCGCGCCCCGTCGATGTTTCTGATGACAAGGTCGTAAAGGGGGGTCGTCATACATAGAGCCGTAACCTTCCCGCTGAAGTATGGGGTTTCAACCTCAATCTCTGCTTCGGGAAGCATCCGAACTGTACGGTCACTTAAGCAAACCGGTTTCGTTTTGCCGGTTAACTCGCTTTCCCCTACCAAGTTTCTCCGCACGATAACAGTGGAGCTGCCGGTATCTCTTAACACCGTAATCTTTTTGCCCGCAACTTTTCCAGGCAGCGTTGGCATTCCTTTAGTAACACCGGTTGGCTGTTTTGACATTACAGCACCCACAATAGGAATTTTCTCCCCATTCTTCAACTCTACGAATCCATCGGTGACGGCATTATTATCAGATTTCGGTGCCACTTGCACACAGGATACCTGGTGAGTTTGACTCACTCCGTTCCGACAAGCGTCTGCTTTGTGCCCAGTCTGACCACACTTGAAACATTTTACTGCCGTAGGGCTCGTAAAGATCGTTCGACAGTTTTTTGCGCGATGACCCACTCGGTTGCACAGAAAACATCGCGGAATGCTCTCTGGTGCAAGCTTCTTTTCTTCGGGAGCCAATTTCTTCGAATCATCGGGACAATCCTTCTTGACCTTGGCCAAATTAGTGCCACCTTGCGCTTCCAAGAATTGGTCAGCCAATTCAAGCATTCCTTCAAGTGACTCAGCCTTCCTCTCTTTCAAGTACAGCGACAGGCTTGGGTGGCAACTAGTAAGAAATTGTTCTCTAATTAGGAGCTCTCTAAGTTCATCGTACTCCTGTGCTGTCCCTGAAAGTTCAATCCATCTGTCGAAATAATGGCAAAGTCGGGCGGCATACTGCGTAGCCGTCTCACCATCAGCTGGCTTTCCTGTCCGAAATCTGTCCCGGAATCCTTCTACGGTAAATCTAAATCGCTTCAGCAAAGCAGCTTTCACCTTTGCATAGTTGGCTGCATCGGTCGGCGTCAGCCTACCGTACACACTGAGCGCATCACCACTCAAGCAAGTACTCAAAGCAGTTGCCCATTGATGTTCCGGCCAATTCTGGCTCTTCGCAATCGTCTCGAATCGGTGAAGGTGCGCGTCAAGGTCCTCCTTCCTTTCATCAAACGCCACGAACAGCTTGCTTGGGTTCAAGCGGAAGCCATGATCTTCCCGTTCGCTGCTTTCAACTCTAGATTGGACGGGAGTTTCACTTCGCTGTTGCAACCGGAGCCGCTCGAGTTCCATCTCGTGCTGCCGCTGCCGTTCCCTTTCCTCTCTTTCTTCTTTCAGCTGTCGCTCCCTCGCTTCTCTTTCTTCTCTCGCCCTTTTGGCTGCCAACTTCTCTCTCTCCAGCTCCAACTTCAATTGCTGCTCTCTTTCTTCTTTCAGCTGTCGCTCCTTTGCTTCTCTTTCTTCTTTCGCCCTTTCAGCTGCCAGCTTTTCTTTCTCCAACTCCAACTTCAATTGTTGCTCTCTTTCTTCCTTCGCCCTCTCAGCTGCCAACCTCTCTCGTTCCAACTCAGCTGTTTTTTCTTCCTTGGCTCTCTCAGCTGCCAACCTCTCTCGTTCCAACTCAGCTGCTTTTTCTTCCTTGGCCCTCTCAGCTGCCAACCTTTCTCTCTCCACCGCCTCTTTCTCCTTCTGGCTTACCCACTTCCGTAGTTCGGCGCCAGAAAGACCCATCTTCTCACCATGCAAGAGCAACTAACTTTTCGAGATCCATTGTATCTCGCAAATAAGACCTTGCCGCGTGCAAAAAGTATCTGCCTAAATCAGTCTATCGGAACACTCCCCTGCACTCGTTAACGAGAACACTGAACAACACACAAAATCGTTCCGATAGCAGTATCATCAACTCGAGGCTCTATCCAACTTCTTTGGACACACTGTGCACCAAAAGGTCCTGTGTCGCGGACGCCAGATTAATTGTCACACCAGTCCCGTTAATTAGGGAGGCGATCGCCGGGCTAATTCCAAGGGCCGAAGTTTTGGCCCCCCGAACCGCACCACGAAAGCGTGGACAATTTAGGAGTGGTCCTTTTTGGCGCGCCAGCGGACGCTGGCTGTGGCCCAAAGAAGAAGTCAGAGCCGAGAGTTGATAAACAAAACAAATATTATATTCTCAAAAGTGGCAGATCGAAAACAATACACAAGAATGCACACTCCACAATAGTTACATACAATACGTCACCAAACAAACAACGTGCTACACAGTACAATCAACCACACTGGGAACAACGGACACAGACAACAATACGCTCTACAATGCAGTCGCATGCATTGAACAACCAAGACACTTAAAGACTAAAGAGATAGAAAACCTATTCAGTCCAAAGTTCTTGGAACCAAAGTCTGGATGATACTCTTCCGAGAATCACTCACTCAAAGTCCAGCGTTGTTGTCGTTCCGCAGCCCTCGAAGTTTCTCTTCCAGGAAACCTCGCCGAAGTTTCTCTTCTAGGAAACCTCCCGTCTTCAATAGGCCACTCTCCAAGCTTCAAACTTCTTCGCCCGAACACGTCGGCTTCACACACGCAGCTGTTGCCACGCGTCCTCGCTCGATAGCGGTAGACACACGCTCTTGCCTGTAGCTCGAGCCTTCACCCCTCAGGTGGAAATCCTCTTCATCTCCGGACAAACCTTCGCTGACTACACGGCGGGATCCCTTCGCACTCTGGCGCAACTTCCGTCTTCTCCTGCTTTCTCATCTCCGCTGCTCGGTTAAATACCTTGCGCGCGACATTCCAGACGGTTCTCGTCATTTCATCGGCGCGATACGCAGCGAAGGCTGGGAAGAGGGCGAGACGGTTGGAATGCCCTCCGCGGCTGATGACTCAACTCGGTATGACCACGCCCCTTTCGTTCTAGAACTTTCGCGGGCTATCTCGGCCGCCGATGTGGGGCGAGGAGGTTCGTCGGCGAAGCCACGCTTCGGAGGGGAGAGCGCGCGCCCCGGGGAGCCTTTAGATGTTTGTTTTCTTTTTATTTTGACCTCGCGGCGCCACTCCGGCGTTTCGTCGCGACAATTTGGCGGCGCGGCCATTTTTAGCCCTCGTTCTGTGACACTGGCCTTTCTTCCAAACTACTCCCGAAATACGGAGGTCCCTACCGTGTGATCGAGCGCACATCTCCGGTCAACTATCTGATCGAACCAATTAAATCTTGAGACATGCGCCGTCGCGGGTGCGACATAGTTAACGTGGAGCACCTGAAGGCTTACTATGACCCGCTCATAGTGACAAGCTGTTTGGTCGAGAGGTGGCTCCCTCTTCGACCCTGGGGTAACTGTAGAGAAGCCGCCGAACAATGAAATGGGTCGAACCCTCAAGTGCTTTCCAGTGGGTGTACCCAAAAAGGACGCCGCTCGCGCTGAGAGTCCGTGCTTGGCCGTTACTGTCGCCATTGTGTATGCTCGCTGTGTGCCGGCTAATAAGCGCCCTAATAATAATAATGATAATAATAATAAATTTCATTGCTGTATGTTGATGGAGGGAGCAGAAACAAAAAGTGATGACTTGTTTAACTAGGTTTTCCATCCCCTTTACAATAAAAGAGTGGCCCTTAGCAAACGATCGAAGAACGGCCTCGCAAAGAAACTTTTTATTTGGTCACATCTTTGACGAAAATAACGTAGCACAAATAAATAAAAAGAATCTGTGACAGTACCTACTGTAAATTTACATAATGAGTTGTTGCCTACATTGAATAAAAGAGGGGACCAGACTTAGTTACTTATGCTGCCTAGCCATTTTATCTCATTTATTTATGTATGTATACCAATTTGTAATGATCCAATTGCAACCTGACTAGCTTTACAGTCTTAATTTTGTTTTATTTTCTCAGGGTGGCAAAAGGAGTAGCAGATATGAGTCTGCAATGGATTACGTTAACTTCCTCAGCAGCGAAGGCACATCTGCTGACAAGCTCTTCCGAGGTATTGAATCGCTGCGCATAGCCCTCACAAACAACCCTGTCAGGTAATTGTTGCTGTTTTGTGTATAAATTGGTCACCATGAAATAAGGGCATAGCTCGAAATATTTTTTTCAGGGTCCCACTAGCATTTATGTGTGTTTGCATGTGTTCGTGTGTCTTTTTTAGACAGAACAGGTTTTTCATAAAAATTTTATGGCAGTCCGGGTTCTGTTCTTTTCTCAGAAACTCTATGTTGAAGTGGAAATACCTAAATTGAGATTACATGTGACTAATTAAAAAGTTCATTAATCAACTTTTGAATTATTCACATGAGTGCTGTCATTTATATAAGGAAGTTGTATTGCGTGCCATTTTATGACATACCTATTTTTTAAAAGTTGCAAAAGTTTCGTGTAATTTGGGATATTCGTCATCGAATTTTAAGGGCAAGTCAAAGCCGAATTTGGTCAGCAAAATCGGCATGATTCCAGAGTCCTGTAGCATGCATGCTAACCATATTGTTGTTTCGGAACAACAAAAAACTTAGTAGTTTAATTAACAATATCATGATGTTCTGCTAAATTCTTGAAAGAGCACTTCATTAAACATGTGTCTCATTTGTTTCGTATTTCTTTCTCTTTCTAGTCTGCCTTACGTGAGTTCCTCTATTTAGCAGCTTCTCTTCACTACCTGACTGTTCATTAGGTTTTATATCACCCAAAAAATATTGCTGTTTTGCAACCACATTTACAAATACTGTTGTTCGGTATTGGAGATGGGAATAACAGGTTTAAAAAAAATTATTTTCATTTCAGAAAGAACACGCTTAAAAAGCCATGACTGCTGATTGTTTGCCTTTGTTAGCTGCTTATTTAGGTAGTGCAGAAAACCAAACCTTACACTTCTTGTGAAAATGACGCTGTGGCCCATTTGGCTTTAAAGAGCCATTTTCCTTTTGATATATGTGTTTTTGTAATGGTGCAAAAAGAAAGGGACATGTTTTTTTTTAAACTGACATGACAATGTCTTTAAAATGCAACACTCCATTTAAATGGAACTTATGTTTGGATGTATCTTCCATCAGTTGGCTAAAGGACTTTCTACAGGAAGGCATGGACAAACTGCTGAAGATTCTTCAAAAGTGTAAACTGTGAGTGTCATTCATGTGTTTTTTAGAGTCAAAGGCACAGCCATGCACTTAAAGGATAATCAAATGAGATTACGTGCATTCAGGATCTGCGTGCTTTTTTAATGTATTGCTCTCAGAACTGTTGAAGCAGAAGTTGCAGTTGTCTGCGGCAACCAGCGGAAGTTGTAAATTTTTGGCATCCATCAAGTGCGACAGAAATAGGGTAACATCGTACAATTTCTTGACCAAATGTCTCGTGGAATTTACGCATAAGTGTGTATTGGCGGATACTTAATACTTTTATATCTGCTGCTGTACTTTTTGTGCCAAAAGAGTAGGTGTACGTTTTGACATCTATGTCAAAATGCAAAGGGACATGGAGCGTCCAGTCGTTACTGTACAAATGAACATTTACCTGCATGACCGACCAGCCAAAAAACTCGTGGGCTTTCATGAAGATGTCTGCTCGATGGTAATTCGGCATTCCGCAATAGTACCTACAAATTAAATTTTTTTTTCTGTTCAGACAACAGCGCTCACGTAAGAGGCAAGTTCAGATTTATCAGTAACAAACGTATGAAATATATTCCCAATTTGTGTTGGACTGAAAGTCTCGCAGCTGCTTTGTTTTCCTTTTCTGCTCTACAGGCCAGGCTTCTGATGTTAAGGGCAAGTTGAGCCTTTATGGCCACAAAATTTTGCCGAGGTGAACATGCATCGTAGCTGTTCCATCCCGTTCCATGTTAATCCTATCTCTCTTTACACAGATGGGCTTCCTTCCGTGACAGGCAAGTTTAAATGATTGGCAATGTCAATATTGATTTGTGAATGCAGTTATTTCTGTATGTATTGATTTCTCAGTAAAGTTGATTGCACCAAGATCTGAGGAGGCAGTGAAAATAAAACACGAATTTAAGTGTATAACAATTCCTAAGAGCAGCGTGCGATGCTTATATTATCTTCTCTTTTTTTTTATCATTGAAAGGTGCTCCAGAGACAATCGGTATGAACGAATAGAGCATGAAGTCATTCGGTGCGTTCGTGCTCTTATGAACAACACGGTAAGTGATTGAACGGTTGTTTTATATTTTTGTTTTTATTTTACTGTAGAAGTGGGCTCTTTATAAACAGTTGACTTGCATACAAGGACTATGGCTGTCGCAGCGGCTGTTACTAAAAGTTCAGCTTGATGCTTCATCTTGAAATTCCGCTTTCGTTGTTTTTTAGAATCGAAAGCTCATAATAGTCCTTTAACCCTATGAGAGTTCACTATGATCTCATCACTCACCTCACAGTGTAGATGATGGTGTAAATCACATCATTATTAATCATGTCACATAACATATGCAGACGATTTCTGTGCTGTAATATTGTTAATGATTTTTATTTCATAACTAACTGATCTATGTCTTTGTTAATTGAATGCTAATATAGGCTTAAAATATTTTTGCCACAGCTGCTGTCACTAATGTTTGTGTTGGGATTGTTTCACATACTGGCCTTTATTTTTAAACTGTTGGGGAACTATGTAGTCAAAAACACCGCGTCATCAGCAGAACACACGGAACGTAGTCTTTGGCGCTGTACAGAATAGAAGGCATTTGCCCACTGATAACGTGAACACCTGCGCATTTGTGACAAGCACATGCCTAACCCCCACGTCACTCAGTTTACGTTCTCTTGTACTTATGTGGAATATGTCTCTGCTGTGCAAATTTGCAAACAAATTTTGGTCCATTGTCACCTTTCATGTTGTGAGAACTGACAGTGCTCTACAAATGTACCCGACCTGTTGAGCTGACCTGATCTCAATCTCGCTTTCCGCAGCCCGGTCTGAAATACGTCTACGAGCATGAAACTGCCCTCACCATTGTGTCGGCCAGCATGGATGTCACTAAGCCTCACATCATGGTGGACGTAGTGAAGCTCCTTGCTGCTGTTTCTATAGTTCCACCTAACGGGTATGTCATCAGTCGGCTGATGCTTGAAGATATGCATTTGAAAATCTTAAACACTGAAGCATCTTTATGACAAAAGCGTCAATGTATGAAGCTTAATACACATTTTGTGATGTTACTAAAAGTATGAATAACTGTACAGCAAGCCGCAAACGGCTTAAAGGATCCATATTTTGTAATTTAAAGAGAATTAAGCATTAAAAAAAGAAATTGTTATGTTACATTTTTGATAGTGACATTTCGCTGTTGCTTTTTTCACCGTCGGTTCATATGTGGCAGTATCCATGCCAGCACGTCACGTGTGCTAGCCATGTAAAGGTCTTTGCAAACACAGTATCCATGGTTGCTTGAGCTTCTTGTTTATGCATTCGTTTGTTTGTTTATGAGAGATTTCTTTCTTGCAGGCATGAGAAAGTACTGAAAGCAATCACCGAATGCGCTGAGATAGAAGAGCGCGAAAGGTTTGCCCCCATTGTGGCTGGCCTGGCATGCACGGACAACGATTCTCTTAGAGTATGGTTGAATAGCTCGTTTACCTGTGCCATCATTCATTTCTATTCATTTTTGTCCATCTCTTCATTTCTTATGAGTATTCAGATTCAGCCTCATTCATAACAGGCAGAGTGAGTGTCCCACCTTGAAGCCCGTGCTTTAGTCATGTCGTCAATCAAACCCACATATTGAGTAAATCACTAGTTGAGATTTAGTTCGCATGTGTGGTCAGTTAGTTCGTCCTCATTTTGTTTGCACTTCACTCTTTATGTATTTCCTGACATTTATCTGCAATATTTAGGACTCATTTTATGCTTTCTTTGTTGTTCACGACTGATAGGAAGATCACAGACGCAATACCAAGCTGTAGAAAACAGCACGAGTTGGAGATAATACGATTGTAGCTGATAGCTAAGTTTATATTTAGAGGACCAAATAGATTCAGGCATGTTTCACAATGCCTAAAGCACTGGTCAGTCAGGGCAATAGAATGAGGACCAAGGGAAGCAAAGGGTAGCAAATTGAGGCAGAGGACGATATGTTATGAATCGAGACTGGTGCATTCGCGCCCGTACATTGGGATTGATTGAGGAATGACAGTGACGTATGACTAGATATATTTCTCGACTCCCTTGTGATCTGGTGTAGTTGAAAGTGGGCTGCTGATTGTCAATTGCTTGTCATTTAAAAGAGATTTTGTTGAGTTATTCTGTTGGTCATATATCTAATTTGTATTACAGTAAAATGGGCAAGCTACTGCACTTGTTGTAAGAGTACTTGCTTCTTATGGTTAGAACTATTGTCTATACACTGCTTGCCAGCACAATGCCTCTTTTTTTTATATGTTCATAGTAACATTAGCCAATTCGGAACAGTTCTAATTAACCTGTCATAGGATTTGATGGCAGCCGACAGGAAACTTGGCGGTCGCATTTCGATGGATGTGTAATGCTAAAGCCCTGTGTACTGTGTGATGTCTGTGCACATCGAAGAACCCCAGGTGGTTAAAATTTTCCAGAACCCCCTCTGATAGCCTTAGTTGCTTCGGGATGTTAAACTCCTTTAACATTAACCAAGCAACCTATCTTGGGTACACGGAGCAAGCAACCTATCTTGGGTACACGGGAGAGTCTGCCATTATGTTACTCTATGCAAGGTTGTAAACATGTGTTAACTCTTAACATGCTGTGGCTTTATTTGGTTGGGACAGAATGCAAAAATGCATAGATATTGACTCTTTGGTTCACATAGAGAAACATCAGGTGTAGTGAAGCTGGTAACATAGGTTCAAGTTCTTGATCAGTTGAGGACTGCTGCTTATCCACTGCATCATTTCCTCTTATTCAGTTTAAGGATAGTTGACACAGTAAGTTAAATTGAACCTCCCTGTAGATTTCAGTGTTGCTTGTTGAAACGAAATTGAAGAGCTCTGGGTTCGAGTGGTGGGTTTACTTGTAAACTTTTCAAGACTACAGGTTCTGGTCACTTTTGTGCTGGAAAGAATTGCCAAGATATGTTTTTTTTTTTTTTTGCCATAGAGACATTTATCAAGATTTAGAAAATAAGGTCTGAAGTCAAAGGGGCAACAGTAATTGCTTGACCACTTGCTGGGTGTTTCGTGTCCTATTAGTGCAGCTTGTACATATTTAACTAACATTAGAGATATCTGTTCCAATGCTGCTTAGCATTCCTTTTTACTTTACATCAGGGATTAAAATGACGCTGCCTCTGTTGAAATGATCAGGATTGGCCAGTAAAGGAATGGAAAAAAAAAAGGGGAATTTTGTTGCTAGACTAGCCTGGGTGCCCTGTTATTCTTCTCGTGGTCTTATATGCATTTTCCACTTGTTTTTCAGGTAGCATGTATACAGCTTATTAATGCCCTAGTCTCAGGAACAGAAGACTTCGATTTTAGGTTGCATCTTCGAAACGAGTTTATGCGCACTGGTATGATGGACATTTACGAGGTGAGTTGGAAGGGATTACTGGTTTCCGATAATTTTATGCCTTGTGCTGTGCTGCTGTAAAATTATTTTGTATTTGTTTCTGCAGAATCTTATGAACGAAATCATCGAAAGCCCCGAGCTCTCCCTCCAGCTCAATATCTTCAAGGAGACAAAGGATTTTGATTTTGAGGAGCTTTCACAGAGATGTGAAAACATCACTCAAGAGTGGAAATATCCTTTTTCTTGTTGCTGCTTGTTCGGAGATTCTAGAATTCATTCATTAATAAATACAAACCCAAAAAAAGTCTTTTTTTGATGGGGTGATTTAGGTGATGCAGGCAATCTGACCTAAGAATCACGTGGTGTAAGTACAGTGAATTTATGGAACTTTAATAAAATGCAACATTTGCAATCGATAAGTTCAGATTAGTTATTTTCCACTATAAAAGTTTCAAGAAGAAACTTTGGTTTATCATTGAAGCAATTTACCGACTTTGCAATGTTTGAAATGTGATGGAATGCTTGTAAAATAGCTGCTGTTTACATATATGTAACATTCTGTTGCATTTTATTTATGACATTATTTTGTTATAGTACCCGTCAACGAACCCAACAGCCTGAAAACTGCTGAGCCTTGATACAGCAACACACAGCAGTAAAATGAAACATGTAATTTAACGTGCTTAATAAATTCCCAATTCCAGTTTTAACAATGGCCTTATCAATCTGGCTGTGGCTCGAGGCTTTTTCAACAAGCTAGCAAAAATGTTTAAAGGTTGTGCAATCCGAGAAATTGTTGCTTGTGCATGTCGTATTCTGTGGAAACAGTGTTCAACAGGAAAAGACTTCACCATTCGCTGCAACAGTACATGACCCACCTTAATTGGCGTGCGCAGGTACAGAAATTAGTTTTATGTATATTATGTCAGTCTAATAGCGTAATTATATACATGCACAAGCACATCAATCTAGTTCTGCAGCAGTTCTTTGTTGGCCTGTTGGCCATGCACTTCCGTGATTAAAATGAGAAGTCAACCGACTGAGTTATGTGACCTTGACTTGTGCTCACTGATGTCACTGAGTGCTTTCAGCTGTTGAAGAGCTCAGTGGCCGGCACGCCGTGTGAAATGTCCTTCCTGTCAATACTGCAGCACCTGCTGTGCATACGTGACGATGTCATTGTCAAGTGAGTTTTGCAGCTTATCAGCTTAGCATGTTTATTGCAGCAGTAATGTTCATGTTTTGAGATACTTGGACAGCTGAACTACTTTTCTTTAGCAATGTGTCCCCGTGGTAGATATTTTCATTGTTTAGTCAAAGTGTATGTAAAATGGTGTATTTCCTCATTAAAAGTGTAAAAAAAATGCAGCCTGTCTCCAAAACTGATGGTGTCATGGGTGTCAAGTAAGTGGTGACCAATTGTGGCTGTCTCGTTTAGTAGCAAGTTATCTCCCAATTATTTTAGTTTTTGTGTAGCTTTCTGTCCAAGCGAACCTAGATGTACCATAGCTAAGATCCCTCGCAACATATAACATGTAAAATGATTTTGCTAGGGTGTGATCAGTGCTGTCAGACACATTGGTGGCTCTTTATATTTTTTTAAGAGAGGGGGAGGGGGGGTGAGGGGGTTCACTTGTTATTCATCTATGACAGAAGCTGTATGAAAATGAAGCTATCTTACAGTTATTTCTACCTTCTATTCTTTTGTTTTCCTCCCAAAACAGACCTGCATACTTCAAGCTCATTGAAGGTTGTATATCTCAAATTGTTCTGCACAAGAATGGCTACGACCCAGACTTCAGGCGGTTTGCACGATTCCCAGTGGACATTGACACTCTAATGGGTGTGTGTTGCTTCTTTCTGCACCTGTGCACTTGGAAAAAAAATCATCATTAGCTTTGAGTCTAGTTGCAAAAACTGACGTACACTTGGTTCTGGGAACTATTTGCATTACTTGCCACGGTGGCCTAGCTGTTATGTTGCTCGAATGCTGACCTGTAGGACGTAGGATCGAATCTCGGCCGTGGTGGCTTGGGGCCTGTGGGCTTAGATTTACGTACGCGCTAAAAAACCAAAAATGGTCGAAATTTTCGAAGCCGTGAACTGCGGCATCGCTCATAACCATATTGTCATTATGGCATGCTAAATGCCAACAATTTTAACAAATAAAAAAGCATTTGCGTTATGTTTGGAGTACATTGTTGCCTCTGCTATGGTATAACTTTGTGTTATGCATGCTTCTTTGATAATGCGACAATGACATGATTTGGCTAAAATGGATAAGTGTTTATGTTGTAATATTGAAAGCAATTTTACCAATTAATCTATTTTGTTGTTCGCTGAATACACTCTTTAGCAGTGATGCATGGCATGCAAAACTCATTCAGAGACAAAGAATTTAATCACTGCCTTAGACTGCCATGGCCTGTTAACTGAGTGGTCTCGACAAAAGGGCGATGTATAAGCACAAAACCACGAGCAATATAGTATAACCATAAATAGGTATGGAAACTATCATTTTTAACTCGTTACTTTCACCTTTTCACAATCTGTATTTTAGAGCACATCATTCAGAGTTCGAGAAGTGAAGAACAAGAGAACGTGGAGCAGTTGCAGAAGAAGCTAGAAGAAGCGCTCACGCAAAAACAGGAGTATGAGGCTAGGTTGGCCAACTATGAAGCTCGTCTTCGAGATGGACAAGGCTTCCAGGTGCGTTGATGTGCAGCTATTCTTTTTTCTTAACAATGCTTTCCTCCGTGTGTTCTTCCTGTAATTAATAGACAAGAGGAACAGGAGGCTAAAGATTCTAGAGCTGACAATACTGCTGTAGCCTTGCATAATTTGAGCTCTTACAGGCCCAACCTCTACTTTGACTAGATCTAGCTTTTCGCTTGTCACTCGTTTAGTTTATAAAATTGCCGAAACAATTAACAATTTAGTGTGCTGTAGAGGCTTCTGTAATGAATGCTAATCAGGGAAACCAAAAAATGGGACAAAGGGCAGACAACCGGGAATGTTGCTGTACTATCAACTGACCTCTATTTTCATGCACTCTGTCATGTAGTTGTGTGTCCACTGAAACCAACCAGATTACAGCATGTGCACCTTGTACTGCTCGTGTGGTCATCATCGTCTCCCCTTTGCTCTTTGCTTTTTTCAGTTCTTATATTCGAATTCATGCTAGCTATTAATCAACTACTTTAGTTGAATACTGATGCTCTTATAATTATTTAGGCAGTGAGAACCTAATAGTTACTATTTCCAAGTTACATTTTTTTTATTTCATGCAATTAAAATCAAGCACATTAGCTGTGATTTTATCTGTATTGCATAGTATTTTGCACTTATTCACAACTGTCAAACTACACTAGGTGCATTTTCTTAACTAGATTTAGCTACAGATGCTACACAGCACGTAATGGTTTCTGCTGGTTCGCTGTTGTCGTGCTGATTGTCACACACTTACTTGTTCCTGCCACAAGCAACATTTAAATGGAGATAACTTATAGGTGATCGGCATTGTAATTGTACTCCAGTATCACCATATTTGTGTGTCAACCTGTATCTTTGCAACATATGACGAGTTAGTGTGACAGCAACATCCCGCACGATAATTCAGGATGCCTTATCTTTAATTACTATACAGTCAAGTAATACTGGTGCCACACAGGGAATTTCGATCGTGATAAGAGCCAGTCCGGATTAGGCTCGATCTGGATTACATGCTCCTACACATGGTCACTTTTAATTGCGATCACGCCCCATCAGGAGCCTGACTATCGTGGCCTTCTCACTGCAGTCTGGCTTCCCATTTTCAATTTGATCGGCGCCTGCATCAAACTTGATCTGGATTATTGTTGTAATCGTGTAGCATGCAATGATTGTTGATTGCGACCAAGAAATCCGATCCAGATCTACCCTAGTAGCAATCAGAAGAGCTCATGTGACAGTTGCGATCTCGAAAGAGACAAGACCGCTTGTCGAAACGTCGGATCCAACACCCACCCCCCATTTACGAATTTCTCACCGCAAGCTTCCCTCTTCCCCTTCTTTCCTTTCTTATCGATATAGCACAACTATTGGGCTTTAATGGGTTGTTTACTTTCAAAGGTATTACGAAGATGCTTAATTTGAGTCATAATTGTTTTACATATCTTGAGTATTATTAGGGGCGAAGCTCCTTATGGCGTCACCCGTTCGTACCTGTTGTCGTTTGTTTGTAACCACCGCTCGTTGAGTCTACAATCCGGCCATAGTTGGCGCTACTTGTACTATATAACAATGCATATTCGCTGAAAAGTGCAAAATTGTCCCACACTAGACGTTTTGTAGCCCTCTAGTTGGTTTCAGTAGAAAGCGGCAGTTTTACTCTTTCAGCCTTCCGATTGCCTCACGTAAATTAAGACGCCACTGGCAGGCCGATCGGAATAGTCGACGCACGCGACGGGGACGTATCATGTTTTGCGACTTTCCAAGTCTCAGTGAAGCAAACGATGGGGTTAGAAAGTACGGGGTCTCATTTCACGTCGTCTACGTGGGCAGTGAGGGAACGATATTGAGGAGAGCGAACGTGAATTCGGTGGCTTGATCGACGTCTTGCTCCAAGAACTGGAGGTATTGCTGCGTGACGGTGAGCAGCCGGTGCTGCTCGAGCCGTCGAAATTCGTCTGCCACCATCTATCTTCGTTCTCGTTCGTGTGATAGAACTTGTGGTCTCCCTTGGCGTTCTTTAATACATAAGAGCTTCGCCCACTCTCCATCATTCACCCTGTGGATATGCTGTCATTTTTTTAGGACAGCCTACTTTTTCTCCTTGGCCCTTCATTTCAATACGTATGATGTTGGCCATTAAGACTGCTTACCCTGATGTCTCAGTGGGCAGTCTCTTCATATAGGTTTCCTATTGTGTTGCACAATTGTATTGTCAGTTGCTTGTATCACCACTGCAGTGTCTGACTGCTAAATTTTCTCATTCTCCACTTTCTCTGTCCCGGCCCAGAGCCCCAATAGTGCCAAACTGAACGTGCCCCCTGGTCTGCTGTCCGGAGGTGGGGCACCCCCACCTCCGCCTCCTCCACCTCCACCATTGCCAGGAGGTGGGGGCATACCTCCTCCACCTCCGCTTCCTCCTGGTTCTGGCATCCCACCACCTCCCCCGTTGCCTGGCATGGGTGGGCCCCCACCGCCCCCTCCCTTACCAGGGATGGGGCCACCCCCACCTCCACCAATGCCTGGGATGGGGGGACCCCCACCCCCTCCCCCGCCACCAGGCCTGAGCGCCATGCTGGGCCAGATGCCCAATGGGGGACTTCCCATGTCGCCGATCCAGCCTGAATCCCTACCACACGGCATGAAGCCCAAGAAGAAGTACACCGTCGGTACCACTCTCAAAAGGGCCAACTGGAAAAAGGTCATGCCCCAGAAGGTAAGGGCACTGGTATTGCTTCATCCTTTTTTTCTTTTCACTGTACCTTAACATTATTCTGCAGTGCAATGCATTCAGTAAACGCACTGTCATACAAAACGAAATGACAGTTTTCTTGGCCATCGCTACTCTGGTATGCATGTCCCCATGCAAAGATGGATACAGTGGGCAGGAAATGGGCGAAATGAAGCACTTCTTGCGATTGAATCAAAATTTCGTTCCCAACCTTGGGGCTCTGTCTTAGCATTGTTTATCACAAGAAGCCACCAACCAACTAGGTGAGGTGAAAGCAGTCTCCCTCACTGAATCTGCATTAAAAGGCTGTGAGCCCCAAGAACTGAAATCAGAGTGATGTGAAAAAGCGTAACGTATTTAGTCGTGTAATCCTTGCAAAATCGATAAAAAGTCGGGGGTTGCGAGAATTACGTGGGGAAAATTCAAGTGAAAACATACAGAGCGAAAAAGAAAATGAAGTGGCCGCAAATCTGTATTCTCAGGCTATCAGCTACAAGCTTAGCGAAGTACTAATAAAGACTTACCTTAGCAATAACACCACAGGTTCAACACAAGGCAACCTTTAAGACACAAAAGCCGCATTCAAATAGTAGAGAAATACCGTACGCAAAGCTTGCGGATGTTGTGGGCCTAGCATTAGCATTCATCACTCAACAATTTAACAACCCTGTATATTGCTACTTTTCAAATATATTTCTCACCGCAGGCCAGTGTAACTTGCCACAGAAAAAAGAGTATGGCTGCTACCACACCCCAGTGCATATTGCTTGGAAGCTGCAATAATTGCAAGCTAGTACATGAAAAGCAGCAGCAGCGTTAGAATATGACAAACAGGGGAGCATGTGGCAGAGTTTTTTACCTGTGTGTATGTGTACCGCATGGGTGTATCCTGGAACCACTAAAGGTGTCTACGTTTCCGAACAGCGGTTTACAAAGAGATGTTCTGCACACATAATTAACATTTACTGTAAAATTTATGACACATCTGCTGTCCCTATAAGTTCTCTTTGCAGCTCTGATCTTGCTGCAAGGTAGTTTGAAGGTTGCCGGTACTGTGCGAAAAGAAATGAGACGCCGTTTTTTGTTTTCCAATGATCCACGACGCCTGTGAGTGAAAACAAGTTGGTAGATCTGATACATTTTCACCAATGTATCACTCTCCTTTTTGGTATACTTAAGGTATTTAGTGTAGTTTTGTAATTATGACGTGAAGTTGCATTGTTTTGCTGCTTTTTACATTCCAGTAACTCTGTCAAGTGTCCTCTGTTGTACACAAACTGATATCTGATGTGTTTTGAATAATACAACTTATGTACGCTTATATATACTTTATTTTGTTGTAAGCTGTCTGTGGTGCTGTCATGAAGAGCCTTCAGGCACTTCCAAGCTGTTTACGACAGCTTTTCGCCTGAAGGACCCCCAACAAATTATAAAATGTGAGAAAATGAAGATTTGATTGATATTCACCAATGAGCTGCTCTTGACCTCCCTTGCAGGTGTCGGAAAAGGCATTTTGGGTCAAGGTGCGGGAGGATGAACTCGAAAGCGAGGACATCTTTGAAGGATTGGTCTCCAAATTCTCGTCAGAGCCACCCATGAAAAAGGACAAGACGGAAGAGAAAGTGAATGTGAAAAAGACAAAAGAACTCAAGGTTCTTGATGGAAAGGCGGCTCAAAATTTGAGTGAGATTTCCTTGCACATTTCTGTTTGCCCTCTTTGAAAGTGTTGTCAGCTATGTAGCTTTGCTGACATGTATTGTGCTATACGATTCTCCTGTGACTAGGACTAATGTCGTCCTGTAATGCCGCATAGTTTTGCAGAGTTGGGAGGTGTGAAGGCTGCTTTTCAAGCTCTTCACATTTGTACTTGCACTTATGTGGAAGAACGAGCAGATTTGATATAAAGTTTGTTTTTGTTATTTTCATACATCAGTCAACCTTCCTAATTTTGAAAGTTGAAAAATGTCACTCAGTGTTCATGGCTTGGTAAACTTAGGAGGGGCAATCTGATTTTATCATCAATGTTTTTGCTATTTTGTTTCTACAAGCAATATTAATTCTCCTGCCCTGCTTGTAGTGAGGTAGAGATGTTTATTTGGTAAAGTGCTGGGATTAAAACTTAGCCCTTCTAAGTTCGCAATTCGACAGCATTGGTTCATTTCATTGAGTAGCCTGAACAGTGCATAAATATGAAATTTGGTTGGCAATGGCTGTTACGATTCATGGATGGTGAGCATGGTAGCCGGCTTTGCTCGCTACTTGCTTTGTAACTTCACATAGCTTGACAAATGAATTTTAGTACCTTAATAAAAGCCTTGAGATGCCATCCTGCCTCTACTGTGAAGGCATAGTTTTACTGAATTTCTTAAGCAAAGCTACTAGCAAATTGGTGCGGAACTCTTGCACAGTGCTCTTTTTGGGCAGCACCTTAGCACCACCTCTGGCAAACAAATTTTGCAGTGACATGCCTAGCAAAAGCAAAAAAAAAAAACAGCTGCCGGCACCGACCTGTTTAGTTTTCTGCCGGCTCTTCTACTTCTTGCTCCAATTCTTCATGACCTTGCCGACCTAATGCAGTGCCAACAAGTTGAAGTTTCGACATTGCAACACCGCGGAAATCACTCTTGCTTATGCAATGGTTTTGCAGTCATACTGCTTTGATGTAGAAGTTAGACGTTTCCTTCACCAATTCACTGAATAGGAGCCTTCTTTTGGTAGTGGTAAATGATGTCTTTTAACGTGATAGCGTAAAAGAGCTCATTTCGCCAAAAATTAGGGTGTCGGGGTCGGCATTGCTGGCTGTGAGCGTAAAATCATCATGTCCGTGGCCGAAAAATCAAGAAAGATGGGACCGAGTGAGGATCAATCCCAGGCCATCCTCGTGGCTAGCAGGTGTTTTAACCCAGAGCCACAATATTTCGTGAAATTGCTTTAGAAAAAACACTACCATATGAATGAATGCCATGTAGTGGAAGCAGGGGTGGAAGTGCTGTGCCGATTGCGCTATTCTACACCAATCCGAGCTGCTGCGCCAGGATCTGCATAAACGTCGATTTCCTCTATAATTGTCGATTGGGGAAGTGTAGGCCGCCAAATATGACCGATTGTTATCATTACCAAGCAACACTGAGCGTTGGCCAGTACAGGACGCGGCCGGCCGCATCTATATTCAGTGTAGTTCGTTCGCATTGTATTTCGGTTTGCTAGTGGTCCGCTTATCGCAGTTATCGCCATGGTTTTCCCGCTATAGTGGTGGCTCAACATGAGTGACTGTGAATTATCTAGTAATAACGTGGATAATTTGTACCAGCCAGGAATGCGGCATGATCATGCACTAAATAGCACTGCGCGCTTACAAGCACAAATGTATATCTCCTGAAACAGATGCAGTAACATAGCAGATGTTGCCGAAAATACCCACCAGAAAGTCTTTTCTTAGTTCTGCCGAAGTGAGAAATAGATGCTAAGCTTGCACTCTCGGAACGATCCTTTAATAGCGCGCAGTACTGATGCTAAGGAGAATTTCAAAGCTACCACAGGGTGCGGTCTGTCTGCAATACGCAGTGACTGAAATAGCGATAGAACAGACACTATTGGCTTTCCGCAATACATATGTGCTCTTCTCTACTGTGATACTAAGCGACAACTGACAGTTTCATTGAAACGCGGAGCAATGGCGTTGACTCTGATAATTTTCTGGGTAGTTGCGTACAGCGTGGCGCCTACTCTGCCCACGCTGCTGGATGGCTCCCGCTTCTGTCCGCTCAGATTCGCCAGGTGTTTTGCTCGTCCCCATTTCACTCCAGACCGAGCACAGATGAGCAGAGTTGTGTGCTTAATTAGCGTCAGAAAAATAAACTTCCGCCAAGCGAAGTATGCCGCGATTATCTATACTTCGTTTCACACATTTGGTGCAGCAGCAGTTGCAACGCTGCGGTGGCCAGCAAGACTCTTTGGAGTAGGTGTGTTAATGTAAAAAAATAGTTCGTTATTTTTACCACGCGGAATATATTTTTCTTTTCGGTTCAATCCGAGTATTGATTGAGCATGTTTTGTATCACAGACACACACACATTTGGGGGTCGTAAGTCTGGTAGCTCATTAGTACTGAATGTTTAGTGAGAACCATTGCCCCGCCACGGTGATCTAGCGGCTTAGGTATTTGGCTGCTGACCCGCAGGTCGCGGGATTGAATCTTGGCTGCGGCGGCTGCATTTTGGATGAAGGCAAAAATGTTGAGGCCCATGTGCTCAGATTTGGGGGCACGTTAAAGAATCTCAGGTGGTCGAAATTTCCGGAGCCCGCCACTACGGCATCTCTCATATGGTGGTTTTGGGATGTTAAACCCTAAATATGATTCATTAGTAAGAACCATTGGATTTATCCTTTTACCAGAAATAACCTTGACTGACGATGACATTTCACTCTAGAAAGCTGCTCCCAAAATAATTTGCGTTCCTCCAAAACACACCTTTTGGTGCTCCGAACTTGCTCCAAAACTTTCCGTTTACTGCGCCAAAGCTGCTCCAAAACAGCATTATTCCTGCTCCCTGAGCTGCTCCAAAACAATGAAGTCCATTTCCACCCCTGTGGAAGGAGTCTTTTTGACGCATCATATATTGCATAGCAGAAGCATGGAATTTAGCACTGAGTGGGTGTTTTAAAGGCCCACTCAATACAAAGCTTTCAGATACCATCATAAGCAGCAGAACCATCAAAAAGTGAACCACTGCATAGGTTCGTGTGTTGCCTTACGGACACATAGTGGGCCCTTCACTGACTAACAAAAAGAATAATTATGGCGAAGTGGGCACTTTACAACTGTGCTTGGAATTCGTAACTCCATAAACTGCTCAGTGTGCTGGCAACTATGATCGGAAAAAACAAAGATGTCTTCGTAGTAGGGTCAACACGGCACTTTAGCTTAGCGCTGTGCTGAAGTTTCTCAATTGTGGCGTCAGATCGCGTTGCTTTGTCGAAGGCGAAAGGGTGCTGGCCATAAAGGAACTATGCCGCCACTTTCAATGCGCGCAACGTGGTAACATGTCTTCTTCCAACATTGACCCTTTTAGTGCTGTTCACAGGCATGGCCACTAGGTGGTGAGCACTGATACTTTGAAATGGCCACTGTTACCTGCACAGCCGTTCGTTTCCTTACGGCAGGGTTGAGACGTGCACCGAGAACTGAAGCAGGCCAGCAGTTCAGAAGGCGAAGTGCACGAGGCTTGACTATGCTTTCGCGATCTACTCTTGATGGCGGAGCTCAAGCATTCTCCTGTGTTTTGTTTCTTGTGTGTCTCTTCTTTAATCTTTGAAGTGTTTGCATAGACACAGCAGCCCCCTATAGTTTCACTTTTATTTTGCACTGTGTTTTTCAGTGATATTACAAGGCTCACTAAAGATGTCGGCAGCCACGATACGTGACTACATTCTGGAGGTTAACGAGGAACACCTGACGGAAGCCATGTTGCAGCAGCTCATCAAGAACATGCCAGAGGCTGACCAGCTCAAGAAGCTCTGTGAGCTCAAAGACAACCTCAGCGATTTGGCTGAGGCTGAGCAGTTTGCCATCACGGTGAGGCAGTTCTTGCGAAGCATACTCAAGAGAGAAAAATGTTTTCCTTATACTAAAAAGTTGCCTTTCTCAAATACCCCCCCCCCCCCCCAAAAAAAAAAAAAAACGCTCTTGTCATAAGAAGAGTCAGAAGACATTTGGTGAGACAGAAAAGGCACACTGTCGCTGTGGCATTACCTTGACCCTGAGAAAAAAGCTGCAGTGTTGCAAGGTTTTCTCCGGAAAAAAAGGTTGATGACACCAGTTTGCCACAACATTGTAGCTTTCACCAGTGTCTTCCGGGTCATATTTAGTACTTTATCAGTTACAATAGGCTTTACATCGTAAAGGAGCTGGAGATGACCCAGCACATTTCAGTCTTATTATTGTTAAGCAAGCATTAGCGAATATCCATAGGTTTGACTGCTCAGTTGCAATGTGCATTGTATATTCAATTGAGATTTAAAGACCTTGAAGAACTACTGCTAGTGTCTAATATGCTATTATGCAGCAAAAGAAAAAACAATAAGTTACCATAGTTTCAGTTTAAAGCGGCGCTTCAGTATTCTTGGATTCACGTCCTGCCGTTAGCGTGATTTGTTCTATCCACTTTTGTTGCCTTTTTCTTTGCCACAGGCAAAGGTGTCTCGCATTATTGCTTCCTTCCATCAACAGTGATTTGCTTTTTGAAAGTTACTTCATTAATGATCACTTCCTGTTTGTCTGCACTGGAAGTGATGCGATTGCTTTTTCATGATTTCATCTTGAATTTATAACAGGTGCAACAATGGACAAGAGTCGAAAAGGGCACTCGCAGTGCTCGGCGAAGTTTGTCTTTCAGTAGCTTGTACCACAGTTATAAATCTGAATGTTTAGCTAACAAGCCCAAAAAGTTTGACTGTATCAATGCTTTCCAGATTGGGAGCATCAAGAGGATTCATTCGAGGCTTGAGTCTATCAGCTTCAAGCTTCGATTCGCAGAAATGGTGCAGGACCTAAAACCCGTAAGTTGACCTTGCCTGCAGCACCAGTTTTTGAGCGGAAGTATGCTATCTACGATGCATAAATGCGTCGTTGTGACCCTGTTCCTGTTTTGTTTGTCCAGAGCATTGTGGCAGCCACTGAAGCATGCGAGGAGATCAAGTCGAGCCAGAAATTCGCGAAAGTGTTGCAACTCGTCCTGCTGCTTGGCAATTATATGAACACCGGTTCCAGAAATGCGCAGGCCATTGGTTTCGACATCAGCTTTTTGCCCAAGGTATCGCAAGCGTTGGCAATTGCCTCTTAACATTTTTCATCTGGAAGCATCTGGCCATGCTCTCAGTGTTCAGTGTGGTAGGTTTTAAGCTGCAGGTACATTTAATGCAAGGGTCTATAGTGGACTGTGGATCCGTTTGAAACTTTGCAGGAGAGAAATATTCATTAGTTAGCGTAATCATGCATGTGCACATGCACACCTCCTTCTGGACTCTGTTCTTTTTGTGTTGCAATAACAGACATTGTACTCATCGGTAAGTTGAACACCGTATCATTTCCAGTCACTGTAATCGTGGCTTTGCAGTGTAGGAAGTTGTACGAATGGCTAAGTAGCACTTGCTGATAGAGGAGAGTGACGTCATGCCTACTTCTTGAATACAACTAGCATGTGTCTCACTTTCTGAAAAACTACTTCAGGCTTCAGGCGTGTTGCTCTGTTCAGCTTTCAGGAACGAAATCGCACGACCAGAAGACAACCCTGCTCCACTTTCTGGCCGAGACAATAGAGAAGAAGTTCCCCGACGTGTTGTCCTTCGGCGACGAGCTTAGCTATGCAGAGAAAGCAGCACGGGGTGAGTTGTAATCGGAAATGGTGTTGTTAAAAGAACTTTCAGTGTAGTTATGGCTTTTCCTAGCTTTAATATCATAAAAAGATTCTTTGACCTATGTGAATGTTACTTTCATGGCTTGTGAACTTTTGCTTGCTTTCCAATTCTAGAGTTTTTGCCTCGGCATAGCACTGCCTTTAGGAGATTTTTTAGATTTTTTTCTGTGTGTCCTGGCATCTTCGTATGTGCCTCATTTGTGGTAGTAAACAAGTGACTTATTACTTTTTGCTTGTTAAAGCATCAAGTATTTTATTTCAGCAACCATAGGTTAATTCAAAAGAGAGATTCATTGAAGATATTGGTTTGAAAAGATGCTTTGTTCAATGAAGGCTCCAATAATGATTTAAAAAAAAAAACAATTGTTTTGTGTACTTCTATGGCAACTTTATTATTTCACCCTCCAGCATTGACCGTGTTTCAAGTGACAATTGAAATTTTTGCTTGTGAGTTTGTGGCATTTTTCGGTTTCCCAAGCAGTTGTGAGAGTTGTACTAGTTTAAGCTTGGGCGTATGCAACATTTGGAAGCTTATGACTCGCATAACATTTTCAAAAGTTATTCGGCAGCATTTTGAATCTCACATGAAGGCATTGCCATGTTTCATTCATTGGAGTTGGACCACATTCTGAGGTTAATGTCGACCATAATATCCTTGTCTTGTCGACATGCTGAAGGTACTGCTTATGTCACTGACATGTTGCTAAACATCTCCATGATCAGAGATAGAACATGTTTGACATAAACATCAGTGAAGACCTATGCAGTTTCCGGCCCTCTAAGTGCCACGGCAGCCCATTTTTCTAGCTGCATTCATGTTGAGTGCTGCCAGTGTGCATTTGTGGGTATCTCCTTAAGTTAGCATAATTATAACGCAGAATCAGCTTCTTGAGCCTGCTAAATTGGCAATTGTAATGTGTAAACTTCTCGGGAGGCATCTTGGGGAAGTCTAACAAATTCATTGAAGCAAGGAGAACAAAAGTAAGCCAGGGACAGTCGGACATAGCCCGATTTGACTGGCGTTATGTGATGTATGGCAACTCACGCTTGCTGCTGCTCTTTTCTTCTAACCCCTTTCAATGTCCTTTACATTTGCAGTTTCTCCTGATCAGTTGGAGAAAAACCTTGCGCAGATGAAGAAGTGCATTGCTCAGTTGGGCACCGACCTTAAGACATTCAAGTCCCAGGGTCCCAATGATCGGTTCGCTGAAGTCATGAGTGTATCCTTTGCAAGTGTGTACCTGTGCATGATACTTCACTTGCACTTAGACATCCATTCTGACCATTTGTAGTTCGAGTTTTTTTTTTTTTTTTTCAGTAAAGTGTAAAGTCGAAGGAAATGATTCTACTGAACGTATTGGCATTTTTTATATGAACCACCAACAACTCAGTCTGCCAGGCATGATACTTGGTTTTTCCTGCTTTTTGCTCAGTTCACAATCATACTGTTCATATTGTGCGCGCACGCGTTTAAATAGCGGCCTCCTGCGGCAATCTCTGTAACGAGCGAGCGCGCTGTGTTCAAATCAGCCAATGGCTGATAGATGGGCTTGCTACTTGGGATTTTTGAGCATATTCTGTGATTTGTTAAGAGAAGAGAAAGCAATTTTTAGCTGATTTTGATAATTTATTGTGAATTACAGGCCGCGTGCTGTGCTATAATATTTGGCTCGCGTGTTGTTGGGAGCTTGACTACCGATCGGCAGCGTTTTCCGACCATGCTGAAAAAGTGTTGCAGGACTCTTTAAATTTTGAAGTGAAAAACTAAATGTCAGTTTTCCAACTCTTTTTATTTCAAGAACCACCATTTCTCACGATGTAATTCAAGTGCTTTTTCTTTTGGTTTCTTTTACTGTTACTTGAGGACATACATCATTGCTGTAGTGTTCGAAATCGCCATGTAATTTTTGTGCTAAAACTAGATAAGGATGCTTTCCCGAGGGTATGGACTTGAGAAAAATTGACCCTCACTGAGTAGTTCGCTGTATTGAAACTGGTTATAATCACTTGGGTCTTATAATTTTGATGCATCCAAGAAGTACCCCGGCTCCTATGTGGGACTTTCGCAAAATATGAGTGCGGTCCTGATACGAGGAAAGTCAGGCCTTTTCCGACTGCGCTCTGAAAATCGGCTTGTTCCTTTACGATTGAAAACCAGGACTTTTACGACCAAGCCTTACAAGAGCACGAGCTGCTGTCGGGCATGTTTGCGAAGATGAAGAAACTGTACGAGGCCTTGGCGGAGTTCTACGTCTTCGAGTCCAAAAAGTACACTCTGGATGAGTTCTTCACCGATATCAAATCCTTCAAGGAGCAGTTCTCGGTAAGCCTTCTGTCTGTCCCCACATTTGTGGGATCTGTGGCACTCAATGGGCAGAGCACACAATACAAAATAGTGCAAATAGTAGGCAAACAGTAAGCTGACAATACAGTATGCTAGCTAGCTATTGAAACGAAAAGTACTGTTGAATGAAACTGCAGTGTCTTTCGTGTCCTTCTTGTCTCTGTGTCGTCGTTTTGTTCTCGCGCTATAACTATCGTCATGCAGTCAAACCCCTTGATAAGAGACACTGATGTAAGAGTCAAGTAGGTACTGCATAAAAATAGGTGTTGATAAGAAAATGCATATGTGGTGTCCTGCTTATAAGAGATACCTCATATAAAAAACAAGAATAGCTCCCCGGTGCATGGCTTTCATGAAGTGGTTCAACTGTAATACGATTATTCTTGCAAAATAAAATTATACAAAGCAGGCAGCCCATCTAACCATGCATTTATTAGTTCCTTTATCCTTACCCTTTCATCGAACTGTGCAAGAAAGTTCTTGCATGCAATAAAACTCTTATCAGCATTGACATCTACCTATGCACTCTTGCTACTACTAATTTGGAATTATTGTACTTCCTTTATTAGTAGCTGTCAGCTCAGTTTTGCAACGAGGCATATGATAAACCCTACCACGGCCGTTGAGTTGGCCAAGTGCCTTGATAGTTCAAGCAGTAATTCAGACATTGGTGCACAGATGTGGATTGATTGCAGTCATTGATTAGTCGCAATTGGGTTAAAAAGTGAACAGTGATGGCACATTAAAGCTTTTGTGGAACAAAAAATGCACTTTTGAAGGAATGTTAAGTGTGGCAGTCATTGAGTTGAGCTGAAGCTTGTGTGTGTTTACATCGCCACCTTGACACCGATCATTTCAGGCAGCACATGCAGAGAACGTCCGGTTGCGAGAGCTGGAAGAGAAGCGGCAACGGGACAAGGAGGCGCGCGAGAAGGCTGAGAAGGAGAAACAAGAGAGGATGGCCAAGAAGAAGCAGCTGGTCGACATCAGCTCTGGTGAGCGAGCTCTTGCAGCTCGTGCTCCGTTTTTTTCTTGATTCTAAACTTGTTTCGTGTACCTTGCTGACCGTCCAACGTGTGTGAGTCGATTAAATTAGATATATTCAACAGGAGGATCGAGAGAAGGGCTATTCACACTATCTCACTCATGGGCTACAGTGCTTCGAGTGTTCAAACTCAAGTACACATGCACTGTTGAAATGCTGTACATAACAGAGGCATTCCTCCATGCATGTGATGCACCCTATCCTTTCAATGCCTGACAAAGATCTGAAAACAGTCTCTAAAGGGCAGATATGATTCTACCGTTGCTACAACTTTGGCATGCATGATTCTCATCTCTCTGAGCACAAAGCAGACAAGCACATGGTAGGTGAGAACAGCTTGCTTGGTGCAGCACAGCCTTAGCTACTTTTTCACCACAACAAACCGAATCAACAACTGAAACATCTTGCGTGTGCATTGTAGGCATGTATGGGCATTCAGCCAGGTGGTGTATGGTGCAACACACTTCACAGAGAGCTACAGATAGTATCAGGCGTCTGCATACCTTGTGTGTGGTACCGCTTAAATGAGATTGCCGCTGGATGACTGCGGCTTTCATCCGAAGCTTGGTTTTATGTATCGAGCATACATATAGCATGCTGGTTGTAAATGTTTGTTAACATTCATTATACACATGTTCAAGTACGTTGGATTACTTTATATACATGAAACTCCCATTAAACAGAACATGAAGGGGCCAGGAAGTTGTGTTCTACTTAACAGGAGTTCCGTTTACCGAAAAATGAACAAGAGGGGAGAATGCAAGCACAAAAACAATCACATCAGAGGCCGTTGTTTTCATTTAAGAAGCAGTTCCATTTAACAGATTTCCGTTTAGCGAGAGTCTCTTATATATTATACCTAACTATATTCTGCACTTGCAAAGCACTTATAGGCCAAAAATAGGCATATATGGCCGACTTGTACTAAAAATATATAATGTGTTAGTCTGTGCTGTAACAGTAGCATCGCTGTTGCAGGTCAAGATCAAGAAGGTGTCATGGACAGCCTCTTGGAAGCATTGAAAACGGGCTCTGCCTTTTCACATAAGCAGAGACGACGGCCACCAAGGGGCGGAAATGGTGAGTGATGTTCCGAGTGTCGACTTATATGGTCGAAGTGTGAAAAAGGCATTAGAGCCAAACTAGATGCTAGGGTATGATTAATTATTGATACACTTATGAGATGAAATAACTTTTGAGGGATCCTTACCATTGCCAGCATGAAATGAATATATTCATACTACCTAATGCAGCAGGACTTGATATAATGAGCATGGATGTAAAGAAGTAACCATTAATGGGCCCCTAAGCCATCAACAGACGCTTGCGTGCTCCTCTCCGTGCCTTTTCTTCATTGACAACCGCTGTCCTGACGTTATTTCTATGGTTAGGTGATGTTGCCAGTAACAGACACCATCAGTGGGCGAAGAAGAGCCTCTTTTATGTTAGCAGATGCACGCGCTTCTTGCGTTTTCTCCTCAGACGCTGAAGTAGGGGGCTCGTAGATGTGGGTAGACGAGATGAAAAACGTAGTGTGGCAATGGAAAGAAAGAAACAATAGAAATGCGTGTAATTACACTAGTGTGGCAATGCACAACTGCAGACTCTTGCACAACTGCAAGTTACGACACAGTTACGCTCAAATCTCGTTATAACAAATGTGAATATAACTAATTATCGTTTATGAATAAGTAAGTGAAGAATAGCTTTGTAATAGATACAGTGTTACAAACAATCATTTATAATGAATTTCTGGATATAGCAAAGTATATTTTTTTGGCAGATGTAACTTCTTTACAATGAAACTTGAGTATATTTCGTTCGATAGGCAGTTTAGGGGCTGCAGCCTGCAGCTGCAGTCTGCAGCTGCTAATAAGGAAACCGAAAATGGTACATCTGACATGGCTTCGATCATAGTGAAATGAATTTTCGTCTATATGTGCTTCAAAAATGTGTGTGCAAAATATGTTTGCAAAATTGTTCAATACAGTTGCCAAATAATTTCTTGGATGCAATGGCACTGTTACCTACCCCCGATAAGTGTAAAACAGTTGCAAGAGTTCCTTGTGCTTCATGGTTTGCTGCTAATTAATTTTTGCTCATTATCAGTATGTGCAAGGTGCCTAACAACGCAGCAAAAAAATGAAAGTTCTGTCAACAGGGCATGAAATTCCAACTTTGTTTTCTTTTCGTTTTCCTTTCAAAGGTGAAGTGGTACTGTAAGTACTTACCTGTTGTTTCTTTTCTTTATCTTGTGGTTATGCCTAGCAGTCTACCTACATATAGCCGGTGAAGGGGCTGGTGATAACATGCAAACGCTATAGCAGTTGATTCCTAACCTGTATGTGCATTTCCCTCTGTGTTCAATAAAATAGACTAATGCACTCGGCAACAGCAACTTGAAACGACCTGAGGTTCCGGTATAGGCAATATCGTTTTCATCAGTGGCTCAGTTTGAATAGACTACGGATGCCAAGCCAACGTTCTAATATGACCCCGTGTGATAGCACTGATTGCACAGTTGTGTTTTCATGTAATTGCGGAATGGGAAACACTCGCGAAAGTAGCAAGTTATTTGGCAAGCATCATGTGACCTGGCTGTACGAGGGTTACTTTGCCAGTACTTTTCACATAGACGAAACTGCTTCTCGTTATTGAGCCTCCATATTCCCCCAAACTTCTTTCTTGCTCTGCATTTCATAAAACTTTGCTTCAGATACAGTTTAAAGGAGCACTGACATAAAATTTACACATTTCGAGATTTTTACGTCAACGAGTAGCTATCGACTTCCTAGTAGCGATTCGCAACCTCTAAAGCGACTGAGGCACGAATAACTATCACTTTTGTTCATTTATATCACTAGTATCTAGCACCATTCAAAACGGCCGGCTCGCCATTTTAGCGCTACCTCGGGGTCTCTTCCTGATCGCGCCACAGGTGACCACTTCTCCACAGAAAAGAGTGACATGAGGCTCAGCTGCTCTGCAAACATTTCGTCTGCTAGGTGCACACATTCAGTCATTCCTTGCCACCTGCATTGCCGTCGTCTCCGCACAAAGCGTGGACTAGTGTTGAATACAACAGTCAGGAGCTCTGAAGTGCCGCAATCGAGACGTCGCGTATCATTCTTGCTTCAATGGGCCCTTTGCAGAACAGCGATTCCAAAATGGACGCCGTTTTAAGCAGCAATGAGGAGGTGCCTGAAGGCACATGCTTCGGCCATGCTCGCTGGTGTGTCGCAATTAGCTATATTGTTATGTTTTGGCGCACAGCATTCAGGTGATGATGATGATATTTGTTGACCTGTATGATGACCTGTTGACCTGTATGATGTATTTGCTGCCGGACCTGTTCTAGCCTGCAGATAGTTCGCACACCACCAGTGTTCTAATGGACGCTTTGTTGCCTCCACTGCTTCCCACTGCGGTTGCTCTTGTGGCTCCTGGAAACCCAGCGCCATTGCCAGCAATTTCTGCCGTTGTTCTGGTGGTGTAGCGGTCACAGATGATGAAGTGGCGGAGACCTGTGGTTTCAATGCTAGGCAGCGGAGCACAATGTGCTCATATCCAAAGGGGTCAATGTTTCCAGGTTCTTTCTTGCGCCTCTTGATGGCCCCACCTATCTGGCCTCTCACGGTTGTGACGGCAGTAGCCCGGTATTAGGTGGACGGAAGTAAGTCATAAGTCTACAGATAAATTAAAATTCACTATTAACGATACCTGCGTGTTACTTGTCAGCGATGATTTCTGTATATACGTTACTCCACTTCGATAGCTTGTGGTCGTGTTGGCAAGTAACACAAGTGTAATGAAAGGACACCCTCATTGTGCTTTTCCCACGCTTCGAACCAGACGACTGCAACTCGCAACGGTTCCCCGACATGCTGACTGACAAGGACACGTTAAATCTTGCTCTATTCTTTCGCCAATCTTTTATGGGTGGTTTTCATCTTGGTAATTTCACGAAATTATTCAGAGCAGTGTGACAAAGATCAAACATGATGAGCGAGTATGTTTCTAGGCTTCGGCGCCATGATAAGAACACGTGGATAGTAGACATCATCGCTGCAAGCGCGTTGTCACTCAGGACGGTATGCGTTGAATGTATCACACCGAACACGTACCACTAGTGTCAGTGTTGCAGGGGCACTCCATTTTCTATTCACCTTTCGTTTGCTGTTGAAGTAAGATAACTTTGATGCGACGGACGCGATTCAAATTTGGCCATGAGGACCTACGTACACCGAGCAATTGAATGAAGCGAACATCTAGATTTTGAAATTTTATGTCAGTGCTCCTTTAAGGTTTATTTAACATGGGGCAATATGTTGAAAATTCACTCTGCAACATGTTAAAATGCCATTTGCAATGTTGGTGACACGTTTTCTCTGTCATGTTATTTCTTTTCTTTTTTTTTTTTTCCTCTAAAGCACATTCGGCTGAGTATCGAGCAACTTCGTTTCTTGTTCCTTTTTTTTTCAGCATCGAACAAGGCTCAGTTGACGAGGAGTCGCTCCCGAGGCGGAGCAGCCATGTTTGGTGACGCCAACTATCTCGAATGTCGGACAATAACGCAGCAGAGCTGACAGGAACTGCTGTGCTCCTGACTTCTTCTGGTGGCCATCTTCGAGAGTTGTTTTTACCCGTGTTTTCTGTTTCACATGACTTTAACGCGTTGTGAATGTGCCGACGGGAAAGGGTTCCCTTGGACGTGTCTGGGAAAACGCACAGTGCTGTTGACCCCGCAGGAATAACACGCTTTATTTGCCTCTCTTCTTGTATCGCTAGTTTTGTACCTATTACTTTTCTTTCCCTCTCCGGCTTTGTATGAGACATCTTGTTTGTTGCTTCACGTCGATGAATCTGTGCTTGAAATTTGAGAACAAAAAAAAAACCTAAAGGAGGAATATATGAAGCTAAGTGTTCTTGTTCCTTTTTTGTAGCGTTGAACAAGGCCCGAAAGAAGGAACCCTGAATGTACTCGCACATTTTTTTTTTCTTCACAATTTGCAAGTGTATGTGTCATATCAAAATATGCCTTGTAACAGAGTGTAGCCTCACGAGTCTAATCATTCACATTAGTTTTCATGCAATATAGGTTCAGAAGAATATGAAGTCTTATCACAACAGTTCATAAGTTCACATTCATAGTCGGCATTACTGATTTTATACAGGGCTTTACAAGGAAAACCTGCTTGTGAATTATATACTGTAAATTATTCCACTTTATACGAGGAGGGCTGTGCTCCTGCGGCAAACATTCCAAGATGCCAGGTCATGGAGAGGACAGCATGAGGATTTTTTCTGGCGTAGTATAAGCTTATGGGGAAGAAAAAACAAGTTACTTAGTAATTAGTCTATGACTGTGTGCTAAAATTTGCCGTTAAGAAATGTAGCTGAGTCGATGAACGGCAAATAAATACCAGCATTGACTTCGTAATGTCTTGCGCATAGCATGCAGGCACTTTTAGCGCTGGAACAGAAGCATCTGTTACGGTTAAAAAAATATGAGAGGAGGGGAGGGGGATAAGGCCTGGATTCATTTTGAAATGTGGCCGCTTCTGTGTCATAAGAACTTTTTAGATAGTTTTGCGATCCAGACTGCGGGTTAGCGACGACGGTTACTGGTGGTTTCTGATATGCAGCATGGCTCCTTGCGATCTGCATTATTGTATGGAAAAACCTTTAGTGAATGCGGCAATGTTAAGCAAATTTTTCAACTGGCATGTAGTTATATTGTGCAGTTAAGGTCGTATTGGCATTAAAAATACAGAGTAGGCCAATTATTACAGTTCTATTTCACTTTCTGTCTATGTTATTTAACTGCAACATTCAACTCCACCTGTGCAATTTATAACTTCGATGTCCAGGCTTAAGCTGCATTGCTGGCAGAAAGTAACAATCCTTTTTTTTTCTACTTTCAGGCCATGCATTTGCACTCTTCGTGATTTACTTTTTGTCGTTATGCTCTGAGCCCTGCAAACACTGAAAAACAAAAAAAAAGGCCTCAGAGTAATGCAAAGAGGTTAGTCTTGGAGAAGAAGGTGTGTAGCATACAAGTTAAATCTTGCGAGACATTGGTGGCCTCTGCTTCAGAAATCTACTGCTCTTGCAAAATGTACTGGTAGTAACTGTTGATACTGGCATGTGCTGTAATTGTCCTTAATGGCAAGGTGTGTGTCACGGCCGCAGTGTTGTATGGTGCCCACTTTGGTCCATGTTAGCATCAAGCTGTGGTATGAAGGCTCATAATTACATGCTGGTACCGTGTAGATTGGTCCTTCTAATGACTGAAATGTGATGAAGGGGAGGGGAATTGAAGTCGTGGCTGGTGGTCCACATGGCCTTTCATTATTCTCATTCCTGGGATATATTTGCCAAGTTTTTTGGCCATGGTGTGAAGCTTGTGCGTAGTATATTTCCTTTATACTGCCATGCCTTGTTGGCTATTCTTGTTGATAGCATGGCTATACGGTAGTTAGAAAGGCTTTTGTACACTCTCTTTTTTTTTTTCTAAAGGAAGTTGCACCATTCGAGATATATCATGCCTGCCGAGAATAACATTCATCTGGTTACCTCTTAGAAAAAATCCATGCTCACTGCATTTCTTTCAAAAGTGCTTGGTCACACTAAAAAGGTGCATGCAGTCAATAACATTAAAGCCCTTCACATGTGGTGTTCATAGAAGGAAGGCTATGCACGAACAGCCATGATGGTTCATTTCGGCAAGGTCAACCCAAATTGTGCAATTTTTTTCCCCTTGAGAGTGTAGGTTGTTCTCTCTGTTTCTCTTGATGCTGACCAAGACATGGCTATCGAAGCCTGCAGGGGTTTGAAAAAATATCATTTTGCGCGCTTTTCATGAACTTCATCTGTGTTGTGTGAGTGTAAGTAACGTGCTGTAACAAAAGTGTAAGATTGTTATATGCTTGTACATAAAATGGTATGTAAATTCACGCTATGTGCACGGTTGTGGTGCGAGTGCCTTACCTCGACGTAAAAGTGACTACTCGTGACGAAGGTTCTGTTCTTGTAACATAGAGACAGTTGTGCATATTAATGTTTATACACTATTTAGAGCAGTTTACACACTGCCGTGGGACCATGCTTACAGGCAGGTCAGTATTGACAAGACCTCGCCAAATGCTGTGATCCTGAATGCTTGTGCTGCGGTGTACAGATAAAACACTTCATGTAAACATGTAAAGACGTTCGAAGACTGCAAGTGTGGCCAACCCACTTCAGATCGCTTTTTTACTGGGGCGTGTCGTTACTTGCAGACTAAAATGTGCACCATGCTCAAAGGAAGTTTCGTTGTGATATACAAGACATATTTTTATAGGTGAGCACAAATGCTACGGCACCCACAAAGAGCTGTGCATCGTATCATGTATATGGCAGATTGTCTACACCCAATCCATGTTGCAGTATGTTGTTGAGCATAGCGGTGTCTAGTACGTCAAAGGTCTCTCTATTTCATTTGTTATCCTGCTAAAGCATGGAGTACAAGGCACAAGCCGCGGGACTCCTCTGCCAGCTTAGTTAATTGATTTTACCTCACTTCATTTGGCAGGTAACGAGTTTGATTTCGTTTCTTGCCCTTGGCTTGTCACATGCGTGCTTTATTTTCATTTGCTGGAACATCTCGCTGCATGTCGCACAGCACATCTACTTGCTGCAACTCCTCTCGCTGTGCTGGGAACCGCAAGGGACCCCCTCTTTTGTTTCATCTCTACTAAAGCTTTATAAGTGCAAATGAAAGCCTCATTTTACCGAAGGGTGGCATCAGATGCCACATTTTTCAGCAGGACATGTACTTCATAGTGGGACATTGCTCAATGCTGGCATATGCTGTGTCCGTTTATAGTAGATAGCTTAGATTCATTAATGTGCCAGGACCATGCCGGTACAAATAAAATGAATCTGTTGTTTTTATCAAGTGGTTCATGTTTGTCTATGTGTCTGTCTTCACTGTTTAACCCTTGTTGGTTCAAATGCTTGTTGGCTTGGGAATGTGCATCTGATCATGAAATTCCTGGTGAACAATTTTTTTAGGCAAAATATATATTGGGACCTGGTGATGGAGAAATCTGAAAACGCTTATGTTGATTCAGTAATTTTAAATGAGTTGTGATGAGCGTGTCGGAAATGGGCATTAGTATTTTAGCAGGTATTGATAGGCTATTTATCAATTAGTGACTTGGCCATGCATTTTAAAACACAGTATTAAGTCAAACACTAAGTATTTCAAGTGCTTCGTGTGCATCCTCATTTCTTCTGCGTCCAAGCAGCACTCGAGATTGACATCTGAAAATTTTCATCAACTACAAGTACCGCCACCTAGTTTTAAAATTTAAATCATACAAGTTCTGCAAGTCATTTAGATTTATCAACTACAAAAGAGAGAGAGAATAAAACGTGTATTTGCAACAAGGAAAAACTACAAGCATCATCAACTACACACATACTACACGCATATCGCAGCAGCATATCCACGGAGTGAATGATGATGAGTGGGGCGAAGTGCTGGAGGGTTTCATTGCTAAACTGCGAACCATTCGCGAATATCGCCCACTACACAAAGACGTGACAAACACTGTATATGCTTATACAAGAATTTTTATTATTGGTAAGTGGTAGCTATACGTCGCTTCCGTTCCACCTTAATTATAACGGCTTTATGGTCGGCTGAAGTGATGGATCGGTGATGGGGCGTAGCGGGATGTTTGCGAGGATGAAGTAGTGGGCAGTTTGCAAAGGTCACGTAGAAACAAGGGATGGACACACTGGGAAAATTTATGGTTCTTCAACGCGCACCTGGGTACAAGTACACAACCATCTTGCATTATTGGCCACTTCTCAACAGTAATGGCACAGAACACCTATGCACTACCATTGGCTTTATGGTCGCTGAAGTGGTGGATCAATGATGCGGTGTAGTGAGATGTTTGCAAGGTGGCTACATACACTAACGGAGGAAGGGCAGACCCACACCCTGAAGAGCTTCACCCCTGAAAGGCAAGAAAAACTAACACAAGGTTTATATCGTTTCATAGAGTTATGTGAAAACTACTTGTAGCCATTCCATGAACGCTCAATGGAGACGCTGCTAAAAAATATACACAGTGTTCATGTGATGTCACTTCCGCCGTTGTCGCCCTCTCCCGCCATGGCCGGGTACCTCCCTGGGTTCCTACGGCAGCTCGCGGGCTGCAGGGTTGTTGGGGGATCGTCATCTGTTGCTGTGTACGATGTTGAAAGGAAAGCATTGTGGTTTTTTGTTGTCGTACTTTAACGAGCTCATCGGATTAGGAAGGCCTCGTTTGTTCACTTGATACAAGACCAGAAAATCAAGGTATGCGGCACGTATACCAGCCACCGCGTAACTCGGGCTACCCGCCACGACCTACGACTACAAACACTACAAATTGCGTGGCCAAGAAGAAGTGAAAGTCCAAAGTCTCTCGAGCCGCAATTTTAAGAGTGGATGGGCGAAGCGCAGCAGCTCCCGTCCAAAACGAGTCGTGCAGAGCTAAGCAACTTTACAAAAGATATAATATATATTAATTTATTGCTGCGGCCCACGCCACCAAAGTAGCAGCCCCCCCCCCCCCCCCTAGTGTTTTAAACAGTGCTGATGTTGAGCCTCTTTGATTGAAATTTGTGGAAACAGCCGAGGAAAATATTATGCGAGGCAGATAGAGACTTCGTGCGGTGGGTGCCGCGGTAATGCCGGTCATCGCTTTTTTTTTTTTTTCGCGTATGTTTTGACACCTTTTTCACCTTGTATTTTACTTTTTTTGTACGCTAATGTACAGTGAAGTCCCTGAAAATAGTGGAGACCGTGTTAGGAAAATAATTGACCAATTTTTCAAAATCCTGACCCCCCAACTCGAACTGATCGGCTATGACGATCGGTTCGACTCCTTCTTGTCTCTGTGTCGTCGTTTTGTTCTCGCGCTATAACTATCGTCATGCCATACCAACTAGCCCAAGCTGCCACACTTCTAAGTTACGATCGGCTTGTTTTAACGCAATACCCGAATTTCCGCGATCGCCATCACATTTTAACCGCCTCCCTGGCAGGCTGATTGTGCACGCAGTGGTCGCGAACAAGTTTGTATGTACATTATCTTGGTGAGCTATGTCTATGTGCAGGTAAGTGCTTGGTTATGGCACTTACCCGGAATGAAGTTACACCTGAAGGCACGAATATCAGCAAGTTTCTTCAAGTAGTTTTTTGCTTTTTTTTTAAATCCGCGCCAGCTAAACACGCCGGTACGTTCTAGCAAATGTTGCAAAAGTGAATTTGCAAGTTTTGTAGCGCCCTCTTGTTTGTGAGGTAAGCAACAAGAACGGTAGCTAGGACTATCTATTTTATATAACAAGTTTCCGTTTCCGCACTTATTTTCGTCCTGTTGGGAACTCGAGGAGAACGGTGGTGATCGTGAGGAACGTCATGGTAGTGGGAAACTGGGCTCAGTTTTGCGGACAGGTGTGAGTCAACGCAACTTTTACGGACGGTGACATCCGATCTGAAGCGATCCTCAGCATGAATAACGTTGTGTACAAATCTGCTGGCAAACTCAGGCATCTGCGCGGCACACGCGCAGGCGCGAACTGCGTCAAAGGGGCGCTTCTCGGAGTCGGCTTCACCACTGTGGTTGGCGGCTTAGTTTTGTAAGTAGCGTAACTCGTTACTCTCGGGGTGCGAGTGACACTTGTGCGGGAAAGACGTAAAAGTCACCTCGGTGACCTAGTGGCGGGTTTTGCTTCGTACGGACGTCGGCTACGCAGTAGGAACTCGCCATCTGGGTTGGTACAATGGACGTGGTTCGTCCGAGCGAACAAAGGAACGAGAACTCGTATCGATGCGCTGAAATGCGCAACGGCGAGGCTCGTCCGTTTGGTCGCTGCCATTGACACTTTTTTGTCGAAGCCCGTGCTGATAACACGTTTATGGCTCGAGGCGTATCTATAAGCCTTTGATGCCTGTGAGGGAACGCGGGTATTCGTGTCAAGCCACGTTCTTTAGTTGGAAACCCGAACGTCGCAACTCTTACGTTCACTGTATCGTCCACAGTTGGTGGTGTGCGAATGTTGACATAAAAGAATAAACCGTTCAATATGCTGCCCCTGAAGACTAAATACAACGTGACACACATACGCCTTGAGCCCGCAGATAATCGTACAGTTTCCTCCAAAGCTTGTGAAAAAAACAAAAAAAAAAAAAAAACACTTCGAACCTACTTACCGTTTGCTGAAGCAAGATAGCGGTCCGGTGACTGTCGCTGCAGTGATTACTGTACGTTACTGTAATGTAGTGTCAAGTGCTGTCCGTGATTGCAACTAAGTCTAATATTGTAGGTTTCTTTTAGATACTCCAGTGCTGCCGTAATTAAGACTTGTTTATTTCAAATTTATTCACTTACATCGCATAAACCAGTACAGCTAAGCTAGTTTAGCCGTTAAAGGTGAGCTGACGGGGCAAAATGTGATGAGGTGTTACATGATGATTTATCAAGTGGGGGCCAGACTAATAAGATGCACCTAAGAAACTACCCGAGGTCGTTATTGCTGGAGAAACTCGTTTACCTACTGTGTAATGTTGTGAAATGCCCAGGAGAGCCACGTGCTTTGAGCCAAGCATGGCCTCCGATGCATTCTATGTGCATATGCTGTTTATATTTCCAACATAATCCTGACGTCATTTTCTTTCTTTTCTTCTCATTTCAGCCTGTTTGCACCCCTTCATTACATAAAGGTTTCCCAAAAGCCCCTGTCTTTCTCGTCGAAGTTTACCAGATCCCTTGACGAGTCCTACAGCTATCATCCCTCAAAAGATGGCAAAGTTATTTAGTGTCCAAGACACGACGTAGTGCCATCACTGATGTTGTAGACAGTGCACAGCAACCATACTTTAGAACTGCCTTTTAGGATATTTTTCTACAAGCAAGCTTGTCTTTTTTTTTTCTTTATGTAGTGATTAAGCTTATGCCTATTTAGCCACCTCTTAAGATCAAGCACTTTTCGTGTGTTATTGTACTCTAATCACACTGTTATTTTACAAATCAATTTGCCAGTTCTGACTCGTTTATCTGCATGTTGCATAAAAGGCCTGATGTGTGCATCTGCAATGCCATGTGTGCCAGCAGAAGCAGCAACACGTAGCCACCTTTGCAGCTCAAACTTTTTGAGAAATCCTGAACAGCCAGTGGTGCCTTGCGACTCTAAAATCAGTAGTAAGCTCTTAGCATGGACAGATGTGCTGTGTGGCCACGGCCTGAGGCCAGGTGCCCGGCATGTGGGGAATGTGTGGCCGGTGCCATGGAGGCCCACGTGGAGAAGTGCTTGCAGCGCTTCAGCAAGAACCCCAAGTCTGCCGAGCCATGTGTCTGTGTCGTGTGCCGCAAAGACATCACGTCGCTTGATGAAGCACAGCGGATGGCTCATGTGAACAGGTGAGGGTTCTGCAACGAATCTTCCCTTTGTGAACCACGATGTTCAGGTGACTGCGGCCACTGAAACACCCCATGTCTATACCTGCCAACTACTGCTAAGCCCGCAAGGCTCCAGATTTCGGACCTCTCTTCCCAATTGTACGAATGCGGCCATAAGGCTTCTGATAAACTGTATGAACATAATTATAAAAAAAGCTACAGTAAAACTAACTGTTAGTCAGAACGATGCAAACTTATTTATATGACACAGCCAAGAAAGGAGAATGTCAGTGCAGCTAGAAAAATCCCCTCGCCACTGCTGTTACCTGCCATTCACTGGGCTTGCTTCCTTTCACCTGAAGTAATATGCACACGTCCAAGATGACACGGGTGAGCACACCCCCGATTTTATGGCCCATTTCGGAGAGGGCACAGCAACAATAGAGTGGCTGGAAAGCTCCTTTAGTAAGCATTTCAGTGAGGCTGCAGGCCCACCTAAATATTCCAAAGCCAAAGGCGCTGGGGCCACATGCTGAAAAGGTTTATTGACCAATCACAGGCATTGTCCCTAAACAATTCTTTTTCTGTCCCCCCCTCCTTGCTACAAGGCTCCCGATTTCAGAAGTCCCTAGGTTGGCATGTCTCATTGTAGACCTTGGGGCTATTTCTGCTGTCGTAAACTCTGTCTTCCTTATGAATTAAATTAACGTGGAGTGATGATTCAGTACGCTTTAAAGTCAGTTTTGTGAACTTCAGCTCACAGCAGAAAAACTCGCAATAGAAAGAGAAGTAGTTGCAGACCCTTGCTGATTTCCTCACACTTTGAGTTGCCTAACCTCACCCTGCAACCTGGTTGATTTGGATGTACACGATTCAAATCACAATAACAATCTTTTTCTGCAACCATGTAGCTCTTCGACAACTCATGCAAGTTCCCTTCGTTGCTTCTTTGTAAGTGGATGACGATTTTACTTTAATGCATTAATAGCTCTAGTCCACATGTTTCTTTAAATGCCAGCTGATTCACACACACTATTGCTGTATTGGCTGTGTTGGCCACCCAGCCTGGTCACTTTAGTTTAGCTTGCACTCTGGTGACTCTTAACGGCATAAACAAGGCATGATTACAGCATTGATGGCATTACAGGATGTTTAACGAGCTCTGAATACTCGAGAATAATATCTCTGAAGGGGAGAGATGTGCATTGGGTTACATCATTGGAACCTAAATCTTCCTGCGTTGTCCTGAGTGTTGCAAAATGGGCTTTTTGTGTGTGGCCTGGAGAAATCTGCTTCGCAGTTAGTCGTCTTGCTAGCTTCATGTGGTCGATTATTTCCACGTATAAAAAATCATTGGGTAGTATGAAAAGGAAAAAATTGCAGAAAGCAAGCAGTGTGCGTTTTTTCCGCAATCGGGAAACCACGTTCTGCTGTGATATTTGGGGGGGGGGGGGGGGTTCTGGGAATGTAACTGCTGCAGCAGATAGATACCTGAAATTTGACTGTGTTCTTGGATTGAGTAAGCTGCATAGAGGCATCTTGACGTTCATCCCAGATTTAGTTGCTGAACTAGACATGATTAACTGGCACTTTTTATTGAGTTTCCTCTTGTTCATAATCCTTAACTAAATAAAAGCAATCCTCATTTAACAATAATAAAAATAAATGTTTGTAGAAAAGGCATTACATAATTTACATGCCTCTGCACTTGTGCTTATGCAGCTTTGAGTCTCTTTTACTTTATTAACTTTGATCATTTATCTACAGTGTCTGCATGTAGAGACTTTCAGATATGTGTTCTTCATATAGTCCTTGTCTATGTGAATAAATAAACATACAATTCACTGTCACACGGCATGCTATCTTAGAGTTAAACAGCAACTTGTGAGAAAGTGCTCTGGTGAAAACGAAACATAAAAATAACCACATTTTCATGGCTCAGGTGCCTCGATGGGGAGGGGAAGGAGCCCGTGCAGGAGCCGGTCGTCTCGACGCCATCTCGAAATGGATCCCCTGGATTTATGCTTCTAGACTGTCCCCTCTGCGAGCGATCATTCAAGACATCAGAGGTCTGTGTCTCTTAAAAACATTAATAGTCTTTCTTGGGGTACTTCAACGCAAAAATTTGGTCTGCCTGTTTGTCTGTCTGTGTGCTTGTCCGCCAAAACAATACCAATAACTGCCAAAATCCAACCACATCCACGGCGCCCACCAATATTGCTCTGGTTTCTGCAATCATACTTGTGCGATTGTCGAATAAAAAAAAAAATTGTGCATATCAGAGGCACAATATCAACACGCCAATACTATGTGGTGTGTTTCTTCATACTAGAGATGGCATACATATGTAATTCTAAGGACTGTAGCGTTTATCACGCTGCACTGACAATGCATTGCTATGCCCGGAAAGGCAAGTGTTTCCTACGCTTTGCTAAGACGACACGGTGGTGGCACCTACCCGTCGCCTTGCATTCTACGCATTATGGCCTCCGAGATGGGTGCGCATGCCACGTGCTTACCATATCAAAGGCCATCCTTTCGTTTTCCAAGGTAACTGCCAGATGGCGCTCATGTCTCGTGCTGTAGAGTGCTTCGATGCGCTCGTTCGACTTCGCTGCACGCAATGAGGCACTACCTCCAGAATCCCATTCACAGATTTTCTCACGCAGAACATTAAATAAAGGTTTTGTTAGAACTCTCCAGGCGCAAGACTATCGTCTTTCTATGACGTTTGCAATGAAACATGCAGATACAAGGCCAACTTTTAGTCTGTTCCTCCATTCAATTTTGTTTGCTTCCCTGCTTACCCATCCACGCTATTGCAGTATTGTCAACGCAGCCACTGTCAGAAAATGTTTACAGATCGTTCATTTCTTAATTAAAAGTAACTGTTCTACCAGTTTGGGTGGTCTTGTCTGGTATTCTGATTTCGAGCTTGTACTAATGCATGAAATAATTTTTGTCTTGTTCTATATTTTCGGCACTGGCTGTGGAAGAGTGCATGCATTCTGATTTTTATTCTGTGGTCCTTGTACCTTTCATTGTCAATTGGACAACTTGGGTTACTTAGCCTTACGGTGGCAGGGCTTGCTCGTCTCTAGGAAATGCCTCGTCTAATGACTGTCGTATAACGTCAGGGGTTGATGGAGAATGTAGCCACTGCTGGTGTCAAGCGTTACTGATACAGTGGTAGTAAGTTGTGTCGAATGGCACACTCGAATGCGAAGTGTTGCATGAATGGCCATGAGAAATGTGCACCAGGAAAAAAACTACGCTGAGGAGAAGTGTAATGATACTTCTTGCACGTCTGCTTTCACTGACTGGCCAGTAATTTGAATCTGGTTTTAAAGTGTCTAAATGCATGCTGGAAGTGATTGATCCCAAGTGGGAGTTTGGTGAGTTGCTTATCACCACCGTGGCACTATACTCGTGCTGCAATAGCCTGGCAAATACAGTTAATTGCTGCATAGATGTTGAGCAACTCAGTTATGTTTCTATAACAACTGTGATTATTTTTTTTTGGTTGTAGACTTTACTTGATATGCTTTCCTGCTTTTGCCCATGCAGGCTTGCAAGAACCATATAAAGCAGTGTAGCACAAAACTAGGCATGTCCCCGAAACAAGTTGTTGAAGCCATCCGCTTGCAGCAGCGCTACGTGCAAGAAAGAATGGCTGCTGGCCTGCCTGTAGTGAGAAGGAGGTGATATTCTCTTTTCCTGCACATTATCTACATTTTTCTTCATTTGTGTTGGTAATTTCGTGATGCATGCTCTTTCTTGCCTCGGTAGTACTTCAGGAGGTATGTGCAGGTAACGACTCTGCTCCTTTACTGTGCCACGTGAATAGTGTCACAGGACAATTAGCCAACCGTGGTCATTAGGAGGGAGTAAAGTGAAGGCAATGAAGGTGCACCTGAGCTCATGTGTAGATTCGGTGTATTCCTGGTAGCATTACGTTGCTCTGTAAATATCGTATTTACTCGCGTAATGAACGCACTCACATAATAAATGCACCCCCAACTTCGGTTGTCAAAAATAGGATTTTTCTCTCTCCCAATAAACGCATCCCCTAAATTCATCCGCTGCAGTCCCGCTAATTGATGCCTGGCACCTCCTTGCCCGTTTGATCTCTTCAGTTTTTTATTATTACACTGACCCCCCCCCCCCTCAGCCATCTCGGCTCGCTCCCTCCTCCCTTTCGCCTGCTGCTGTATTGTTTTTCTTTCTATCCTTGCTCGGCACGTCCCCTGTCTTTTTTAATTATCTGTGTGCCACAGCAGTGTTCACAAACGATGCAAGTGTAGAGACATCGCAGCTGACAAGCACCCAGTGAGCGAAGGTCACGAAACTGCCCGCACCAACCGACAGTCGCTCCTTGAAAGTACGAAAGTTTAAAGGGGCAGACTGGTCTTAGACATTTTTTTTAAATTTCTTCAGTGATCTTGATTAAACTGCACAGGATTATGCAGCCTTTTCTGCTGATTTCAAACGTTTAAATATTTTTTCTGTTACTGATCTTATTCCCGAGATAACTTGAGTATTCAACAGCAGTTGGAATTGTATTATAATTTTGATGATTAATTACTTAAAAAGGCTAGTGCTCTAAATTATGCTCCCATACTTGCATTCTACACACGTACAAGTTTTCATTGCAAAAAGAATTATTGTTGTACGAGGCCTAGTTACAGAGATATTGAGGCCTCAATATCGAAAAGTCGCAAATTTACTTTGTTGAGAAAAATTGAAAAAAACTGAAAACACACAGCTTTTTCAAAAAGCAACAATCATAGTGCGCATGTTTTGCAATCCTTATAAAGAAGCCTCGAAGTTGTTCTCCCCCCCCCCCCCCATCCCTTTTTTTTTTTCAGGTTCTACATGTTAACAGTATCAAGAATCTGGACAATTAGAATGAAATTGCAAAAAAAAATTCTCCTTTTTCTGGTGTGTCAAAATTTGCAGAGAGATAGAAAAATACTTGCAGAAACCAAATAAGTCAATTTTAAAAAATGAAATTTTTTGTCACTTTTGGTCTCAAAAACCAATCTCCCCCTTAAGGCCCGACCACATGCACGTGATTTTCGAGCGACAACAGAAGGATTTGCTGTCGCCATGGCTGTCGTGAAAAGGCATTCGTCGTTATTGCGTCACAGGTTTCTGGAAAACCAGAAATGAAAGATCACTTGTTGCCCACAAAAGATTGTGACTATTTCCGCAACATTTTAGCATCCCCAATTCTCGCTTTGGTTGCAATTTGCTCTTCATGCTTGTTAACCGCGCGTACTTCGAAGAGCGCAAGATGTAGACTACCTTTCCTATAGTAACTTGCCATGTAAACAGAGAGACAGCGCCCGTATTTTGTCGTTAATTTTGTTATCGACTGTTTGTTTTGATGCTTCGGTGGTAGCTTGCCGCAATGTTGGTTATTTGCTACAATGTCAACGGCATCGTCGAGGCTGTCGTGTGAGGTTGCCACGCAGTTGGCAAAGTGCGTCATAGCGCACGCTTCTGGGCACCCCTTGAGATCACAGCAGCCACCACTGTTGCGAGAAAAGATAGTCTCGAAACACTTTCATGGCGTCCTCGGTCGGTGCGAAGACAGCTTGCAGTGGATAGTGCGCGCCATCAACCACTGAAGATTAGTGAAGTGCAACAAAGAAGCTGTTTCCAAACAGTGTATGCATTCGTCAGTTGCGGAAGGCTAAGCGACCAAATTTTTTTTGCATGATCGCATTTTTTGCTCAGCCCGAAATAGTTTTCATAAACTTTGCCCCGTATAATAAACACAAACCCAACTTTGCTCCGATTTTTGGAAAAAAAAAGTGTGTTCATTACGCGAGTAAATATGGTATATATTTGTAGTAGCATGTATCACCACTCATGATAAGGCAAATTCATGCACAAGCTTACATGATTTGGCAAATTCATGCACAAGCTCAAAGGTGAACATATTCAACAGAAATCTGTCTGGCTGGGTGAAAATTCATACAAAAAAATAAGCTCTCCAGCCACATTTAGTCGAAAGTTTCTAATGGTAAAATTAAAAACTATAAACTGACCCAAGGTTTCGGTACCGATTCAATTTTTCATTTCAAGTCATTTTATTTACCCTCAAGGCCATGTGGCATTATGGAGGGGAGTGGTTTACTAGTAGACAAGAAATTATATGCAGCTTGAAAATAAGTTATTCAACAGGCATGAACTCCTCATTATACAAAGTTAGCAACATAAGAACAACGACCTCAATACAATATGAACATGATACATAATAATACATAATATACAATGTACATTTTCTAATTATACAAAATTAGGTAATGCTTGTCGTAAATGATGGTTATTAGTAATAGTTGCTATGTCCTCGGGTAGGTGGTTCCAATATGCTGGTGTATGGGTAATGAATGATCGACAAAAACATTGGAAGTCGCATTGCACAAGGGTGACTGTTAGGCCATCTCAATCGTCCTTCTACCCGCCACTTTTGTTGCTGCGGTGTTTTCTCCAAACTTGTACAACATCAATCAGAGTGAAGGATTGGTATGCTATCAGTCGTAGTAGTGTGCACGTGCCAGGGATAATCGCAGTTAGTTGCTAACCTCAGTAAAGACAGTGTGCGATAGTGTGTTGACTTCAGCGAAAATTGTGCCATCTCGTCTACGTTTGCGGAAATGAGATGCTCGATGCACAGAATCCAGTGCCTGACAAAAGAAAGAGAATCAGTCAGCAATAGAAATTGCTAAAAGATGTACGGCAAGCTTGTGTACTTCTTATGACCAGTGCGCTAGAGAGTGAGTGAGTGAGTGAAACAACTTTATTCGGTCCACAATAGACGCGAGTAAACTCAGCGTCACCTGGCTAGGCCCACTCGGGGACCATCAGGTTAAACCTGACGGCCCTCGCGCGGGCCCTCTGGACGGCCAGGATTTGAGAGGTCTGGTCCTGGGCCTTAATGAGTCGCTTCATTTCCTCTTGGGTGAAAGGGGGACCGGCAGAGGCGCAGCCCCACAGTACATGCTCGAAGTCTGCATAACCACCACACAGGGGGCAGTCCGGGCTTGGAAACCGTTCAGGGTACATTGTGTGCAGTGCCGCAGGGCTCGGGTAAGTGTTTGTTTGTAGCAGTCGGAGAGTAACAGCTTGGGCCCTGCATAGCGAGGAGTGCGGTAGAGGCAGCAGTCTTCTTGACAGATAGAGGTGCTTGCATATCTCGTTGTACGAGCAGAGAGGCTCAGGTCGCCCAGGAGATGACGCGTTACCCGGCACACGGTCAGTCAAACCTCATGCAGCCGAGTGCGCCTCCTCGTTGGGATTGAGCGAGGCACCCTCAATGGTTCCAAGGTGCGCAGGAAACCAGACCAATGAGTGATTTTTGAGGTCTTTGACTTTTTGAATAATCTGTAGGACCTGGGGAGCCACCATGCCCATCTGGAAGGCCTTGATAGCGGCCTTGGAGTCTGAATAAATTGTGTCATGTACACCGTCCGTCAATGCAAGAGCAATGGCAACCTGCTCTGCAATGCTGGAACTAGAAGTGCGGATGGTAGCGCAGCTGATGACTCTGCAATCACAGTCGACGACCACTGAGGAGAAGGCTTCTTCTTGAATGTACGAAGCAGCATCGACGAAGCAGGCTCGATCCTTGTCCAAGCGGGCACTGGCGAGCAGAGATTTACCCCTGGCTCGTCTTCGTGCTTCGTTGTAGGTTGGATGCATATTGCGCGGCATCCGCGCAATCTGGATCTTGGATCTTACGTCGTTGGGCAGCTTCACAGCGTGGGTTTCGTCCCAGCATGCCGAGTATGGCTCTACCCGCTGGGGTGCCAGACAGTCTGACAAACTGTGCAAACTCTTGGGCTTCGACAATTTCTTCGAACGTGTTGTGGGTTCCCAACTTCAGGAGGTCTTCCGTGTGCGTTCGAACGGGAATGCCAAGGGCCAGCTTGAAGACTCTTCTGATTAGGGCATTGATTTTGTTGCGCTCCGACACGAGCCAGTTGTGCATAGCCGCCGAATAAGCGAGGTGGCATAGCACGAATGCGTGGATAATCCGGATCAGATTGTCCTCCCTGATTCTGCGGTGCCTGTTAGCGATTCTTCAAATCAGTCCGAGGGCGCTTTCGGTCTTGGAACAAATGCGTTTGACGGCGGCTCCATTGGCTTCGTTAGACTCGATAAACATTCCAAGGACCCTGATAGTGTCCACCCGCGGAACTGGGGAGCCGTTACCGGTGAATAACGTAATGTGGCTCTCCATTGCTGGCTTCCAGGACCGGTGAGAACCGCCTCTGGGCCTCTTCTTATACAGTAAGAGCTCGGACTTAGCGGGCGAGCACCTTATCCCGGTGGGGATGAGATAGCGCTCCGTCACATCGATGGCCTCTTGCAAAGCACTCTCGACCTGACCCTCACATCCGCTGAGGCACCAGATGGTGATGTCGTCTGCGTAGATCGTATGGTTAATGTTCGGGATTTTGTTCAAGGCCCTCGACAGGTTGATCATGCAGATATTGAACAGCGTTGGGGAGATCACCGCCCCCTGAGGTGTCCCTTTTGGCCCAAGGGTAATTTCGTGGGTCAAAAAATCGTCAATCTTCAGTCTTGTGGACCGCGACGAAAGGAAGGAGCGCACAAAATTGTCTATGAGTACTTGTCTATGAGCTTCTCCGTGATCGCCTCATCTGGAGTTGAGTCGGTGGCCAAATGGACAGCTTTCGCCAAAGCTCTCTTCTGATTGGACTTGGTGTTGCCGTCGTGCAGTAGGTGTTTGAGGAGTCTCCAGCTTTTACCGGTCTTGAGTTGGCCCTCCATAGAATCACAGAGCTCATCCCATTGCTGCTTGCATAAGACCTTGCAATGATCTCCTACCGTTTTGTTGATTTCGGACATTTTCTTGCGCAGTCTTCTGTTATGGCGCTGAGTCTTCCATCTCGCGAGCAGTGCCTACTTGGCTTCCAACAGATGCGCGAGCCTACTGTCCATCCTGTCCACCTCCAGATCGGTTGTCACCTCTTTGGTGGCGCTGGCCACATCTTCTTTTAACCCGTCGCACGAAGAGTCTAGGTCCGCATCCGGGGAAAGGGCGCGCTCGGAGCGGTTGGCTCGGAACAAGTCCCAGTCGATGAACTTAAAGGTCCTCGTCTTGTTGCGGGCAACCTCTATGAGCACTTCGATGATGCAATGATCGCTACCGAGGTCGATAGCTGTGTTGGTCCATTTGACGTTTTCCAGACTCTTGACAAAGGTGAGATCCGGGGTTGTATCTCGGCACACCGAGTTCCCTCTCCTGGTCGGGAAGTCCTTATTGGTTACCAGTGTCAGATCTTCCTCCGTTGCCGTGAGCCATATGTCTCTACCCTTCTTCATATTGGTGAGGTAACCCCACGCCTGATGCTGGGCATTGAAGTCCCCCATGACGACAAGAGGTTGACAGCCGGCAAAATGCACGGCCTTCTTCAGAAGACCACCAGCCCTGGCTCTGTGTACGCTGGGCCTGCAGTAGACATTTAATATGAAATACTGTTCCTTCGTAAGCACCGCTTAGGGGGGTCGAATAGGAGTTCCGTCATGACGTACTCGACCCCATTGTCCGCTGGACCGAGGTCTCGCTGAATGCACGTGAACCTTTTACTGACCAGAGTGGCCACCCCCCTTCCCCCTTCAGTGGAAGCCACAGTGACGAAACCAGGGAGCCTGATGTGTGATGATGTGATCGTTTCTTGCAAGGTGATAACTTGGGGTTTATCCTTTATGCCTTTTAGGTATTGTCGCAGGGTCGCCCGTTTGCTGACGAACCCTGCGCAATTCCACTGCCACATTGTTATGACGTTAGTTTCGTTATCCATGTTTGGGCTTGGGGATGGGTTTCGAGAAGGCCGCCTGCAGGATGGCACCCTCTGTCGGCGGGGCAATGACACTGTTCAAGTTTGGGACTGGTGTTGTCGATGTGCTTGGCAAAAATCCGTGGTGGGTCCCCTCCAGTCTAAGTATTCTCTCGCTGAGGGCGACCAGACCCAGCTGGGGGTGTGCGATCATTTCTTGTACTTGAGAGAGGCCTGACTGTATGTTGGAGATGGCCTTCTTGAGCTCCGAAAGGAGCTCCAGAGTCTCGTCTTCCCTTGAGCTATCCAGGGCGCGACGCTTCACTGCACCCGCCTTGGGGGGAGCCTCCGCCGTGTCCATGGCCGACGAACTCGTGGCGGCCGGAGGAGCCAGCGGTTTGAGCGCCAATTTTCGTATTTCGGCTATCTCGGTGGCTAGCCGACTGATTTCCTGCTCGAACTGGGCGTTTTCTTTCCTAAGACTATCATTGGCACGCCTAAGCTCTTTGAGCGCGTTCGTGAGACGCGGGTCGTGCGAGTCCTGGGAGTTGGACGCCTGCGCTTGGTTGCCACGGGCCCTATCGGCCCACGTTAGATAGGACTTGCCTTTACCACCGGAGGGGGTGTTGGATCTTGGCCTGTTGGACGAGCCCCTCCGGGTGCGGGACGTGGAGCGGCCTCTGGAGCCGGAGCGCGCTGGAGAAGGCGATGATGGTCGTGATCTTGGGGCAGAGCGGCTTTTGGAGCCCCGTCGGCTCATGGAGCGACCTCGCGAGCGCGAGCGTCGTTTTCCCCTAGGGCTAGGGCTACATGAGGCTTGAGAATAGGAGGATCGAAGGATCGACTGCGGGGGGAGCTCCTCTTGCTGTCTGGCGCGCTCGAAGCGTCGTCGGCGAACAATGTACGGAGTCTTGAATCTATGCGCACATTCTTTACTGGCAGTAAGGTGCGGACCGCCACAGAACTTGCATATTGGGGTGCATTGGTGCTGCTCATCAGGGTTTGGAAGGCCGCATCCCCGACAGACGACGTCGCTGGGTGTTGGACAGACATCGGCGCGATGCCCGAGTCTTCCGCAGGCGTGGCATACGTCCACTTGCTTTCTATATAGGGAACATTTCAACAGGAGCGTTCCGTACCTGACAAAATTCGGTACCCGGTGCCCGTCAAAGGCGATGATCACAGTCTCCGTCTGAGCAATTCTCTTAGCTGCCAGTGCGAGCGGGTTTTTCTGGTTAACGATCTTGCCATCCAGCGTCGCAGGGTCGTCTTGCAACGGTATGCCACGTATGACCCCCTTGCACGTGGAGTGTGGGGCAGTCTCGTACGCGCAGAGTTCGTGGATGTTGCCCGAGATGCGGATTTGCTTGAGGCGGGAGTATCGATCGGCATTTTCCCGTCTAGGAGTGCTGGCCACCATAATGTTTTGCTGTAAGTTCGGGCACAGAGTGTCTTGTGAGAGCTCATCGGGTCTGATGCCGGCGGCTGCAAGTATAGCGTCAGCCACCGCAGCCGCTCCAATTTTGGAGATATTCAGTCCACCTCTTGGTCGAATGACGATTTTGGTGCCTTCTTTGGGAAGAACCGGCATTCGGCCTGCCCTAATAATCTTGGACTTCAGCGCTGCGCCGCTATGCTTGTCGCCACGGGACGCCGAAAGCGTTGCCGCGGCGTTGGGGCCACCTCCCCGCGATTTGGCGTTAACTCTTCTGGCGCCCGCAGTTTGCCATCCCTGGTCTTGAGTGACTTCCTCCGGGGAAATGTTTTCTCCCACTACTCGATATTTCATCATGGTAACGGACGAGTGGCGCCGAGCCACCCCTGAGGCCGGCTGGGTGGCCTAGATGAGCTAGGCCTAGGCCTGGTCTCCGAAGTGCTCGTTAGGTGAGACGCCGCCGACGGAGGCACACAAATGTCCGTAAAATGGTGAAAAATCACTCACTGTGGCAAAAGAGGGTGTCCGCGTGGTCCTTAGAACTTCGCGGAAAAGATTTGCACAAATAAACATGGATACTCGACGACAAAATGCTAGAAAAGTTGGCAAAATCCGGGAGCCGACGCGAGCACGTCTTGACTCGCCGCCGCCAGCGTCTGCCCTCCCGTTCAGTGCGCTAGAGAAAAAAATTATTCAAAGGAAACTTGTCCCAGGAAATTTGTCCTGTATGAAAATTATACACCATGTTGCAATTCACTGAGGGAGAATGCAGATTTCATTCATTGACAAGTTCTAAGACTTCAAAGGCATAAAACGTATTAACTTTCGTACTGAAAGCCCTGAGCAATGACATACCATTTTGTGACAGTAACATTTGCTCATCAAAGTTTGAATGCATCGGGTAGTGAGTGGTTTACAACTGATTTGAAATATAGTTTTGTTGTTCATTGAAGCCAATTAGTTCCCAGGGAATGAGAATACATGCTGATAGAGAAAATACAAAGGTTTTGTTCAATGGGGCCTTATCAACGAAAGGGTTGAAGCTGTGTCATTAATAACTTAGTGGAAACTTTGGCTTACCTTATTTCATACTCTAGCCATTACATGCCAGAGAGCAGTTGAAATGAACAAAGAGGCAGAAAAATGTATGATATGAATAACAAATGGGCATGCGTTGACCGAGGCCAGATGCAAACTACTGCTGACTCAGAAGGCTTACGTGAAGACCTTTCCTATGATCGACATTATCTTGTATTTCATGTGCATAACATCCATGAACAAAGGCTCTAATTTGACCAAGTGCGAGCCAGTGGAGTGGCATAAGATCCCATTTTGAGCACAGTGACAGCTTGAGTGAATGTATTTCTTTGAAATGCATTCTTAGCATCAACACTAAAAAAGATTACTTAGCATCAACACTAAAAAAAAAAAGAAAAAAAAACTAGAACACCTACCACACTTTAGTATCTACAGCTCATCTTCTTTCCCCTTGAAAAGGTTGTCCTCGGCACTTCACTTTGGCAAAAACAGTACTTATGTTAACATTATATTCCTAGCCTTACTCCAGTTTGCCTTGCCTGCCAAAGTGACAATAACTGGCATCTTTATTTCTTTTCCTACATAAATGTCTGCTAGGCGAAATGCACCAGCTGATGCGTCAGCTGCACAGCGACCAGCAAAAAAGCCGAGACCGGTGGCGTCAGTACCGAAAAGGTAAAGAGCAGAATTTTCTTTTGCCTCCTTTGTTTTTAGAATGCATTATCATGCAATGTGTATTTCCATACAAAGCATACTTGAGTAGTGGTTATTCTCGATGATTAGTGGGGCTTTGTGGCACAAAGGCCATGGGTGGCCAAAGAGTACGATTACTGATGAAGCACTTATTCTCATTCTGCTTAATTAAAGGATCATATGACACGAAGTGTTGACCACATAAGACCAAGGTAAACAGACTGGATGTTTAAACTGGAAAGCTTCAGCTTGTGAGGGATTTGGGCCAGATAACGCTAAATATTACATGGAATCGGGGAGCAGGAAGTGAGCGATGTAGCACTTAATTTTCTGCTTAGCACATCTTTGGTTTGACAAGCATTTTTTTTCCTTCTTTTAAGAAGAAAAGACGTCTGTAAATAAATATCAGCCAGCATTACTGACCAGTTACTGTAGCCAAAAAAAGTAAAACACATAATTAAGCAGTCATGTCACACTTATAGCAAGATAATCTTTTATGCCTTACACAATACTGTTTTAAAAAAACGATTGTCAACAGTGATACAACTTTTAGAGCAGTGTTGTGCACAATCCTCTAAAACAGGAACGGAAGGTTGTTCCTTATACCTTCCCAGTTTCGAAACACATTCTTATTGCAAGTTTCTGTGCGAAAGGAACTCGTTATATTTACATTTCGAAAATTGGAATGTGTTGTCATTAACATTACATTTGACTATTTAATAAAACTTATGATAATCCTGAAGTGAAAGCTCATAAAAGCAAAAGCTCGAAGTGAGAATGAGGAGGCAAAATTATCGCACAACAAACGCGTGGTACATTTTTGTACCAGATGCTGTTGACCATACGTACTGTTGTGCATGATGTATTGCGTGCGTGTGCCTGTTCATTGCTGGTAAACGTTTACAAAATGAAGGCTGTTCTCTCTACTGTTCTGTCGAAATTGTAATGAGATACCGTTTCAGTTCCACCGGTCCCAAATGGAACTGTGGCATTCCTCTGTTCCTCCTAATTCTTAATCCCATTCTCTACAGCACTGCTTTAGAGAGTACAAAATACTTTGCTTTAGTAATAAGCAATAGGTCCGAAATTGATGCTGTGTTAATTGATGTCTCAAAACCACATGACTGTGTTATATATTCTATACTAGTTTTAAACCAATCCTGGAAATCTTGTGATAAAGTGGGTGAAGGGTGCTTGTTTTCTAGTTCACTGAATGGACACATACGGAATATTTCTGCAGTAATTGATGCTATAACTGACATTCTCTTTAATGTCATCTTAAATGCATATTTGTTAACATGTGCACCTTAGTCTGTTTAGATCGGAATCACTTTTTCACGCAAATGCAAAAGTGAAATGCCGCAGTGTGGTCAAAAGGTGCTTGGACTGACAAAAAAAGAAAATCGTGCATGAACAAGTATTTTGTGTTCACATTTTATCCAAGTATACTGCAACACATCCGTGATATTTATTTGTAGCAAATATCAAGAAGAAGTTCAAATGGCACGTGCCCTGTCTGCATCATTGACGACGGCAGACAAAGACCAAGACGAGGCTCAACGACGATTTTGCGAGTTGTTGGGACATTCTTCAGGGAGAAGAAGAAAACATGCAGTGTGCGTAGCTTTTACTAATGTTACACTACATATATGCGTAACTATATGTGCAACTCTACTCTCACAATGGGTGTGCCACACTCGCCAAAATGACAAGCGGCGCTGACGTTTAAATGCATGTACATGATCTATAAAGTGGATGGGAAGATAGCCGCTGTTGTAGCTCATTTGGTACAGCATCGGGCGCATGATTCGGAGGTCGCAGCCCACAGCAAGTTATCTTTTCGACCACTTTTCTTTCTTCACAATTACATTACGATTAGTTCTGTTCTCCTGCTCTCATTAATATTGTGCCTAACACCCTTTACCCTTCTTTCCTTCACTATATATATATGTGTGTCGCTAGTAAATTGAGAGCTTGTTGAAAAAATGTTTTTCTTGGTGGTAAAAGGCAGTGATGTTAATGGTTACAGTAAAAGCTTGTTACTAATCAGAGCTTACGTTTAATTTGCATCAATTTCCTGCTTCCTATACAGCCCTGTGTATTTCTATAGGTGACAGCTTTCAAATATTATTCGAACGTGTCAGTATTGAATGCGCCTCAGCCCCTGCTTTTATAATCGTTCCTTGCACTAGTTGGCCTTGAGTGATCACAGTGTGCTGCGAAACCAGACCAAACTGAATTTAATAGAGATGCAAAACAACAAAACAGCAGTATGTTTTTTTCAGCAGATGAGAATTCAGATACTGTGTTAGCGCTCTGGGGCAAGCTCCAAATGGTGCTCATGGAGTCGAACAGAAGGGACACAAGCAAATGCAAACAGCTGATTACTTTTATTTTTAATTGCGTTGTCTCTGCAATCTAAATAAATGTGTTTCAAAGCATAAGTAGCTCCATATATTTCGACATTAGGGTGCACTGCTCACATCATTGCATGTCGGTGCTTGTTTCTGACATATCACTACGGATCAATTAATTTCTGTTGTCTGTCTGGGCTCCATCAACCTAACTTATGAGATTGCCAGCCACGAACTTGCAGCAGCACTTAGTTTGTGATAGTGAGTCCAAAGGTGGCTTCTGTGGGCTCTGCCTGTGCTGTGTGGTACAATGTCTGTTCATTGTAGGGCCCTCCCACAAATCCCAATTTCGTTTAATTAGAAAAATTTAGTAGCCCTCCTCAAGTTCGAATTAAGCTTTTACTGTATCAAACCTTGGTCAACTTGATCTGCAGATGGCAGTGTACAGTTTATATTATAGTTAAGGGACCGACGAAAGTTGTTCTGGTCAGATAACATCATGTACTGCCTATTTTGTACTGGCTTGGGAGTGGAATGCCGTAACACCCGTGTACCAATATTTAGGTGCGCATAAAGAAAAACTACAGGTTGTCAAAATTCATCTAGAGTCCCCCCTCCGCTATGGCATTTGGGCACACAAATCCCCAGAATTTATAATGTTTAATAAACGACCGGCTAGCCTCAGATACGGTTCTTTTCTTTTTATGTGTGTGTGATTGCAGAAGATTCAAGTGTGAACTGAATGTATGTAGGGTGATTTTTACATCCACCACAACGGAGAGAAAAGAAAAATATTAAATAAAGTGTTTGCATTTGCTTAACTGTATGGCCTCCGAGATTGGCAGCGTGCACTAATGGGGATCTTGGAGGCTGTGGCTGGTGTTGAATAAAAGTTGAATGTAATCGATAATAACATCAAATTCAGTTCCTATAATAAGAACAGGAGTAAAAGAAAAGGAAACACACAAATAAGTTTTTTTAACATCACACAAGAGAAGCAGAAGTTACTGATAGAGCTGCACATTGCTAGCATAGTAGTCTTCATTACAGGTTTGTGAATTCTGCTTTTTATATGCTGATCATAGATGCGAGTTTTTATATGTAACAGGATTTATTCATTGAAGTCCCCAGTTTGTCCACCGTGGAGGTGGAAATGTTGTAGGCCCGTGTGCTCGGATTTGGGTGCACGTTAAGGGGGGAGGTGGCATTGAAAAAAAACTTTTTTATTTGTTGACCTACAACAATGAAATTTGGCATGCATACTCATAAGTGTCTCGAATAGGGAAATGTGCAGTTTCATCATGATAGCTTCAGTAGTTCTCAAGTTACATAATGCTGCACGATACAATTACATGGTCTGCTCGTGGAAAGCCTAGTGCTGCAACAAAACATGCCAGGAAGCTGCAAATGGTGTTGATCTTTACTCAAATAAAAAGCTACAGGGTATGACACTCTCAGAACTTTTTTAATAAGTTCTCTTTTTTTTTTTTAGAGATCATCATGGCTGCCGACACACATTGTCAGAAACAGTGGCACGAACAAATCATCGTCTAGAAAAATAACAGGGCCATAAAACAGAAATTGAAGATTGCTGTACCCACAAGCAGTGTTCAGGGATTCAGGAAAAAAAAAAAAAACAGAATCAAAATCTGTCCAATCATTCCCGTGCTACTCTTTCCATGAGCAATGCACAATGTCCAAAACACACTTGCGAGAAAAAGCCTGTCGAAGTTTTCGACAGGCTTTTTTCAATGAACTTTTTTGGTTCTCGTTGGATATTGATGAAAATTGGCACCGACACTAAGAATGACCTCACAGTGCTTCCATAAAAATTTTGAAGCGATACCACAAATACTTTACGAGAAACAAATTATTTCTTCATTGAACCATGTGGAGGGGCTGAGCATAATGTCAAAAAAAAAAAAAGACAGTATTGAGAAAGCTGCGTTTAAAAGTTTCAACTTTTCTTTACGTCTCTAGGTCTCTAGGACACCTAAAAATTGTGATCTCAGGTTTGTCTTGTGATATTTGACTTCTTTTCACGATTTACTCCTTTTCATGATTTACAAAGAACAAGTATGGATTTCAAGCCAAGTTCTTTGTATGAAGAAGTGGTGTGATAGGTATGACAGAAAAGATTGTAGTTGAATAAAACCATATACTGAAATTATTACATACTTTTTGTGCTGAAGTTGTAATTAGCGTAATTAAGTACTTAATTACAAATATTCGCTGAACTTTTCTTTATTTGGAGAGAGGTTTTATTGCATCAGAAAAATGGATCACACCATGACGGCCTATGCCTTCTTTCTCAATAACTAAGTTATGGGCAGAAGACTGCTGGCACGGGAATTTCTAGCACTATAAGTAATGACACGAAACGGGCATATAAAAATTCGTGCCCCTGATTCATACATGCTCTTTCGCCGCTCTTGCTGTAAAACGCATCATCATACAGCCGGTCGCGGAAACTCTTAATCTACAGCAATTCATTAACCTCGGAACATTCATAGACGTTCATGGCGATATCAAGCACGCCTCCAAGCACGTCTGAATCGCATCACAAAAGCTTATTAACAGCACTCCATATGACCGTGGGGTGCGCGGCCGCGTGGACAGTGCAGCCGGCGCATAATGCACTTGCCGGCGGCGTTCGATGACGATGCGCAAAATGTGTAACTACGAAGACAAAAAATCGGCACGCACTGCACTTGGCATCGCATTTTCGAATGACGACGCGAGAAACTGCTAGCCGCTGTTCCGAGCGATCCTTGGCAGTGAAGGGGGGGGTGACGAGCTTGACTGTGTTTTCCGCTGCCGATGCGTAAAATGCCCGTACGTGATTCAGAGGAGCTAGCGAGTGATGTGGTACATTCCTTGCGAAGAAGCACGTCGCCAAGAGTGCGCTTGCGCGTCGTTCCTGCCCGCAGTCTCGCTGTCAGCGGAGTTAGGCCTAAAGCCGACTCCGATGACGCGCCGCACTCGTAGACCGCCGCGCGCCCGCTTGTAGTAATGTGATTGTGCATCCGGTGCGGCCACTCGTTGTAATCAGATCGTGCCGCCGCTTTCAGCTTCGTTGCTTGCGAAGAAGCACGTCGCCGCGAATGCGCTAGCGCGCCGTTCCTGCCCGCAGTCTCGCTGTTGGCGGAGTTAGGGCTAAAGACGACTCCGATGACGCGCGGCGCTCGTAGACTGCGCTCCCGCTCGTAGTAACCTGATCGCGCCTCCGCTTACTGCTCGTAACTAAAGCGTGGTTATATCTCAAGTGATTATTAAGCCGTGAACACGTCACGAAGTGGCGATTTTCGAGAGTCATGTCCTTGCGACGCACTAGCAGCAGACGACGATCTCCGGGAGCGAGCATCGGGCCAATGGCGAGGCGAGCTGAGGCAACATGGCGGCCACGGCCAATCAAGGGCCTCAAAACCATGACCTACTACACTCCTGACCTGCCCAGAGAGCACCTCTTCCAGCGCCCACGTTCTAGTTCATACCTTCTGCCGCTAGGGCCGTAACTTAGGAGCACTGTGGCGCTAGTCAGCACCTGTTCGCTGACGTCAGCTTGAGTGTTCGTGGTCATATTTCGGCCAACAGAGCACTCATATTGCGTAATTATTATGCACTAATGAAAAATAATTTTGAAACAAATATTTCAAAAGTCATTCACAAATTCTTTGCAATTAAATGGACGCAACATCACATATGCTGTCCTACACTATGTAAGTCTACGGATTCTCGCATTTGTCCACCAGTGTGCAATAAATTTTTCGTCACACTGAACAGCTTACTTGACCAGTCATCTAAGTGAAAAAATAGTCACATATATGCCGGCTGTTCATCACGGAATGCAGCCGTTCTTACTCTAGCGCCGTCCAAACAGCCGTAAAGTAGCAGACGAACAGGTTATAGGTAGCGCCACCTACGGCGAGCGATTGAACGAGAGCGGGGACACGCGCTCCCATAGGAACCCCGCTATCTGAACAGGTCAGGAGTGTAGTAGGTCATGCTCAAAACGACCTTCAAACATTTGCTTTTTGCTCGCTTGTTGTTAAGAAAGTTAAACACGGAGAAATGCTCTTTCCGATGAGCCCAAGAAACCGGCTCCCGGCCCAAGCATCGCGAAGCTAAATTTTTTTGAAAAACGCCGTTTTCTCGCCATTTCCAAAAAAATTTTCCCTACCTAGGTGGGTGAAACGAATTTTCCGAAGCACTTCTGCGCGGTTTTCAGTGTAGATATTTTGGAACCAGATAGAAAAAGGGTTCCAGAAACTGAAAACTTGAGTTTCAAAAAATCGATTTTTTTGCCATTTTTCGCGATCCCAAAGCCGCGTCCCCCCTTAAAGAACCCCAGGCGGTCAAAATATTCGGAGCCCTCCACTACGGCTTCTCTCATAATCATATGGCGGTTTTGGGACGTTAAACCCCCCATATCAATCAATCAACCAGTTTGTCCACCCTTCACGTCGTTTGAGTGCTTATTCTGGATCTTGTGGCTCCTGTTAGATTTGATGCTAGACTTGTTCGAACCGAGACACATACTCGTTTTTATTTTTTATTGTGACCGGGTCTTGCTGTTAGAAAGTGTTGTGTGTTTTACCTAGGCTTGTGCAAGTATTACAGTATTCGAAACGAACGAATAAGTCGCACGTAACCACCTTGTGAAGGTGATTTCACTGCTGTAGAGCAGTGCTAAGCCGTGAAAGCATCAATTCAGGCATATATTAGTTTGCATGTAACTGTTTGTAAAAGTAGTTTCACTGCAGTGAAGGAGTGCGACGCTGTGAAAACACTGATTTGGGGGAGATCTGCACTGCCGTAAAGCCCCCTTCAAGGTTAAATTAACATATTATCCTCACATTGGTTCACCATTTTTTAAGTTTAAAGCTTGTGATACCGGTGTATATGCCCTAAATATAGTAAATTTTAAAACGTAAGATATTTTACAGGCTATCACTTGAATTCCAGTGAAAGTCATATCCCGCTATTATTCAAAGTTGTTTTCCACTTCCTTTGAACCAAAAGAAATGGCACTTGCACAGACCATTGTTTCAATATTTAAGAAGTATTGTGGAGGTTAGTTAGGCCATGAGAAATGTGCCCATTCTTTATAATATGTGATATATACCATTCGAAATCGGTTCGAAGTTATTTAATCAAAATCACTATTCACTCAAGCCTAGTTTTACCGATTAAAGTTTGTTATCACTTAGTGCGAGTCACACTTTAATGTGTCTGAAACCTGTCCAAAGGTTTAAATTATTGTAATGAGATCGCATTCACGCTGCATACCTAGGAGCACACTCATGTATGTGCCCTGATTTATGTACGTAGATGTATATAGCTCATAGTCGATGACTGTGCTCCCAGCTATCATTCTATCATGAGTGTCCTTTTCCTTGCTAAACACAAGTGTGACCACCATATTCTTTATTTGTTTATGCGAACATAGGGTTGCCTCATTCTTCACCATCACATTGTTGCAGCATCATCTTCAATTCATGCATGCATGCCTTTGAGTTAATTCAAAAGCATGTGCTGGCGAGCATTTAAATTAAGTAAAAATCTGTTTCAGCAATAGAGTGCGAATTATTCCTGCGGCAAAGCTTGAGATACGTAACTGAAAAGTTGAGGACACCTTTACTTCCAAAAGTAACACATTTCTCTCCCTTTTTTATAATCAGCAAGGAAACCCCTCTGTTGTTGTTGACCTCGGCTGATGAACGTGCCAAGAAAGTTGAAGAGAAGATTGAACTCCTCCTGACGCAGAGGGTGAGAAAAGAGCCAACATTTTTGTTATGGCTTCATCTGCTGAACTGTGTTATTGTTGTTCTTACAGATGATTGGATTGGAACTCGGGGAGCTGTCGTGGTGCACAAAGCTGAAGGCCACTGGCAAGCTTTCAAATCGCATTAAGGAGCTTTCAACAAAGGTGCAGTATTATGTATTATCGTTGTGGTCGTTGTTTCATAGACACATTGAACATTTTAACGGTGGTACTTGTATGCTGTGGCTTGTGTACAGCTGTGGTATTACATGTCTTATTTATTGCTGTTGTTTCGTAGAGACAGTGGGTGTTATAGCAGTGGTATCTTTAATGCATGCATCAATGTACGCAGGCCAAAGCACGAGAGTGCTTCGGCCTGTGTTTACGTTTAGCCCAACACACAAGTCACAAGTACCTATTCTTTTTGTTTAACTTACCACTAACTTTGGATCCACTAACTTTGGAGTTGCACCGAGTAGAATAATAATTTCTTGCATAAACTTGAAAACCACATTAAGCAATTTTATACTTGTTTCTGCAAAATAGTAAATTAAAATTGAGCTCAAGCATTTTAACCCCTAGTGCTTGTAGCTAATCTATGCGAGGGAAAAGTGTTAATTTAATCTCGAAACGAAGCGTTGTGGCAGTGCTGATTTCCTCTGGACAGGGGTTTTCACCGCTTGGCACGCCTTCACTACAATGAAACAATCTTTACAGAGGCGTACATGCGACCTAATATACGCCCAACTTCGAAAGTTTCAACAATATAAATTTGAATCGAAGCAAATTAGAGCATAGCAATATTCGTTTGAATATTTTCACAAGCACAAAATAGGTCATTTTTTTTTAACGCTAAAGTGTTTTATGCCGGGGTCCACCATTGCCGTACTCTCGTCATGGAAGGGAAGTTGAAACATATGTACTAAATGGGCCCTGAAACACTTTCATGAGTAACCATGGAATTGATTCACTGGAAAAACGTATTGACTCACAAATTCAAAGCTGCAGAAATTTTAAGAATCCGTCCAGTACGAGCAGAGTTACAAAGATTTGTTACACGCTGCAATCGCATTCTCTCTTCTCTTGTCCCAACGAAAGCGCTGGAAGCTAAGCAGGGAGGGATGGGAAGGGCAAACCAAAAGCGTCACACGCGCCTCGTGACATTGAGCACTTTCTTTTTTTTTCTTTGAATACGCGGCTTTTTCAGTGCGATCGTGCCCGCATGCGTGGTCAAGTGTCGGCTTCTTGCGGCAATCTCTGTTACAACCGAGCGCGCCATGTTCAATTTTGCCAATGGCTGATAGATGGGTAATCTACGTGTGATTTTCGAGCGTTTTTCGTCATTTGTTGAGAGAAAAGAAAGCAATTTTTAGCTGACTTTGATAAGTTAATGTGCATTCCAGGCCGCGTGCTGCGCTATAACATTTGGCTCACATGTTCCCAGGAGCCTCTACTACCGATCGGCAGCGTTTTCTGACTATGCCCAAAAAGTGTTTCAAGGCCCCTCTAAGAGATTGCAAAAAAAAAAAATAATACAAGCATTTGTAGCGTGGAATTGAGCCAGCAACCTCTAGATTCTCAGGGTGCGGCGCTAACCACTATGCCACTGAGCGTACATCGTCTAGAATGCTAATGGCAAGCCATTTATATGCTGTATTCACTCGTATAGTGAGCGCACTCACATTATAAGCGCACCCCCAACATCAGCCGTCAAAATCCGTTTTTTTTTCTCCTCTGTAATAAACACACCCCCTACATTTGTCAGCTACAGTTCTGGTAACTGACACCTGGCACCTTTTTGTCTGTTGGATCTCATTTAGTTTTTTATCATGTCGACCCCTTTCGGCCACCTCGGCTCGCTCCTTCTCCCATCTTCGCCCGCTATCATGTTGTTTTTCTTTCTATCTGTGCGCGGCATGTCCCCTGTATTTTTTAATTATCTGTTTGCCACAGCGGCATTCCCGAACGGTGCGAGTGTAGACACATCGCAGCTGATAATGGTGCATTCAGACGATGGACCAAATACGCATATGGCGGGACGGACAGCGCGTCACGTGACCTCACATCAGCTATTACCCTCGTCCGCGTGGGTCGCAGACGGATGACCCCAACCTGTTTCTCACAACGGGATTCTGGCGGGAGAAAGCCCGATTAGCTCGGGGTTTCTGGCAATCAGTACACCTTTCGTCTGCTCGCGGCATATCCTCCATGGCTCGTGGGCAGCTGCATGACTGGTCGGCATCATCGACCCTTGAGCATGGTTTACTTAGTGTCCGGGGGCTTTGTTCTCAGGTGATTCAATACGCAGAAATCACTTTTGGTGGTTCGGGAAATGTCACCGCCATCGTTTGACACGTGAGATTCTTAGCCGTCATGGTGGTGAAATATTCTAACTTCTGCAACTGGCAACATGCCGTTTCTAAAAAAGATGGGAGACGCATTCAGAAGTTCTACAAGTGGGGAACAGTGTACTAGTTGAGAGAACATTCTGACAGAAACTCCCTTTTCTCCTAAAAGAATAACACTCCTCGTTCACTTGTCGCAACGCGACACACATCGCAGCCAAGCGTCGCTTCTTGCGGGCATCCATGTTATATACTCACAAACCAGTTTGCTGCCAGCGGGCGCAGGTGAGCGCCGCATCTGCTGTCGAGGGTAATCGAGCTGTTTTTTCCTAGGACACCGTTTGTCGTGTGGATGCGCCTGCAGGCGGATCATCCGCGGATTAGCCGTCCGCGTCCACGACAAATCCGGATTCAGTCCGTCGTCCCAGCGAGCGAAGGTCATGACCACGGTGTTATAAGTATAAGTGGAATGACGTAGTGCCACCGCCACGCGCTCGCTGCGCTCAACTCTGGTTCCTTCACTCCACTGCGCCGTGAGATGGCAGAAGCAGTCACTTGGCTCACAGCCGAGTGAGTGGCGAGTGGGCGTTGTTCAGACCACGATATTGTTCAGGCAAAGCAGTTGTCGTCGCATTCCACTCTTGTTTTCGTTCTTGTTTTTTTGTGTGTGCGCGATGAGAGTCCATGCTGTTCATGTGAGCAAGTCGTGAAGTGGGAAAAAAGTGTTTTGTGCCCTAGTGCAAATCTGGCGACAACATGTGCACGGAAAAAGTCGATTTCACAGTGTGAATTAACATTTTTTCATGCCATGAATCCCAGACAACCTAAGGAACATCTAAGATTGCGCGGAAAGAATTTTGAAGTGCTGGAGTCTTTTCTACAATGGCTCAATATAATTGGGAGGAAGAAGTGAAGGCAAGACAAATTGATCCTCATAATTTTTTTTTTCATGAACCACTGCTGCGGGCTTGCGAGTGACTATTCTGTCGACAATTCACCTGTCAAACTACTTGTTAAAGAAATGCGACTTCAAATATGTGTTAACTGCAAAGTTCAACGAAAATGTTTTGGAAAAGTTTTTTGGTTTTACGCCAAGCTGGAGGCCAGAATCAACATCCCTGCTTGCCGACGTTCTTGCAATTATACAGCATGCTATCCATTTACAGTCTCATAAAGCCACCAGAGTACGGGAATTGCCAGTGACTTCCTAGGGAAGAGCGACGACTTCTTAGCTTGCGTGATTTAACATCAGTTTTCAAGGAGGATCTGGCTAGCCATTCACGTTTGGATGAGCTTACGAACAGGCTTGACGGATTGATGCAGGATGATTGAGTGCGACGATGTATTTAACTCAATGCCTGCATCAGAGAGCATTACCGACTGCATAATTTATTATGTATGCGGGTTTCCTTGCCGAAAACTTCTAAAAAATGCAAATTGTTCTAAGTGCAAGCTTGGACTGACTGGGACATCTGATATGTCAAGAGCTGCATCAGCTCTTGTAGTTTCGAAGACAAGAGGAGGACTTAAACACCATAATGCCACGCTATTTGATCTTTTGAAAGAAGCTGAACGAAAATTTCAGAAGCACGCCGGCGATAAGGAAGTGTATGATTTGGCTGTTGACTTTGTATTATATAACTACAGCTTCTCATTTCCATGTAAGGAACATAAAGTAGACATGATAGCACAAGTGCTCTGCTATTATGTAGGAGTGCGTATGCGCTAATATTGTAAACAAGTGAAAAAGATTGAGGCAAACAAGTCTCAAAAGTTGCGCAAGCTTTCGAAACTAGCCCAGTAAGTTGCTACCTCGCCCCGCTGCGGTGGTCTAGTGTCTAAGGTACTCTACTGCTGACCTGCAGGTCGCGGGATCGAATCCCGGCTGCGGCAGCTGCATTTCCGATGGAGGCGGAAATGCTGTAGGCCCGTGTGCTCAGATTTGGGTGCACGTTAAAGAACCCCAGGTGGTCGAAATTTCCGGAGCCCTCCACTACGGCGTCTCTCATAATCATATGATGGTTTTGGGACGTTAAACCCTACATATCAATCAAATTGCTACCTCGAAGTCAAAATGCATAGCGTTGGTTTTTCACATGTGTCTTCAATACTGCTTTCTTTTTGAGTTGAAGTGCTATCCTACTCTGTTTGTGGCCATTTAGATATGAATGTATCTCTACGTCGCTGTAATAAAATGTGCCGTTTTTGAGTTAAGAATTTCTCTTTTGCTTTGAAAAATCTTCATAGACCGGTATGTACTGTTCTCCTTTCCCTGAGCGAGAACTATGCTTGTTAACAATGAAAATATCTGTGTTTTTATGCGCTGAAACCACAATATGAATATGAGGCACGCCGCAGTGAAAGGCTCCAGAATTTTCGACAATGTGGTGTTTTGTAACGTGCACTAGCATCGCAGAATGGTGTTTCGTCTGTCTCGTCTTTAGTTTTTTTTTTTTTGCACAGTTTTTTTTTTTTTACTATAAATATGTACCAAGAAGCTCAAGTTCACACGCTTCTCATCGCACAGCACTTTGGCCCGCTTCATCAAAATGCGACCGCCGCAACGAAAATTGAAACTACATTTTTCTACTGCAAGACTTTGACTAACAAGTTATTTTGTCTAACTATTACGTAAACATTACTTAAACCAAGAACTAACTTTTGTCATAAATACACGGTACTTTACCATCATATGTTTGAATTCACGATCTGATGTTTGTGCATGAGAAAACATATGCTCCTATCACGAACCTTCGGTGTGGTGAATGAGACATTTTCCACGGCTATCAATGCTGTATTGTCAAAATGTAGTAATTGTTAGCCACGTTTAATAATTTATTTACTTTTCACTCGTTATCAAACGAAGGCAGTTTTTTTTTTTTTTTTTGAAGTTGCTTTCGCGGCCCTGAAGCAACCTGCGCCTGAGCCATGGTCATTGTGGCGCCATCTCTGGCCCTCTGCAAGACGGGGACAGAAATTCTTCACTTCCAGAGGCGCCATCAGTCCGCCTAAAATATTACTAGCACCGTGGTCATGACACTGCCCGCGCCAACCGACGGTTGCTTCGTGCAAATACGAAACTTCAAGACCCAACCACATGCACGTGATTTTCGAGCAACGATGACAGGATGTGCTGTCGCCATGGCTGTCGCGAAGGGCCATTCTTTGCCATCGCATCGCAGGTTTCTGGAAAACCAAGAAAAGTACCGCTTGTAGCACCCGCGATTCTCGCTTCGGTTCCAATTTGGTCATCATGCTTGTTATTCGCGCGTACGTCAAGGAACGCAAGATATAGGCTACATTTCCCACAGTAACTTGTCATGTGGCTAGCGAGACAGCAGTAGTATTTTGTCGTTAATCTGGTTATCGATGGTTTGTTGGTGGTAGCTTGGTGCAATGTGAACGGTGGCGTCGCAGTCGTTGCGCAGGGACAGCTTACAGGAGACAATGCCTTCAATCACCAAAGTTGAGTGAAGTGCAACAAAAAGCTGTTTACAAACAGTGTACGTGTATGTAAATTGCGAAAGGCCAGGTGGCCTTCTTTTTGCATTACCACCTTTTTTGCTCACCCTAAAAGAGTTTTCATAAAATTTGCCCCGCATAATAAACACGCTTCCAACATTGCTCTGATTTTTCGAGAAAAAAAGTGCGTTCGTTCTGCGGGTAAATGCGATACACCATACACCTCAGAGCCTCATACACCTGGGCTACAGTCCTCAGAGCTTCGAAACTTCAGCACGCTTTCTTTATCAGTGGCGAAATGGCGCGACAGGCTCGCGTTGGTGCACCCTAAAGGTCGTTGCCTCCACAAAGCGCCGCCTCGACGAAGCGTGGTCTCTCCTGGCGCGCTTATCAGACTCGTAATTTGGAAGAGGACGAAGGTCACTTTGCACGCTGCCACGGCCGCGTATACGAAAGGGGCGCACTGCTGACACACGACGCAGGAAGAATTGTGACAGTTCGCATTTGTCCCGTGTATACTTGTGCGCTTGTTTCCTGTGTCTTTCTTTCTGTTTGAGCAGCGCGCTTTAAGTGTTGAGCTGTGACAGTTGTTAGTCCACGCTTGTCCTGTGTATGCTGATTTCGTGCGTTCTTTCTGGTTGAGGTGTGCGCTGCAAGTTTCAAGCTGCTTGCCGTTCCTAACGTGACTTCGAAAGTTGTTGCTGTTGCTGAAACAATGCACAATCAACGCTCAACTGACTCAGTAAAGACACGTTTCACTTTCTTGTTATACTGATTCCTATAGGGAGATAAGCTTTTTTTTTAATGTCCACTCCAACTGTGCGAGCTCTGCGACTCTTTTTGTTCCCCCTCTCAAATGCTGGATTTCTGTTTTATAAAGGACACACCACTCTGGAGCCTTGCGGGTGAATGCAGAGAGCGGCAGGAAGACTATTATTTATGCAGCCTAAGTCCCGTCGTTACGCCGTCCACAGTTGAGGTTGGGAGCCGACTGAAGTCTCTGAGTCAAGTGCCTGGCCGCAGCCTGTCAGGAGACCTCGAAATTGTGGATGGCCTCGCCACAGGAAAGCCCAAGCCATTGGTGAGTGTCTATCCATGTGGCTCATGTTTATGTTATGGTAGGTATATCTAAAGCAGTGGTGGAAGTGCTGCCCCAATTGCTCCAAACTGCTTCAAAAAAAAAATGCTGCTGTAAACTGTGCATATTGCTGTTGATTGCTCCAAACCTGCTCCAAAATGGCACTGAGAGAAAGAGAATGAAGAAACTGTACGCCCAAATCTTATGACTTAAAAAAACTGAAACAAATCTGTATAAGTAAAACCTTAATAATTCGAACTCGTTTATTTCAATATCTCGCTAAATTGGAAGTATTTCCGTAGTCCCGTATTTTGCAACATAATTTTCAATAAATAATTTGAAGTAATGGTTGCAGCAGTCCAGTTAATTCGAAAACCTTGAGTGCAGTGTGCCAATTCACGATTTTGCCACAAATCTGCGGAAACGGCTGCCCTTTAGTGCCACAAGGCAATGCAACGTAGCGATACTAATGAGTGGCAGCTGAAGCAGTCCAGCCTCGCTACTTCCAGCACAAAAATAAAATTATACAGTAATACCTCGTTGACTCGGAAGTCGTAAAAACCAGGGAAAATATTGAGATAAATACAATTTTGAGATAAGCAATGTTGTGGCACTCGCTGAAAAAAATGAGCACTTTTAAGAAAAATCACTACTATTTACCAGCTCTCCAACGGTAGTTTCTAATTTTTCTTTTCGTTCAGGTTTGAAAGAGAAAAAAAAATAACATACAAGAGATTTTAACCAGCTGGGTTTTGCCGCACTGCCATTTTATTTAGCAGAGAAAAACTTCCTAATGCTCGTCTGCTTTGCGGTTATACTCGGGCCTATGAAGGCGTCCTCCAGCTACTTGACGCATCGCATCAGTCGATCTGCCCCAGCGCTGCACTCCACCTCACTTCGAAGCAAATGCAGCAAATTTCTCGTCTCAGAAGATATCGGCACCTCTCAAGGTGGTTTGTTTCTGCCTTTAGTGGCCCTTTGAACGATTTTGGCATCCGTCATTTCTCTAGTCACTGCCACATCTTGCTCACACAGCGCGCACTCCAGAAAAGTCGCGTCATTTCTGGCAGCACCTTTAGCTGTAAGCTTAAAGGAGCCCTGAAACACATGGAACGGATTCACTAATAGAGCAAACAGTCAATCCCGGATATATGGAACTTGAAGGGGATCGCGAAATAGCTCAATATATCGAGAATTTGAAATACAAAATATGCATATTTAAAGCCTAAGTTGAAGCATTTCAGCCCTCAGAGATCGTTACATAGCAATTCACTCAAAGTATAATGAAAAACAAGGTGCGAACTGCATGTTACCACACCTAATTCCGCATGAAGATAGTCCTTAAGCTTGTCTTGCTTTTTGCACGCCGTCAAGTTCCAGTCACCTTCATTATCATTGAAGCTTATCAAATAAGCGAATTTGGCTCCTTGGGCTACAACATTGATTGACGCAGAGCGCTGATGCCAGCTTTGTAGCGCGGCGAAAGGTTATTTAGCGGCGGCAGCGAAAGCATTGGCACATTCATAACCGCATGGCTACGCTTCCGACAACGGCAGCCAAAATCTCAGCATTGATGCAGTCAAAAACAGCTACTTCGTCATCTGTACTGATGATGTCGCTCACTGTCCGAGATGGCGCCTGGAAACGCTGAGAAGTTGCAGAATTCACCAAGCCACCGTATGCCGTTGTCAGCAGTCATGACGTACCCGAAGTCGTCACCTGGCTCGCAAGAAACATTTACGGCAGTGTTTTATTTGACGTCTCTCCAAGCGCCAGTCATAATTTTTATTGCTACGTGCGGGTCAACGTTCAGGTTAACTCCCGAATGAGGATTTATAAGGAATTAAGCGGAAAGTACACAATGCCACAAGGCGCAAAAGATGCCGCTGAGTTTATTCATCGACATGTTGGTGATATTGATGTCACTGTGGCTTTGTGGCTGGCAGATGCTGCTTTCAGTGGCTTTGATGCGAAAAGGTAAAAATAAAGCTAAGCCTCCGAGATACACATTTCGAAACTGAAAACACTAAAAATACATCAAGGTTGCACATCTCGAAGGCCATGCTTTTCAGGATCGAATGCCATTGTGTGCCAACAAACAAGGAAAGAAGTGCGAACATTGCAATGAGATCGCCAAGTCACTTACTCTCAATTTGGTGCCCTCGGCAATCGGTCTTTGGAAAACACTATGCCGGCGTGCTTAGAGCTGCAGATCGCGCATCAAACGTACAGATGTACTCGCAAGGGCCCCGCAACGAACCAGGTCAGCGCGATGGAATGACACTATTTTTTTCGTCGCTTGCAAGTGAAAAATGATTGGAACTTGTTAGAATGCAGCCTAATATTGATCAATATTTGCTAGGAAAAATTCACTTTCTGGGCTTCGGCGCGGCGCAGTGTTCGATATAGCGGATGTCCTGCTGTGCGTGAGTTCGATATACGGGTGCACCAGTCCCATATTTTTGGATGGCGAATTCAAGGGGACTTATCAACCGTTTGATATAGCCAATAATTTGATATATCCAAGTTTGATACATCTGCTATTGACTGTGTTGCTTCATGAATTCAATGCAGCAAAAATTGTAAGAATCCATCCAGTTGCTTCATGAATTCAATGCAGCAAAAATTGTAAGAATCTATCCAGTATGAAGCGGGACTTGTCACATCATACTGCAATTGCATTCTCCCTTCTCTTGTCCCGGCAAAAGCACTGGAAGCTAAGCAGGGAGGGATGATATGGGCCTAGAAAATATGTCACGTGCGCCTCGTGACCTTGAGCACTTTTTCTTAATTTTTTTCTTTGGATACTCGGCTTTTTCAAGGGGATCGCGCGGGAGCATGCGGACAAGTCGCGGCCTCCCATGCAGATCCTTGTAACGACCGAGTGTGCTATGTTCAAATCAGCCAATGGCTGATAGATGGCCTTCTGCGAGGAATTGTTGAGTTTCCTCTGTCATTCGTCTAGAGAAAAGAAAGCAATACTTTGATAATTCATTGTGAATTCTAGGCTATGTGCTGTGCTGCATTATTTGGCTTGTGTGTTCTCGGGAGCCTCTACTACTGATCGGCAGCATTTTCTCACCATGCTCAAAAAAGGTTGCAGGGCTCCTTTAATGACCTCTTGACAGAGTTCCTCACAGTCTGTGAAGTCATCTGTCTCTGCTGTCTCTGCTTCTGGCAAACGCAGCAAATAAGAACCCAGCGTGCGCGCAAAGCAGTTGGGTTTTGCAGTGATGTTTTCGATGACTTGGCTTGGCTCATGTGTCGAGAGAGTAACGACGATGGGACAAGCCATCCACGACACAGGCGCAACGAATTTGGGCGAAGGCGCACGCAACACGGAACAAGTACAGAGAAGCTGTATAAAGCCACATCGTCTCAATGTAACAGCTTGTTATTTTTAAAAATAGTTGTAAAGCCCAGAATAAATGTGGTTAATTTACAAGAACTGCTGCGAAAGCAGAACGACAGCATACACAAGTCCCCAGAAATGCTACCGGCATGGCTGTCAATTCTCAGCGTTGCTGTATGAAAAGGCTCATCCATGTTCAAAGCCTTTTAAATAAAAAAAAATACTGCTTATAAAATGACTATGTGCTTTTGAGATTAACTACTGCAGCTACAACACCACAAAGAGTAAGCTCTCTGTAGCATCAAAAAAATATCAATTGTCAGTCCCTTTAGAAGACATAATAAAATACTGCTTGTTCTTTTCTGTTTGATTTTTGGAAAAAAGAACTATTGCAAAATACTATGGGGAATGGCGCAAGTGGTTCAAAGGTTCAATTTTCGCCTGGTGAAACTGGACAGGTCACGCCATCTAGCGGAGCCCAGTGTAACCAAGCACGCCTGCCATCTCAGAGGCCATGGCAGGAAATTGTTAAATGGCCATTCAATGGCCTCTGCTACTTTCGTTGTGCTTCTATTAGTGTTGGTGGCCGCACAGTAAAGCCGGGCAACGTTGTGCACGGCAACAGTGTCATGAGAGGTTCCAGTTCATGCGAGTAATTTTATGTGTGCTAACGCGATGCGAACCACTAAAACGTGATTTTATTTCAGAATAAGCACTTCCTTGGCAAAAAAGTAGCACTATGAGATTTCCAGACCGCTATTTCAACAATCAACATCGACTTAATATTTGCCTTTAGTGTCCCTTTAATTGTTTGTTTCTTTAATATTTGCCTTTAGTGTCCCTTTAATTGTTTGTTTCTTGCAATTTGCATTGATTGTTGTGTGAAATATATTTCAGTATAGACATTAATATCTTTGAGATGCTTCGGTGATACTTTGAATCCCAGGAGTCGTTTGGAAAATTTTGCACCTGCTCCTGAAACACCAATGGCTGCTCTCTAAACTAAAATCTTTTCTGCTCGCGAAACAGTTGCGGCTGCTCTAAAGTGGTACTCTTTCTGCTCCATAGTCTTCTCCAAAAAGTACAAAGTCACTTCCATCACTGCAAAAGTGATGCCTATTGTTCACCTGTGGTGGTGTTGCATAAGGAAGCACAAAGGAGGCAGGTGCTATCAGTATGTGTAAGTGTCATTTGGGAGCAATAGAGCACCCAAACAGGCATTCATATAGAATGAGAAACACAGAAAGGTCACAATCCTTAACAGGAAGAGAGGAGATATGCGTGTTAGTGATACTTCTATGGAGCTTTGGAAGGCGGAGGTTAAGCATTTTGATCATTTTCTTCTCAAGTGATTTCATGCTACGGTACTCTGTTTTATTTGCTGTGCATATTTGTTTTCTCTGTATAAATTTGCTGGCAAAATCTAAAATAACTTTACAGTAAAACCTTGTTAATTCAAAGTCACTGGGGCCACAAGAAATCTTCTACCTAATTAGGCAGTTTTTCAAATTAACACAAAATACAAAAAGTGGGATGCAAGGAACTTGAAATCTAATTAATCATGAGCTGGTCGTTTGCTGTGCTGGCCAGTTTGCAGTTCAAATGGCTATGTTGTCCAGCAATACCTAGTCTTAATTTTGCTGCAAACAAGAGAGAACGGCGGGCCTCACTGCTGCCATTGAAAAACAAACAAACAAAGAAAACATTGTCGTGATCAATTGGAATGTGCACCTGCAGAAAACAAGACATCTCTGTGACAAATGTTGGCTTCGTCGGGCATCCTTGAAGCACATGAGACCTCGTAATAAAATCATGGTTTACTCACACAGCATAATCCACGTGCCACACAGACTTTACTCAAACGCCACACAGGCTACAAAACGCCACTCAGGCCAAACTGCACGAGAGTCTCTCTGTCTACGTCCTCATCTTCCTTCACTACCTGCCTCAGGCCTCGTGCATTTCTAACACACAGTACTGAGTAGTGATACGCGGGCAGCATGTCGCCTGCTCCTTGCTGGGTGAGCACGTCCTGATGCGACCATTCGCTCATTTTTTCTTGTAAAACAAGGAATTCATTAATGGCCAGTATGCCATTGTTGGTGACACATAATCTTTAACATTTTATGCTCTTTTAGGGCTGTGGTGAATGTCGAAATTCGCGATGTGTTGTGGCCGGAAAAAAATGATCATTGGAACTTTCGAATTTAGTTTTTGAAGTAGGCGTTGCAAGCAGGAACTACGCCGGCAGTGCAAGGGGCGATTGCTGGAGGAACCGGCAATCGGAGGTTCGCATAAATCACAAATTTTGCCAAACTGTCTTTTATTAATTTTTCTTACAATCCCAGAAAGAATGGGCAAATCATGACATTCTGACGTTGCGAGAAACATGCAATAGTAATGTTGCCCGCAGGTCACCGCTGTGTTGCAGTGAAGCACGTCTCATTTTCTGCAAGTGCACGTTTTGATTGACCACGAGACCATTTTTTTTGTTTGTTTTTTCCAACTGTAAGGAGCGAAGCTGGGGTGCTTCAGCTGCCACTCATTAGTATTGCTACGTTGCGTTGCCTTGTGGCTCTTAAGGGTCGTCATTTCCGCGGATTTGCGATGAAATCGGTACAGGGAATTGGCACATGACACCCGAAGTTTTCGAATTAACCGGACTGATGCTGACCAGCGCTTCCAATTATCCGCTCAGTCTTACATTGCAAAATACGGGACCGTGGAAATATTTTGAATTAAGTGGGATTTTGAAATAACGGAGTTCGAAATATTGAGGTTTTACTGTACAAAAAATTATTGCCACTCCTGTGTTTTTGCTTCTAATATAAATGTCTGCTTCTTCCTACCTTTGGTCCATTCTGGTCCGAAACTAAAAAGCTCACAGCTCAAGTAAAAGAAGTTGACTTACTCTTTTACAGATGGCACATAATGTAGTGAGAAAGCGTGCGTGTGAATTAATTGTGAGAGAAGCCCAGCAGTGTCCAATTACAGACTGCTGCATATGTGTTGCTTTGCCGTACAAGGGCCAACAACGTACTACATATGGTTAATGTTCCCAAAAGCTGCGCACCACCTTCTCGAACATCAAGTTTTGTTAAACATGCACCCGTAAGCAAAAGTATATGGACCACGGGAGTGCATCCCGAAATCGCTGTCTGCATAGTTCATTGTCGAGTCATTCAGTGTCCAGACCGATTGCTCTGATGGTATGGCTGTCGAGAACATTCTTCTGAAGGAATTCATAAAAAAAAAAACACTCATCGACAGTAAACAGCTCACCACTAGGCAACACGGACGGCAAAAGTATGCGAAGTTCAATGGCCCAATTTACTTTTGCTCATGGGTGTACGTTTGTACTCGAGCGCCGTGGATTGTCAGTGGTGGCTAAATCTGTAACCATATTTGTTACAGGAAAACGACAGAGAACTCAGCACGCAGCTGCATCGCGATGGCCTCCTCTCTGCACTTAACACGACACTGTCATCCACAGCAGCGTGCCTTGACGTCACTCAACTGAAAATGCCAGATTCTAGTGAAATTGGTCAAGGATTCCTCACTCAAGTGAGTTTTTACATAGCTTTTGTGTAGTCTCCCAAGTTGAACACATGCACACACTACAGAATTTGTATAGTTATTAGTTGAGCTAATTTTCATATAATGTACCAAGCTTTGTCGTTAGTGTAAGTACATTGTGTGCCTGTTTTATAATACAAAAGGGCCCAGAGCTTGACGTTGGTCATTGTAAGCAGGAGCGTGCTGCTACCGTAAAATGTGCAAGGTAGAGGTTTTTCTTGCACATAGCCTAGTCATCTTATAGAAAAGCACAGGGTATAAAATAGATTCTTAATATGCAAGTCCTGTGTACTTCATTTTCTTTTTTTTTTATTGCTACCTAGAGCTAGTGAACCTTTGTCGAATGTCTTGAATATTTAAGATTGGCCCTCTCAGATTTCATTGTCCAAATTATTTAAGGTTTGTCTTAAAGCTGAATATTTTTTATAGCTTTCTCATTTTTTTATTCAAAGTGAAAATGCTATTTTGTTCACGAATTGTTAATTGTGTATGTAAAATACTTGTTTCATAAAATTAAAGGTGGTGATGTAAATTGTTTTTGTAATTTTTTGTTCAATTTACTTGTAGTTTGAGCTGTGCGAATAGAAAAATTTTAGGCCAAAGCAATTTAGAATATTGAAGCGTGACTGCTAATCGAATTAAGTACTCTTTTAATATTTTTCAAATATTTTTATAATTCTTTTTTTATAGTTCAAAGTGAAATTGCAGGAATAAAAGTTGGAGGGGATTCCTAGGCATATTCTTATAAGAAATAGCAACATGAAAGTGTTTCTTTTTACTTGGTTAATGAAGGTCTTGCAGGGCGGTATTTCATAATCTTATCTATAATGAAGGGAAGGGGGGAAGCAGAGGCCGAATTGTTTTAGTACATGACTTGGGCACAACCAAAGCCTTGCCAACAACGCTTTGCAGGTGAAAGGCAACGATGCTATTTCCTCAGTCTCTCCTCCTCTTTAAAATTCTGTGGAAGCCCAGCTAATGTGGCAGACAAGGGGGTCCTTGCTTTGGGTCCACAGTTCCAAATCTGCCTCCCAGGTGTCATCTTACAAAAACGTTTGAAATTTTGGATGCTAGAAATCTTTAGCATTCGATTTTTTCCCGCCCAAATTTGAGGTTTAAAACAGCATTAATTGTGCCCCCATTTCTGCCACATCTTTAATCTTCATGTTAAACAAATGTTCTCTTGAGTCAATGCATTTAAGACCTTACTTGAGCCTGAACGGCAGTCTTGCTGCAATACGGGAATGTGATGAGGTGAGGCATTTGAAAAATCTGAAGGGTCACTTTGAATTTGATGTTGAATGTACTTTAAAGGGGCCCTGAAACACTTTTTCAAGTAACCATGGAAGGAATTAACTGGAAGAGCTTATTGCCTCCTGAATTGAATTGACACAAAAATTTTAAGAACCCGTCCAGTGCGGGGGGAGTTGCAAAGGTTTGTCGCATGCTGCCATTGCATTTTCTCTTCTCTCGTCCCGACGAAAGCGCTGGAAGCTAAGTAGGTAGTGATGGCAGGGCCGCAGAAAAATGTCACGCAAGCCTCGCGACCTTGAGCACTTTTTTTTTTAGCTTTGAATGCGCTGCTTTTTCAGTGTGATCGCGCGCACACACGTGGACAAGTAGTGGCCTCCCGCGGCGATTTCTGTAAAGAGCGAGCGCGCCATGTTCAAATCAGCCAATGGCTGACAGATGGGATGTTGAGGTGTGATTTTTGGGCATATAACGTGATTTGTCGAAAGGAGAGAAAGGAATTTTGATCTGACTTCGATAATTTATTGTGAATTACAGGCCCCATGCTGTGCAATAATATTTGGCTTGCGTGTTGTCGGGAGCCGATCGGCAGCGTTTTCTGACCATGCTCAAAAAGTGTTGCAGGGCCCCTCAATAAACTGTAACGGAGTTCGAAAGGCAGCTTTGCTGCATAACGATAAAGTGAGTAGGTGAAGCACATTAAAGATTTGAAGGGGTCACTTTTAATCAGATGTTGACTGCATTTGTCTTTGGGAAGTTCGAATAGTTTCGAACGGTAACAATTCAAATGCAAATCGAATTGAACAGCAAACACTGTTCACAAAATATTTGAAATATAGAATATTCGCACACCCCTACTTGTAATACAACAATGTTACACAGTTGTCTTTTTCTCTCGGGATGATTTCTTTCTGTGACTGAGATGTCACACTAAAGAAGGCTGTGCTTGTTAAACTGTTTAGGCAGCCATTTTTATTGGTCTGTTTGTGCATTCTCCGGGTGATTAAAAAAGAATTAAGAATAAAAGTAAATGCCTAAACATTTAACTCTTTCAATGCTGATTCTACACTGCAGGAAACTGAGCAAAAAACGACTAAGGAAGACTCGTTACTGACACCTGGAGGAAGGAAAGTCTTGCAGGATCTGGATGCTTTGGTTGGCCACAGACGATTTTGCGACATCCGGATATTTACTAAAGATAGTGGGGTCATATACGCACACCGGGCGATCTTGTTCACACGGTGTCCTGCTGCTGAAAAGGTTCGAGCGCTTGCATATTCTTGGCTTGATTCCAGTTCTTTTCAAGGGGTGAAACAAGTGCTGTGTATACCCGTGAGATGATTTGCATGATCATTTCTAACGGTAGCTTTTTTTCGTGAACGTCAGTTGTCACTTCGCGTTATCATTCTCCACAATGAACTTGAATTACGATTAGTGTAGTGTTAATATCTAGTAAATTCGATTATCAAATGAACATTGTTGTATGTGGTGTGCTCGTCCAATATAATAAATGTTATTCGTAAATGTGAATATGTTTCTGAACACTTCATGGCTATTTCAGCAAGTAAACTGTGCCGTGTAAATGCCAAATTCATGCAGAAATAATTATAAAGTCTATCACTGCAGGCATAGGGTAGACGAAATGTCAGAGCTTATGTACAAGCTTTTTTATCCTCAGGGCACATGGTATTGCATTGTGGCGAGCGCTGGAGGGAGATGGGGGCAGGAGCTCACACGTACATATGCTTGAGACGTGTCAAGAGTCCCATCGTCTGCTACTGCAGCGTGCACTCGCCACATTTTCTGGAAGCGTGCTGCTCTAAGGGGTTGTGCACGAACTTCATTGTTATTTCTGTAACCGAGCTCATAGTCTTGACCAAACGTTGTGCTACACCAAGAAGGGAACTCTACAAGCTTCCTTTGATAGCGTGCTGTGTCTGTTCTTTCGGGAAGCCGGGCTATAGGTAGTGTGTATGCACATTCCATCTCTCTGTGTGTGCTACGGTGATATGCAGTGACAAGAAAGAGGCGCCGAAGTGGACACGCAACGTGTTCGGTTTTCAAGCGTGCCCCTGAAAGTACCACACTTCACAAAAAATGTGGCCAGCATGTGCTGTCATAGCAGACGACGTGATTCAACCCTATGCCCTTTGAGCGGCTGCGCCTGCATGAGCTTCTGCCGGCGTGCAACTGCAGCGCTCTCCACTTAACGAAGTCCCACGCTCTAAGGTTTCCCCCTAACTGTGAAACAACCTGTACATTGTGGAACAGAAAAAAAAAATGAAACCACTGAGGAGGCGACACAAAGAAGCGCCATCTAACCACTGAAGCTTTATTTCAATGGACAAGCCAACATATATATGGTATATATATATATATATACAGTTGCCTCTCATTAATTTAAACTCGAAGGGACCTCTGAATTTGTTTGAATTATCAAAAAGTTTGAATGATCTCAGATAGATGACTCTGGGTGAGGTGACGTCACACATTATATGATAAGGCATTGATTTCATCACCTTTAAAATTTCTTAAAGTATTTTTAAGCCCTAACTGCAGGCAGTGAACAGAAAACAGGGTAAAGTCCACAAGTTTATCGGCCCTTGACTGCTGATCAGACCTTTTACATCGCAAATCGCCAACTGCTTCATTGCTATAAGTATGTGCCTCCAGCACGAAGCTACCTATACAAGTTGAGAAGAATCGCGGTTTACCATGCATGTGCTTCGTTTCAAACATATGCTTACTTGCAAAGATTTTTTTCGTGGAGGCCTCAGGTGCTTATTTTTTATTTTAGATTGTTAGGATTATATAAGCACACAAATTTTTAAAAAGTAGTGGGAAAGCAGCAGATATTTTCTCGTATAGACCTGCAGAAAGTATGAAATAACCGAATGATGGAGTTGAATTAAGGGGCTTTTAAATACGATTGAAGAATAGAGGGCCAACCAACAATTTGAATTTTGTTTGAAATACCCGAAAGTATGAATTATTAAAGTTTGAATTATCGTGAGTCTGCTTACAATACCCCGGCGTGGTGGTCTAGTGGCTAAGGTACTCGGCTGCTGACCCGCAGGTCGCGGGTTCGAATCCCGGCTGCGGCGGCTGCATTTCCGATGGAGGCGGAAATGTTGTAGGCCCGTGTGCTCAGATTTGGGTGCACGTTAAAGAACCCCAGGTGGTCGAAATTTCCGGAGCCCTCCACTACGGCGTTCCTCATAATCATATGGTGGTTTTGGGACGTTAAACCCCACAAATCAATCAGTCTGCTTACAGTGTGTGTGTGTGTGTGTGTGTGTGTGTGTACACACACGCACATTATATATATTTTTATATATTTATATATTATATACATTATATATATATTTATCCTTGTTGACAACGCTCCCGTTGTGCCATATATATATATATATATATATATATATATATATATATATATATATATATATATATATATATATATATATATATATATATATATATATATATATGCATGTATGTATGTATGCATGTATGTATAAGAACAACACAGAAACTGCAAAAGCTGCAGGAGAGAGAATATATGTCCCCTTGTCTGGCATTTCATCCTTTTCTTTGCTGTTCCGCTATGAACCATCTCTAACTGGCCCTGTTTACCATTCTTTTGTGAGATTGTGTAGTGGCGCAGGCCATATGACCCTGGAAGCCAGTGATCGTTCACTCTCTCTGAAGAGTTATGTGCAAACAATTTTTGTGCGCAACATCTGTAAGAGTGTGTTTGACGATCATTTACAGCCAGCCACTAACATTTTCTATTTGCAGGAGGTCGTCTCTCGTCCGGGTGAGAAAGGGCTACTGTTGAACTGGACTAAGAGGTCCAAGGCTTGCATTTTAGCATTCCTTCACTACATTTACTCTGGTGCTCTCGACCTTGACAAAGACGACAGAAGTCTTCATCTTGATCTCAGGGGCATGGCTTTCAGGTAGCATTTCGTTTCTTTGTTATGCCTTTTGTAATTACAATATAATATAACACAGCTAATACATCCTCTGCATTTGCACTTTCCTGCTTGTTTCTGAGTACACTTGAAACTCAAAAACTCATTATAACAAAGACGCATCGTACACGAAAATAAGTTCTCTATATTCAAAATTTCGTTATAAAGGTTTATCCCTAACGTTATATTTATTACAAGACTATTTTTATTTACTTCATTATAATCTATATTTTGTCATATCCAGGTTCATTATATCAAGGTTAGAGTGTATTCGTGTAGCTACATATATCTTGCTTGTGAATTTTCTTTGTCACTGTGCTTTAATTGTAGCATAGTCAGGTGCGGCTGACTGTCCACTGTTGTTATCTTGCCGCCATTCACTGTGTACAGTCTACTTTTTATTTCTGGTGTGTGAACACCAATATTATCTTAACCACGAATGGCATTTCCTTGGAAAGCAGAGTGGGTTTCATATGTGGGATCCGAGCCAAGTTGAAGTGTGCCCTGTGCATTGAGAGTGGGACGCGCAAAATAAACCTGTCATCGTTGTTTTCAAAGCGTATTTGTGCGAGGTTCCTTGATTACGCTGCACATATAGAACAAAATGCAGCCGCTGATGGGCCTGCTGAGATATGACTCAAGAAAGGTGGGGGGGTGGGAGGGGGGGACTGAACTTTCTACACACATTCTGATATGACTAGTGAGTTACGTTTGTATTCTATTAAGTTGCCTGGTTTCACGGTTTTGTCTGTCATCTATGCAATTGTGACTCTATTCTCTTTCTTTTTTTCTCTCTCTCACACATTATTCAGATACGGCATGGAAGAGCTATGTGAGGAACTGAAAGACCGCTACTTTAGAAACGAGTCTGAACAAGATGGATGATGGTGATGGTGTGGCTGATACTAGTCTGGATGAAATCCTTTCGTCATTTTGGATAGACGATGGTGGCAATGGCCACAGAGAGGAGGATCCTGTCAGTGACGATGGTGACAATGTTGAGTCATTAGAGGAGGTTTGCGAATTCTTGTCAAGTCAGCATCCACAAAAGACTAAAAGTGAGTACATCACGGGTGGTGTTTACTTGTCTTGCAATGAGTGCAGTGCTGTTTGTACTGCATATAGCTTAGTCTTATGTAATTACCATATTTTGCTCATAAAAGGGCCTGCCCTTGCAGCTTGGCTCACTCTTGTGTGCCTCCACAATAAGATTTCTGGGAAAAAAAAAAAAAAGAAAAGTCGCAGCTTTGTCGCAGAGGCGAAGCAACGAAGACGATAGCTACAAATCGAAAGTCACGTGGAAAATGGCTAGCAGATCAAAACGTGCCCCGCGTTTCTCACGCACAAATGACGCACGAAATGTACTCACAGGTACAGATTAACGCGAATAAGCGTCTCAGTTGTTACTTTGCTGTGTCTGAAAAGCACGTGCTCTTCGCAAACGGAGACTGTGCAATGATTTCAGTTACTTTTGTGCGCCTGGTAACAACAGAATTGTTTCGGTGAAAGCCCAAGGCATACGATTGTCCCCACCGCGAGATAAGCAAGCACACGCGTGAGCATCCACCTTGCCTGCCCGTCTCCGCGGTGCAAAGTATGCATGGGAGATGGGAGCGCGCGCCTCCGCGTCCGGACGATGTGGCGGCGCGCGCTCATTGCGCCATCTTGCTGGTAATGCTGAAAACACGATAGTTCCTCCCGAGAGGTATATCGACAGCGGTAAGTGGTACATATAAATAGCTTGCTGTTTGAATGTTGAAGGAGGTGCTATTTCGTGGCTCAGTGGCCGCACACTCACAATTCAGAGGTCCTAACGTTCGATTCCGCGCTCCAGTCTTTTTCTGGGTTATTTTTCATTCTTGCCTTTTCATATATGTAGATAGATATACATATACGGTGAGTGATGACGACACTGGCGGCAAAATTAAGTTGAGAGTGTTCACATAGTTGCTGTCGCAATACAAAAAACTTTCACCTTAGTGCACCAGCTTCAACATTCTGTGCAAAAACGAATCAAAGTGCCAACAGTGTTAGTGCTGAAAAATTCTAGGTTGTAAATGTTTTCTTAGTTTGTTGTTAGCAAATCTCTATTCAATGTAACATATTCAGTACAGTACGCACTGTCAATGGGCAAAAAAGGGTGAAATGCTTTTTATATGTTGTTACGAGGCAGTGGGCATGAGCCTGCCGTTGCAGACGAAACCATGAAGAAGACGCTCACTCGCCGTGTGAGATGCTGATAGCTTTTTGGTGACACATTTTCTAGTAAAGGCTGTAGGTACACTCTCTTCTGTCTACCGTGTATTTGTAATTCCCATGACACAATATTATATAACTATATTGATCACACGACGGATCGGCTGCTAGAGGCAGCACGTTTGCAGCAGTAATTTTGGTGTGTCACCAGTCTTTACCACAATATAATCTTCATGCGCCTATCTTGGTTTATCGCACCTCTTACCTGAGAATGCATCAACTGGCAATGTAACAATTCTTTATGTCAAATGATGAAAACGAGCCAAATTAAATTTGAATCAGTATCTTCTATCTTGCTAAGAAGCGCAGCCACTATAACAAAGAACACACAACACAAGCGATGGATCCTTACCCACTGGCCCGATACAATTGTTTATTGAATCAGTAGCCATGTCTAGGAAATGAATTTCTGTGAATTAGCCAGTGTATGAAGTAGATTTGCTAATTGCAAGGTCATGCTAATATGAAATGAGACGTGTAACATGAGAATGGCTGCTCATAACTTGTATAAAGTATTGCTTCTGTTCTAACTAAAGCTTATTTCTAAAAACATGAAAAAGAATGCCACAATGTTCTTGCACAATAGGGAATGTTAGAGGTGCAATACCCTGGCAAGTCTCTCCTTTCATTGCTGTTATTTTATGTTTGTGTCAATACAGTAGTTAATAGCCGTTTCCAAGCCTCTTTCTTTCTCTTTTTAAAAGTTTGCTTGGGGAAGTGCATTCAAAGAATGGAAAATATGTACTTGCTCAGTTTTCTGCAAAATTAAGTCTGTGTGGCTTCTGAACACTTTTTTAAGGTGTCGAATGCTCCAAGGACGCAATGGAGCACACCAGTGAGACTGTGCCGGTTCCTGTGCCACCTCGCACTAGTCTGGAACTGACAACGCAGACAACAACGAGGTCTTTGCTGGAACAGAGCAGCGCAGAAGTCTCGCAGCAGATTCGTCGACGGCCGGGAACTCCTTTCTCTGCACCTGCTCCCACCAGCCCCATTCAATCTGAAGACGAGCTAGCGTGGATGGACCTTGACGAGAATGGCCACCACCGTGACGAGGGTCGTCACGATGACTCCAGGGGTGAAGAGACGGATCACCACGCAGAGGGCACAGCATCGGCCCACGAGGACAGTGACAGCTGCTCGGAGGAGCTCTTTGGACAGTCCAATGATTCGGCCTCAAGTGTGGGCAATGCCACAGAAGGAGACGAGGACATGGAAGACAGAGAAAGGGCGCCTTCGCGACAGGAGGCAAAGCGGAAGCGAGACAGCGATGTCGATGAAACTGCGGCGCAGGATGGCTCTCAAGGGAGCGGAGAGAAGTGCAAGGACACGGACGATGTGTGGGACTGTGTCTGGGATGGCTTCGACGACGGGGTGCAGCTGGACGCTGCTCCTCCTGAGCGTCGTCCACCCTCTGCTTCAAGGTGGGACCGCCAGTCACCCACTGCTGCCAAAGCTGCCGGCGTGGAAGAGGTTCCTCGGGAGATGCTCGACTCCTTCTTTTTCGAGGAGCAGGGAGGTGAGGCTATGACACTGTTCGCCAGTTTCCTCCTGTGTTTTTTTTTTTTTTTTTCAAGCCAAGTCATTTTATGTCCTGTGCTTTTGAAAGAATCCTCATATTTGTGCATCCCGATGAAGCCATGGCAGCACAAAAGAGCGAAAACAAAGCGAAGAGGATGGACAATATGCCCTGTCCTTCGCACAGGACATCTAAAGCTCCTCCCACAAAACACCACGTGTCGTGGGACATGGGGTTTTTGGACACAGAGAGGAGAGGGTAGAAGGACACGGAGAGAAAGGGGACCTCTCCTCTGTCTTTTTTTTGCATTAAAATAGCTTCATTGTGAATCAGCCAACTTGCCAAGAATGTTTTCTACATACCGTATTTACTCGCATATTGAACCCACTCGCATAATGAACCCATCCCTCACCTTGGTTCTTGAAAAAAAAACTTTTTAAAAATTTATCTGTTCATTTTATTTCCGTATGATAGCCAGTGCGATTGACCATCGAAACAACGTTCAAAGAAGCCATTATATCACAAAATAATAATGCAATAATAGTAAAAACATAGTTTTGCAACCATGCTAAACAGTTGCGAGCAGCGCGAGTGCGGATGACGTTAATCAAAATTTGAAAGTCGCGCCTTTTGCGGCAAAGCACCATCTGTCGAATGGAGGAGAAACTTCTATGCTGATAGTGCCACGCAAGCACAGCAGCACAAAAACAAAGCACGTGGCCTCTGGAATGGTAGGTGCGCGGCATAGAAACACGCCGCACGCACGGCATCTTGGAGACCCTGCAAAGCGCAACTGCGACGATGGCGCGTCGTGCACCCGCAATGTTTACCGCAACGTTTGTGTGCCGCCATCCGACGCTGGGTTTTCGTTCTCGGGTTTGTTATCGTGAACTTTTTTTAGACACCTGCTGCACAGGGCGCATTCGGCCGGTGCGCTGGCTACACAGCGGGTTATGAACAGCATGCGCTGTAGCATGGGAACTGAGTGGCTGGACGACATTTGGGCGTCGATTCGTGCGCTTTTATTACGAGAGGAAACACAGCTTCTGGCTACAAAAAATATTTGTCACGCATTTCTCAGGCCAGATCAAGCGAAGCCGTCACGCAAAATTTTCGCTGTTATAACTCCCGCGACTTTTTTTCTTCCGCGTAATGAACCCTTCCTCCAAATTGGCGTCAACTTTTCTAAAAAAAAAAAAAAAAGGTGGATTCATTATGTGAGTAAATACGGTATTTGTCCGCAAAGGTACTTGGAAGGGCAAAACACAAGATACACGTAAAAAATTGGACAAGATGAGCATTTACTTTAAACTATAATTTGTTATCAGGAAATGGCTAGCTTTTATCGCTCACAATAAGGTAAAAGGAAAAATGAAGCGCATGTGTGCACAACAACTGAAGAACAAATGAGAAACCAGACCACTTCTGGTGCAGGAAGGCCATAAATCTAAAGTGAGAAAGCTGTGGCGAAGGAAACAAACACTCAGGTCATGCCAGGTGTGCACGTGACTGTCTCTGATATATTTCCAGTGCAAAAGAAAAGTCAAGATAAGCCTGTTCACTGTCTGGTATGTTAATGGACGGTTGACTGGGACACACATTTAAGCATTTCTGTGGGTTTTCAAAGCTTCCACTGGTATTGCTCTCGTTATCGTGTTTAGTTGCCCGAAAATAACGGTGGTTCTGTTACCTACTGTAAAGTAAAGTGTGGAGCAGCTCACTACATTTTCAGTACTGTAGACCGACTTGTGTTGAAACCAGCTTACTGTAGCAATAGTAATAATGCAGTACGAGAAAAGTTCAGTACCCACAGTTTTGCACAAAACAAATCAAAAGTTTTTGAGGGAGATGCATAACGTATTTGCATGAAGAGCGCATTATTTTTTTTAGAAGAACTGGATGCACTGTTGAGGGTGGCAAGCTTATCATGAAGGATAATATTTTAACATGTTGTTTCTCCTCCTTGCCTCTTCCAGTTACATTGCTCTAAAAGTGCATCTGAAAACCAGCTGCCAACAAGTGAAACATGGAGGAAGTTACCGAAACTGGGTAGTTAAATCAACGTGAAAGGCACATATAGTGCACATATAGACTGGGACGACATAAGTATACATAAAACACAGTGCTTGTATATCCTTCCATTGTCGCCGTCTATACGAGCACTGTAGCCTTTCATAATGCATTATTAACTAGACCATCAAGCCATTCTAACCATTTTTTTTTTCTGTCACCTTGGTCACTACGCAGGTGCAGATAATAGAGCGGCTCCCACTGGTCTTGAACACACACCTGTGTCATTGCCTCAATATTTTGGAGCACCGAGTCGCGCCTACACACCGGTGACCCCTCTGCCGGACTATGGCGCCATGCAGACACCAGAGCTGCGAGGCCAGCTTCAGCAGTATGGTGTACGCAGGCTGCCGCGGAAGCAAGCTGTGAACGTCCTGAACCACATATACAACGAGACTCATCCACGTACGTAAAGGTTGCTGCCGAGTACTTCATATTTCAAAGGAATACAATCATGAACATGTCGTGCTTTTCTTTAAACTATTGTGTGTATGATTGCTGATTATTAGATTATAGTAGGTAACAGAACCTACTACGCTGAAACGTCATTAAAGAAAATTGTGTCTTACTTGGAAATATATGAGCACAATATTCACTGCATTTGTTCTTCATTCTCTTCACCTGTACATAATCATCATCGTTATGAGCATATTCTTCGTCCAAAGATTTGGTCTGGCGGCTCCGCTGAATAAACACCGTCGAGACCACGATAGCGCTGAGGTCTTGCTATAAGTCTGTTTTATCCGAAATTTGTTGTAAAAGTGTATTCCTTACACTGTATCTATTGCAAGGCTATTTTTCATTTACTGCCCATTAACGGACATTTTGTTATATCCGGGTTCGCTATGTCGAGGTATCGGTGTATCCTAAAGGCCAAGCAACAGTAGCTATTGGGGCATGATCTGTACTGAGTGTAGAGAACTGCTGTACTATGCACATGCTGTTCAGATTTTAAAATGCACTCTGTGTTCCTTAAGCATGAAAGGTGACTGTCAGAGAGAAAAAAAAAATTGTACGCATCGAAAAATTCAAACTTATGCGCATGCAGTACTTCTGAAGTACAGTAAAATCTCTTTGATACGTTCCCGCTTAATATGATTTCACAGCTCCTATGCTCGAAATCGCGTTAACTAGAAATGGCCCCAGAGAGCTATGTGTTGACATGTTCTGTATAAAGGGGCATGACGCCCAATTTCCGACCATAATCTGTGTTGTGTGGGCTGGTCCTTGGGGGTTCATAAACAAGCTGGCAAAATTTCAGCGCATTCGGTCGTGCCGTTAATATATAATCGAATATTTTTTGTAAACAAGCGAGCGGCCTAGTGGTCGGACAACACTGGCGTGCTCGCTAGCCGTGTTGAACGAACCGTTTGCTCCGCGAGCTTCTTAATGGTGTGCAGTAGAGAAGGCGATCATGTTTCATGGTTTGCTGCGCTTGCAATCGAGTTGTTTCAGCGTTACTGAATGACGCAGCGGTTGAAGCAATGCCACCGCGTCGCCCATGCTGAGCTGTGGTGTGCCACAGCGTACAACGCTTGGGAGATAAACGTGCGCAGGGAGGACTGGTGCACAAGTGGCGCACCTGTTTTGCGCTCGGGGCACATCACGGCAGACATCTACAATGATGAGCAGCGTCTTCTCGGCAAGTTCGGTATACCAGTTAAAAAGCCGAGGCTGCGGTCGGTCGCTGTGTCGACTGTGTTTTCGCACCGTTCCGTCCTCCAAGCTAAGCGTCGGGGTGCTTTTTTAAAAGCATCAAAGAAAAGAGATAAGTGCATTTGTCATTAGCAGTAGCATTGTCATCTGCGTTCGCCCCGTCTTTCACGCTTTCTTCATCGCTCGAGCTGGTGGCAGTGGGGTTGAAATGAAAGTGCGAAGTGTACACGACGTCGTCGCTTCTGCTGCTCGATGAATCGTTGCTCATATAGTGAGCTGATGACGGTGCCGACAACATGGCGATAGTATTGGTACTACATCGCAACACTTGCGGACCATGCGGCAAGCAACACTCGCAACACAGTGTACACACTGACCTCGTGCCGAAGGTGCCATTTGAGAGCAGACGACGGCACTGCTCCCATCGGTTTCTGACGTCACGCACGCCAAGACGAAACGGCGGTTGCTGCGGTACGCGAAGTTTACAGCCGAAGACTTATATGGCTTATTTTGGACTGAAATTATCCCTCACAGTTCAGTTTTCACACGCGTGCAGGCATATTCGCTCTCTAGCTTTGTTTTTTGCCGAAAACTGCGAATCATTGGGTGATCATGTCCTATGTTCCCAGAAAATACAATTATTGAGCAGCAACGTTCAGCATTGCGGCAAACTGTAGGCGTATGAAGCGTTTCGCAGGCATAAAATCTCATTAAGGTGTGCAAAAAAAAAAAAAAACCTCGCGTGTTTGTGAAGCGCCAAGTGGCAGACTGCCACGCGCGGCGACGGCGGTCCTTTGCTACGCTCAATTGTCACGATCAATCATCCCAATGCAATCATCCCACACACTTTTTGCTCAGACTCCATGGCTACAACAGCCACAGGAGAACACTACAGATAACTATGTGGCACAAAGAATGGATGCGCTGTCGGTCACCTCCACTTCGCCATGATTTGGCACGAGACGAACGTGCTGCCTCCGCTACACAACGCCTCCTCTCCCGACCCCGTCTCACGCGGAGCTGGCGTCTGCCATCACGTTTTTCCTTTAAAAGATTTACAAAGCCGTGCGCATCTATAAGTATGTTAGCCACGCACCTTTCAGTGGGAAAGATGCGAACGCGACACCATTATCTCCCCACGCTATTCCCCCTGTCATTAGAGGGGGATGCGTGCCCCGTTGTGTTATCTGGGCGTCTGCAACTCTGCAGGGCAATCTCCAGCAGAAATGAGCGTCTCCCAATGCGAGTCATCATCGGAGCCTCATTGTTACTATTTCAAGGAGAGAAATAAATTGAAGATACGCAGGCCGGGGCTGCCCGGGTCTGTGCGAGGCTGCATGTTACTCAAGTAGTTCGGGATTTGAGACAGTTGCGTTTAGCATGGTGTTGAGGAAGCGTAACCCTTGTCGATTAAGGAGAAGCTGGATGTCCTTCGGCAGCAGCTTGAATCGGAGAATCTCACAGCGAAGACAACCCTGCGGCATTCACATGTGACATCGACGACAATACTGTGGAGAGGTACCTCTCCGCCGGCGCCGATGCACCATTCGCAGAGTTTGTTTCGATAGACAACGTCCGGACTTGCGAGCCGCAAAGCGTGTCGTGAGATTGTTGCGTAGGGGGGGGGGGGGGAGGCGACACAGCAAAGGAGGTAGGGGGACGAGGCAATGCGAAGCAGCGGCAGAAACGAAAGCGTGTGCCAACTGGCTAAATTCGCCAAAGCCCTTTCTGGATGGAAGATTTACTAGCTTCTTTTGCACCAAAAACAATTAAAATGCGGACAAGGGTCTACAGTGTTTGCAGAAGGAGCTTTTCTTGTCCAAGGGTGAGAGCTAGCAGCAGAAAAGCACCATGTTTTTGAGAAATAAATGTTTTTTGCCCATACACCTATATATGGACTTGTCAGCCTCAATTTTTGCTGGATTCAGATCGTACGTTTTCCTGGATGCACGTTTATTCTCCGCATTTTTTTTTTTTCGAAAACGTATCAACGAGGTTCTACTGTACTGTTCACATAAATAATGTCCAAATATGGTGGCACAAATTGCTGTCAACATGTTTTGGCATAGAGCATGACAGTGTGAAAACGATGGCAGTAATGCAATAGCAAAAGAATGCACTGATTGCCACTTGTAAAGTGTGATACAGTGAGATCATTCATATGCTCTTGCAAGGTTTCCTCACAAGTGTTATTCAGAGCTTACAATGTTGCTTTTAGTCTTGGCCTCTAGGAACTGATGTCTCTCAGTCGAACACTGAAAAAACAAAAAAGATGGGCCGTCGTGCCTATGGCTCCTGTACCTTGGGTCATGGTTAGCAGTAACAGACATCTTTGTCTGAATGGAAAAAACCAACTAAGCCTAGAGTTTGGTTGGTCCTTCTTAAAAAAAGTTTAGTACACTTTCTGTTGTTGCATGATCAACGACCCTGATATAGCTGTGCATTGTTTGGAATAAATAGCACAAACTGCAGGAACCATGAATAAGTATTTTAAAACTTGTTTAAGCCTAGTATCAGCACATAGGTAAGTGCCTGTGATGCGGGGTTCTTGTTGCTGATTTGTTTTTCTCCCGGGCTGAGCCTCAGAGAGTTTTGTTAATAAGGACAAAGCCGTTCGGTTTCCAAGAAACACACAAAAAGTTTAATTGAAAAGAAAAAAAGGCAAAGATTCCTCACAAAACAAAACACTTAATAAACAGTTGACTGGACATGACGAAACACATCTGTAAACACCCAACAAAAACGTTCAAAGTCAGTAACTAAACCTAACGTTCGAAAGGGGCTGAGTGATGGGAGTAGCGCAAGATATCTGTTCGGTCTCACCCACACGCTGAATTCCGCCGACGATGAGCAAACCGGAACGCGGTGATTCCGGCTTCAGGACGCGGGCAGGACGGGGATGAAGGAACGCTGGCTGCTGACGACACGTCGAGAAACCAGGCCGGAACGTGGTGGCTCTGGCTTTAGGAGTGTGGACCCGTCTGTGACGAGAGAACGCAGGCTGGTGGGGACGCGTCAGAGAACCAGGGTCGACCTAGCCAAGCAGCTGGGCGCACAGCTCGGGCCCGGAGCCCGACGGCTGTAGCTCGCCTGCCGGAACCAAAGTCCGCAGGCCCTGGAAAGGAGTTCAGGACCGGATGGCCACGGTCCTTTGGAGCGGGAACACGACGGCAGGAGGCCCCGGCCGGTTGAAGTCCTGTAGGCTCGGGTCCTACGCCCGACGGCCCATCTTCAGCGCCCGGTCCGGTGACGACCTTCCGCTTGCACTGCCTGCCTCGAATTCCCCTTGCTCTGGTCTCCCCAGGCTCCTGCTTCAGCTCTGGCCCACTTGTCTCGTTCTCATTGGAGATACTACTGTTTCGTGGTGTCAAGCCATTGGGCCTTGAAATCTCCGTGTTCGCTGCCCATTGGATGTTTTACCTTTTGTTTACTTCACGTCCTGCCACGCATCCTCGTGCTTGACGCTCTTTAACGTCGTCATTCTTGTTTAAGCAGCACCGCACGTGCACTCTGGTATTTCTCCTTTTGTTTTTTTTTTTCCCGTGACGCGCACTTTTCGAAGGCGCGCACTTTGAACGCGCACCACACATCACATACGCCCCCCTTTTATTCAAGTTTTTTTTTTTTTTAGAAAAAAAAAACTGCCGATGAGTGCGCGTTCTGCACTACGTCACCATTAAACCACATATTTGCACCACGCAGTTCAACACATCACCGGGCTACAGTTCGCTACATCGTCCAAATGTCCACACTTAAACTTTAGATTCACCCAATTGCATTTAAAAGTTCTGAAACCCGGAATAAACCTTTTTACTACAAAATCGACTATGGACAAAGCTACTTGTGTCCGCATCTAAAAGTCGAAGTCCAGAAAGAGCTACCGGTTTTCTAACCCTACACTCAGGTTATCGCGTCCCAAACCAGACGCACTGCCCTTCTCGCACGTTTCGAAAGTAACTGTGGCAAACATGCTTTTATGCACTTTCGCTGAAACGCATGTCTGCGCCCCCGCCGGCCATATGAACGCTTACCGGTCACAGAGGAACAGGGCGCGGTCTCGAGCCGTCGGCGTCGACACGAAACGCACTGAGACACGAATGTCCAAATGCCACAATCTCTCACACAAATGCTTTCTTTTAGTTCACCATCTAATGAACACAAGCTCGGGGTGCCCTCAGCAAGCCCAAACGCTCCGACAAGCGTGTGAGGTTCCTGGATTCTTGAGAAGGGATGCCGTTGTGCTCGGTCATTATACAGCTCATCTTGAGTGGACTTAATTATAGGTTCAAAACCAATCACGTTCTCAGGTTCAAGACCCTGTCTGGCATTCTCCATACCTACTATCGAGCCCACCTCCGATTCGATACTGTTTATTTTGAAGAGTGCTTCAGCACTCCCATCGTGTTTTCTCGGACAAATAGCAGTTACGCTATCCTGTGAACTAGAATCCCCTCTCTCTCTGAGTGAGATATACGTATGGTCTAGGACCATTGACGTGGTGCCTGCTGCTACCTCTGTCGGTACAAAACAATCAGTGGCCACTATATCAGAGCCTTCATGGCATTCGCTGCCATCTTCCCAATGACGTTCTAGCGCTCCTTCCATGGAGCTATTGAGAGGTAGCCCTACCCCTTCCCGAAATGTGCTCGGCCTTTGAGACGTTCTGATACACACCTCATTCTGAATGGAACTTCTTTGTTCCCTGCTATCGAAGCTTTGCTCCACAACATTTTCCACAGCTTCTAGGTCGCCCATATCCAGGCGCTCTTCTTCATAGGTGCTTGGCCTCTCAGAGGTCCCCAAGCAGCTAACGGAAGTAATATGTTCCCAGCCAGAGAAGCTTTCCGTCGCTTCAACAAACTCCTCATGACTCCTGCCTTCTTGGCTGTCCACCTCTCTGCCTTCCTCTATCTGAGCTTCTCGCTCCGAAGTAAGGCTGTCGCGAGGCTCGAGGCCAACCTTGCAGGAATCGACTTCCCTCCAGCAAACGCTGCTATCGGAACAAACATTCACCGCTTGCTCGACCTTCTGCATCGCCAGCTGCCCCCTTTTCGCCATCGCAAGCTCGAGTCGCCGCTCGAAGTCCACCCTCTCTAATTGGAGCTGCTGCTTCAGTATGCGTGTCTGACGCTCTAGCAACACTTTATTTTCACGCGTTACGCGCTCTAGCTCCTCCTTCTTAGCTCTAAGCACCAATTCAAGCTTTTCCTTCGCCGCCTTTCGTTCTGCAGCCCGTTGCTCACGCTCCCTCTCCATCCGCTCCTCGTACCATACTCTAAACTCCGCTCCCGTCAGTCCCATTTTATCCGCCAACTCAATTAACTCCCACGTGTTCGTCATCGTGTTAACCGCGTCAAAAAATCTACTGGAAAAACAAACGACTTTGTCCTGTCGCTGCGGACGCCAATTTGTGATGCGGGGTTCTTGTTGCTGATTTGTTTTTCTCCCGGGCTGAGCCTCAGAGAGTTTTGTTAATAAGGACAAAGCCGTTCGGTTTCCAAGAAACACACAAAAAGTTTAATTGAAAAGAAAAAAAGGCAAAGATTCCTCACAAAACAAAACACTTAATAAACAGTTGACTGGACATGACGAAACACATCTGTAAACACCCAACAAAAACGTTCAAAGTCAGTAACTAAACCTAACGTTCGAAAGGGGCTGAGTGATGGGAGTAGCGCAAGATATCTGTTCGGTCTCACCCACACGCTGAATTCCGCCGACGATGAGCAAACCGGAACGCGGTGATTCCGGCTTCAGGACGCGGGCAGGACGGGGATGAAGGAACGCTGGCTGCTGACGACACGTCGAGAAACCAGGCCGGAACGTGGTGGCTCTGGCTTTAGGAGTGTGGACCCGTCTGTGACGAGAGAACGCAGGCTGGTGGGGACGCGTCAGAGAACCAGGGTCGACCTAGCCAAGCAGCTGGGCGCACAGCTCGGGCCCGGAGCCCGACGGCTGTAGCTCGCCTGCCGGAACCAAAGTCCGCAGGCCCTGGAAAGGAGTTCAGGACCGGATGGCCACGGTCCTTTGGAGCGGGAACACGACGGCAGGAGGCCCCGGCCGGTTGAAGTCCTGTAGGCTCGGGTCCTACGCCCGACGGCCCATCTTCAGCGCCCGGTCCGGTGACGACCTTCCGCTTGCACTGCCTGCCTCGAATTCCCCTTGCTCTGGTCTCCCCAGGCTCCTGCTTCAGCTCTGGCCCACTTGTCTCGTTCTCATTGGAGATACTACTGTTTCGTGGTGTCAAGCCATTGGGCCTTGAAATCTCCGTGTTCGCTGCCCATTGGATGTTTTACCTTTTGTTTACTTCACGTCCTGCCACGCATCCTCGTGCTTGACGCTCTTTAACGTCGTCATTCTTGTTTAAGCAGCACCGCACGTGCACTCTGGTATTTCTCCTTTTGTTTTTTTTTTTCCCGTGACGCGCACTTTTCGAAGGCGCGCACTTTGAACGCGCACCACACATCACAGTGCCCTTCTTCGATGATGCTTTGCAGTGGTTCCTGAAACGCCCGTGAGGATCACGTTCCCGAAGAGGGGCATGAATGCAGGTGGCGATAGGGACTATAGGAGTGCACCAATGTTGGGAAGCGGCCGACCCGAGTCGTTCTCCGGGAGTTCCAGCGCTAATGAAGAACCCTCTCACTACAGTTTGTCATCAAGGTAACCTTAAAGGGCTGCCCTGGGCAGTCTTGCGACATGTCTGTGCGAATAATGTAATGTTTATTGTATATTGTTGAAGGATTTGCTTGTAGGAATAATAAAGTATGTTTGTTTATGTCGCCTTGGGCACATCATGCATGGCTACTCACTTTCACATGCACTGTAGTGACGTCACTTTGTTCAGTTCGAAACTTGCCTGTGCACGGAAGACTACGTTTGCATAGACAACCCAATCATATGTGAGCGTAGCCATTAGAATGGAGATCATTGCACTAGCTCATCATCTGATCATGAGTGCAGATGAGCTTAGTCATGGAACATTAAAAACGCTATGTGTGTATAGTAAAGAAGAACCAATGCTATACCACAGCAGCCCATTCGAGAGTTGCACAGTTATCTCAAAATGTTAGCAAGCTTCAACTTCTCTAAATAAAGTATGATAACAGTATGTCCTCGTGAACAATTCTGCTTTGAATACCATAAAATGTGGATGGGTCATAACGCATTGACTCTTGCTTTTTCCAGCTGAGGCAGCCAAACATGCACGCCCACACTTTATGCTTTTTTACAAGCGATTTCATCATACCTAGTCTTACTGTTGCAAACTTTGCTCGGTGCCTTGACATCACGTTTAAGTTGGTAATACTAGTTAAATATGGGAGCAATGATACTACATAGAGATGCACACTTTTTATCGTTGTTATTATGTAACTGCTTAATTAAGGGGTTTGTTAAAGCATAGCAAGGATTACCGATGGACGCTACTGATGCACAGTCGTCGTCTTCTGCTTGGAAACCTGTCGAATTGCAAGATGTTGAAAAATAAGAGAAAACACAAGTCACCATGCGTTTATTAAATGGGAATGGGTATTTTGTTAAGAAAGCCATGTTGCAAGCATCATCAGTGTTGTCTATGAGCAAGAACATTCTAGGATGCAAAGAATATCGGCTCTATCTAAAATCAAGCCCAATCATTCTGTTTGAGAGTCAAGTATTCTATCACAGAGGCATGCCAGTGCTTGAAAATGTTTCGGGAAAAAGACCTTGTAGAGGAATGAGGAGTCGCGTTAGCAGATGTACCATACATTGCACAGAATTTCACTGGGCGTAAGACCATGTGGATTGTGTAATGAGCGAGTGATTTACAGCTGCTGAGACATACAAAGGGCTCAGGCATGATTCATCATCATTATCGGCCTCAGCATTGGTAAATTGTGCAGCAATGTATTTACACACATTGCCTTAGACATGTAATGGGTTCTTTGCTACTTTGTAAAATGGGGAATTATGGTTTGTAGGGTACTTTGGAATTATGCTTAGTAGATGACCAAAAAAGAGTTTACAACAGCCAACGTTGCATACAGTCGTTCTTTCCTTCACGGTGCGCTTGTGGTGTCCGCTGAGAAGCAAAGCATGGCAACTGAATGAGAAGACGATGCAACGCCTCGTTATGCTATCGCATTCAACTCTCAAAAGTGAAGCCTACTTCAAGTTTTTACTAGTAATTGGTATAGTATGTCAGTAATTAACAAGGCGCATAACTTACATGTCTTTTCATGAAAGAGTTGTTGTTCTTCAGTAAAGACACCGAAGTGACATTTCTATCATTGCCATGGCAAACTTTAATTCCTGCCGTCAAGTAATCTGACAAGTCATTCGGTCAATATGTCACTCGTTTGAGGGTTCATTGATATGGCAAGCTCTCTCCATTCACAAAGGGCTTGTAGCTAGACTCACCAGCAGGATTCATGCGGATCCTTTAAATCCTTGAAAACTCTTGAATTTGAAAAGTTTGTTCTCGAGGCTTTGAAAGTGCTGTGATTTCTGCAAATCCTTGAAAATCCTTGAATTTCCTGTTTTTGTTTTATAAAAGATTCCATAAATCATTTTTCATTAATCATCAAGGATGTCATTTGGGATGCCATAAATGTAGCAGGTGGCATATGTCATGTGCTTATAACAGAAAAATTGAGAACATCAGTAGCTTCTGCACAGAATCAACACCATTCATTTCTAGAGACTCAGAGAAGGCAGGAGCAGGAGGATGAGAAACAGAAAAAGAAATGTTGTGTTGAGGAGGAGGGCGAAATGCTTCAAAAAAGAAAACGAAAGGCCGCTGTTAGGAAATTAACAACTAAAGCACACTCATATGCAAAAGAGGGCAAGGATAATTGGCGACCTGACATGTATCAAGTCAAATAACCTTAGGAATACTGCCAAGATCCAGCAGCAGGAGATAGTGGATATCGATATGAAAATTCAGAAAAAGCGACAAGGCGTTGCATGATAACTGTTTCTTAGTTTTTTATATTTGAATAAAAGTTTGTGTCTTGTGTCGACTAAAAGTGATTATTTATGCAGCTTTAAGAAACTATGATTGAAAGTTTTCTTTAAAGAAAATGTCATCGGAGCCATGCTTTTGACGTCTGCTTCAGTGATGTTATTCTTTTTAAAATGAATTTTAGGTATTTCAAGCCTCCATCCTTCCCTGAACATCTGTTAATTGGGTTTCTAACAGACAATGTGGTCCTTGAAAATTCGCACTTGAAAGCCTTTGAATTTTCGTCATGCAAACGAGCATGAATCCTGACCAGTGCAGTACCGGAAGGTGCTGCTGGCATAGCGCATGCAATTTTTTTTTTTTTCCGTAAAGACTTACTATGCCAAGTTTTTCTTCTGTGCTGCGTATTTACCATGGGTGTCATTCCTACACATTTTTTCATGCACTTGCCTGGGCATTGGTGCCTTTTGTTTGACCACATTAACTAATTGCATGCTTTTAGTTCAGAGGCAATAGCTTTTCGGCATTTCAGTTGTCTGTAGGGTTAATTTGCCACTGCCACAGTAGAAATTAACCTTAAGAAAATGCTTGCTTTTGGCTTTTCTTTTCTAACTTGCAAGGAGCAGTGATGAAGATGGGAGCTGCAGTGATACTAGTGACACTGATATCAAAGAACAACTGAGACGGTTCTTTCGCAAGAACACTGAGCTGTCAGAGAGCATCTTAATGTACGAGGTGAGCACGGTCAGCACAGCCACTTTGCAAGAGACGATTATGGAATGCTATCTTACCGTTAAAAAAAAAAAAAAATTGTAACTTGCAATCGTGGTTGTGTTTCTTGCTTATTTTCAGCCTATTGACTTCCAAAAGCTTCGACTAAATCTCAAGCAAGCCAATATCAGGATATCTTCTAAGAGCCTGATAAACTATCTGGATGAGCAAGTGAGCATCATTGTACATAAGCTTATTCTTGCCCCGTTTTAACAATGTTTGGTAATGCCAGCACTCCCAAGCGAGGCTTTTTTTATCGAGTAAGACCAGGTTCCTGTCTCAAAAAGGAGTCATTGTTCTGAGCCCTATCGCAAAAGTATTGCATGTTTGCAAGCAATTGGCAGGAAAATGGGAACTGCTAGAAATACATTTTACCGAATCTGCATAGGTGTATGCAATCGTTGCTCGCCTTAGCTGATCACTTGCAGAGGCCAACTGGTTTCGGTATCGCTGTGCATGCTGCTTCGTCCGGGAAAGCTTCACTCTTTTCCTCCTGCTTACCCATCCCATTACTTCAGCACAATAACATGCATGACTACAGGCAGGGCCTCTTACTAAAGCGAGGAATGTATGAAGTACAATATCTCATTGTAATCGCTTACTATTATTATTGAACGTTTAGTTTCCCCCTATGCTTTATTTGGGAATACCTTACTAGGATAGCAATATCGTGCAACAACTTTTGGTTTCCCACTTCGAACATGGAAATTGCAAAAGCACTCTCGCTACGTCAACTCTGGACCAATTTGATTAAGGCCGTTTCACATGACACAAAAAGTAGCGATTTTCAGGCTGCGAATTCGCTCGCAGCGAAAAAAAGGGCAGTTCGTTCCCGCTGCAGCAGTCCAGTGCGAGCTTCCAACATGTTGGAAATTTTCGCTCTGATCGCAACGGCGGGAGCGATTTTTGGTCGGGACCCGTCGAAATAGGGCTGATCCAGCCAAGCCGTCGAAATAGAGTCGATGTGTTTGTGTCGGTAATGGCCAATGCTGTGCATTTTAAAATGAATTCAGACTGGAAGGTGTTCTTAAATGACGAAACAAGTGGGCCCTTCGTTACCGTTTACGGTAACTTCATGATATCATAATGCACATATTATTACATTACATTCGTGTCTGTCACAATAAGCGGTGGCAAGAACTCGCCTCTCCAGTCGCGGAGCGAAAATCGCGGTCCATGTGAAACGAAACCGCCATTAGCGACGGTTGAGAACAGAGCGATCGGAGCGAACGGAACGATTTTTCTCGCTGCAATCACCGCATGTGAAACAGCCTTTAAATGTATTGCACGAAAAAACTATTAGTGGCCATTGTCAGCTAATTTATGCTTTTAGGCTTTTTTGTTAAAATTCAAAGAAACTGTCGAACTGAATTTCAAGCATATTTCTGTTTTTCTAGATTCTAAGATGTTTTACCAAGCCTTTTGAGAAAAATTGATTATCTAAATCAAAATAACTCTTTTATGATTCATCAGAATTATAGTATTATGCAAATCAAGTTGTTCGAGTCGTAGCCAGCGTGGTTCTGCAGCTTTTACATGCATTGGTGGAAACTTGGCGCAGCAAATCCATGTCGGAATAACTGTTTCAGTGCATCACATTCACCATGCCTCGCTCTGAAAAGCAGCAGGCAAAGCAGAGGCGACGACAGGAAAACTTCAGACGTAGGATGCTTGGCAAGCGTGCTCTCGGCACCGCACAGGAAGGCCTGCCATCGTAGAGTGGTGAACGAGGGCACACATACTGATGTGCCCTCACATTCCTCAGTCTCATACCCAACAAGATATAGCAAGAACCAAGAAATCAAGTGCTTAGGGCTTTACAATCAGTTTTGTACAAGAACCGAGCAGTAAAATACATGCTTCTTTGTTTTCATTCCTTATGCTCTATATTTATTCTGTCCTAGATTAAGAAAGTGAGGGTCTGTGGGGCTCATTTTTCAACATTAAATAAAAGTAACCAAATGGACAGACAGTTAAGCCAAGAAAGGGTGTTGTAGTGATTGAAAGGAATTGAAGTGGACGAAAAACTACACTTTTGCGTAGGTGGGATCCGAACCCTCAACATTAGAATTGCACTGCTATGAAGCCAGTTGCCCACGACTAAAGTCCTGGATTGACATGCCTATCATTAGGTAGTGGCAAATTGTTTTGAGACACTAGCCACTATCTGAAATAAGCAACCTTTAACCCTTTTGCCTCCATGGACTCCAAACTTGGCATGTAGAGGTACAGTAGACTCTCAGTAAATGGAACCTGAAGGGACCGGTAAAGTATGTTTCATTTAACAGGAGTTCTGTTTACTGAGAGGTGAACACGGGTGCAGAATACAAGCCAAAAACCAAGCATTGCAGAGGCAACAGTTCCGTTTAACAGATTTCCGTTAACTGAGAATCTACTGTATTTCATACACCCTCTGCTATGGAGCATGTTCTTCATTACACATTGTGTCAATCCCTGCTTCTGTTTTTCATGCTCATATGGTGGTACAAAAACATTTTTCATTACAATACAAGTAAAACTGCAAACCATGCAAGCAAAGCCAACTTTCTGTTAGATGACCACTTTTTTCTTGTGCTCTCCTTTAAAAAAACAAAAAGAAACAGTTTGTTCTGAATGTGTTTCACATTACTTGATGTGCGATTGCGTAGAGCACTCAAAAATTGGTAATTTGTGATAATTTTTGTCAAGGAGTAGGTTAAAGGCCAAGACTTTTCAGCCGATTGGCATACTGTAAACTCTAGTGAAACTTAATGGAAGTCTACAACTGTTGGTGTAACATTACGACATTCTCTTAAACAGGTCGACGAACTTCCACTGAAGCCGAGTTTGGCACAAAAATATGCCAGTTTGTCCAATATCCATTATAAGCACACAATTGAGTCATGTTAATGCCAGCAAAAAAAAAAAAAGCTTGCTTTGCTACGCTTGTGTTCTCTATGTTCGTTTGGGGATGTTGCTAAAGCAGCATTCTTTATAATAAGTTGTTTAAGTATGCTTGCAATTGCATGCTGCCAGAACAGTATGCTGATGCGAGCCAGCTCACAGAATTACCAGTATTTACTGAACAATAAACTGGGACTTGGAAGGATTCTTGTCCAAGACAAATCTCTAGGAACTATTTTACAAATTCTTTCGGGGGATAGGTTTTACAGAATGACAGAAGGTGGCTCAAGTAATGTGGCGCATAAAGACTGGTTACTTTCTGTGTTTGCAAAGCTTATATATGTAGTGTTCTAGATGACAACACCATAAACGTAAGCATACCTGCCAAGGTCAAGAATTTTGAATCTGGGAGATTTCCGCAACAAGGGGAAGGTCGTGCTCAATTATTTGCCCCCTTTATTATGCACCATAAAAACATCGCGAAAAACAAGACAAGTTGGGGGGAGGTCCCAATCGCAAGCGCCAACATCGGCGTTGCAGTCTTATGATGGCTTGGAGTGGCTGAACACATGAGGGTAGGGTTCCCCACTAAGGTTAAAGTCTAACTCAGTGGGGGAGCGCAAGTACTCCCAAATCTTTGTGCCATCTAAAACATCTAGGAAGATGTATTTCTGTCAAAACAACTCGTGTATAACTTCCTGAAACATTTGAACAGAGGCGACGGCACATTTGGCTGCCGCGAAAGCGCGGGTCAAAGTTCTGCTCGCGATTAGATTCTTTAGACAGGAACGCCAAAGTGCGTCTAGCCTTTTTTAACGTCTTCTCTGCCTTTAATCTAACGCTGCGTTCCCTCCCAGCTCGTAGATCACTATTGCATCGCGGCAACTGTGGTTTCGTGCGCGGCGGTTGTGGCAACTGGTAGTTCCGTTTTCAGTCCGAGTGCACTGGCTGCACACGTGCCTTCAAAACTAAGTCGTTTTATGCTATTTATCATCACATCTGTCGCGGATTTGCCCTCATAGTTTGCAGAAGGCAACGTTGCTTTGACTGGTCAAGCATTGGACGTGCGCACACTTTCGAGGTTGTGTCAGTTACGTCGTCGCCATACATGATCGTTTCAAGAACGACCGCGGTTACGTCCACAGTGGTTGTGGAAACGACAATTACACACACACTGTGAAAGAGTGCGTGCACTGGCTGGGCACGTACTTCCGAAGCTTCAAGCACGCTGCTCCGGCCTTCGTGCGATGGTTTTAAGTACGTATTAAAAGTTCATATTACTCGCCGCGAGATTAAGAAAGGTGTTCGGAACAATCGAATTTCGGCCCAATGGACACTGGAATTTGGCTGGAGAATTTCATGAATTCGTATCTGCCGCGGTATTGCATCATTGAGATTCTACTGTACATTTAAATGAAAACCTTCTGAACTTGTTAATAATAAAATGTGGTAGTTCTGCAGAAAACCTGGAGTGGATTGACCTGCATTTTTGTCAATGCGACCAGATCACGCACAGAAATTTCGATTTCCGGGAGATATTCATGACAACCGTACAAACGGAAGCCTTCCAGAAAATTCTGTAGACTTGGCAGGTGCGAGTTAAGTATATCATGCTGTACATATATTACTGGATAGAATTACAGCATGCATTGCCTCAAATATTAAATGAAAATTCATCTGTTCCTTCTCAAAAGGCCAAAAGCGAGGCATTACACATTGGTTAAGTCTTCGAAAATTTAATTTTTGAGCCAAGTGTGACTCGGCCAGGACTAACTTTTATGTTTTATCGCACGTTCAGGATCGTGACCTGTATGAAAAATAAATTATCCTTAGCGACTGTGAAGTGACAAAAAAATGATTTTTCATGGGTTTAGATGTACAACTTCTTTATGAAAAACAAAAATGAGGAAGGAGCCTATCTTTTTAATTTAAGAAAAAGTATTTACATTGGTATAAACATGTTTCCCGGGCTTAAAAAACTGCACATATCAGGAAGGAAGACACCCACGCATAATAGCATTGTATGTATTAGCACTTTCCTGCACAACTGCACCTCTTGGGGCAATAAACGACCTATTACCAGTCAGTTACCCTCTCAAAGTCAGAAAGCAGACAGATGTCTGTTTCAGCGAGTGCAACAGCAGTAAGTCACCGGTAAAGCCCCCCCCCCCCCCCCCCCCCCCCCCCCCATCCTCCAAACCAAACTTACCGTTGCATACCGGTGCATTGGTGCTTAATTCTGGAATGGAAAGTGAAGTTCCGCAGCACAAGAAAAAAATTCTCTGCATCATCTTAAGGTGATGACTTTGCTGTGAAAAAGAAGGATGAAAGCGTGATTTTCTTTTTTCTACAAGCAGGCAGCACCAACCATTTCCGACTTGTTTGCAGTACTGCAAACGTACATCGCTGGCTCTTAAACAGTTAAATAGGTTATAAATTATCAGCGCCCATTTGCAAAATATGAATTTTGTTGCAGAGATCCTTTAAACAGGCTTCTTGCCTAAAAAAAATTTGATAGATTATGGTCTTGTTAGACAAACCCTTGTCAATGCTATACTTTGGCTTCTGAGCCAACTACATTTGATGATAGTAAGTTCACGTAGTATTCCTAGCATTTCCAACTATCCACCGATCGCAATATAGTACAGGGTGTTTCAAGTCTTGTGCCTGCAAGTTCTAAAGAATAAGTGAAATGCAATGTTTGGTCATTGCCTTTATGGATTACATTGTGGCAACAGACTATAATTGCCACATTAAATATAAAAATTAAAATAGCTTTTTATTTAGAGAAGATAGGCAGCTGGGTCAAATGAGAGAATTGAAGTCCTTCCTGCAAAAAGCCCATCACCGTTATGAGATTTTCAATAAGCGGCCACTGGTAACTTTTGCGGAGTGACGAAATTCACCAGCGAAACAAAAGCCCGACAATGCAGGCATAACACAGCTGACAACCAAGATGGTGTCACTGTTTTTAACAGTTGCAGCGGTGATGGTTTTGCATTCTTCAACGCACGTGCGTCATGCATGCTATCGTGGCAAGCGCAGCCCGCACACCCATTTCAAGAAACTCACTTGTCCTGGTTGTCTTGGAATAGTGGGACAATTGTGCTAGACTTTCGGTTAATAGTGGTCAGATTTTATCAATCCTTGAAAGTTTATAACGGCCAAGTTTTGGAAATATCAAGGCAGCAATGGGCTCTTCACAGAAAGGCTTGAATTCTCCCTCTTAACTGAACCACTTCTCTCCTATAATTGAATAGGTATTTAACGTTTGCAATTACATGCCATAGCATGCCATAGTTAATGATTCTAGTCAGCTTCAGATGTCTACCTTCACACAAACATTAACACCAGCGGTGGTGAGAAAATATAGCCATCCTCTTACTATCAGGATTTCTGAGCACATTTTGTTGAAACATCCAGCATTGTTCACTTCAAATAACTTGCAGTATATTGAGAGCAGCTTCTGAATTATCATTCATCAAGAACAGACGAATGCAAACATTTATGTCAAATAGTGCCTTTTTAATGGTAGACATTAAGTCATATACATAGAAAAAAAATCATAAATAAGTCTCAACTCTCTTTTAACAGAGAAAGAAAGCAAGGAAAGCCTGCAGTCTCAATTAACTTGGAATAAACTCCAGTTGTCTGCATTTTCTTTGTCATCTTAGAGAAATTTATAAACACAAACTTTATTTAGCAGAAGGTAATTAGCTTTTCTTTTTCAATACTGAACTGAACGGAGAAATGAGCTAGGTGAACTGCTGAAGAGATGGTCAATGACCTTCATAAACCTGTACATCATAGTTTGCAAACATGGTTAGTTTTTGGTGCTCTACAAAAGAATGCAGGGCGCGAATTATGGAAGCAGGGGAGACACACACGTCCTATGTACACGGTCGCCTTTGTAGATGACAGTGGAGGATGAGTTGCCAATGTACAGATCAGGAGTTGGTGACAGTGTGCAAGCAACTTGGCCTGTGAGGGCTCAACAGCCACATGAAAGTAAAACTTGAAATGACTGTCTACAATAAATAAGTTAGGAGAGACCGACTGCTGCAGACACCACCCGAGGCAAGGATGCAGATGAGAGGAGAGATCGCGGCATGTCGTGATGGTCCCGCGGAAGAAAAAACGCACCGGAGGGGATGACGAGAGCAATTGTCTTTTAGTCTCCCGCCTCTGCCATTGTTTGCACCCTACAAAATAGACTTCGCAACCCTTCCCAGAAACTGTACAAGGCCCCATTTTACATAAGAAAGTACAGCCACCACACACAGTCAATCACCACAGAACGACGGATCACTGTCCTCATTGTCACTCGATCCATCAGAGCAGATGACCCGCTTTCGCTTTTTGCGAGGTTTTTTCTTTGCCTTGTCACTCACTGCGGCAGCACCTTTAGAAGTCCGACCTGGAGGCCGGCCGCGATGGGTCACGGCAGCTGTCGACAACCGTTGCCGTGGCACTGAGGTGGCCACGGCGACTGTGGGCAGCGCTGCCGTGGTGGGAGCGGCTGTTCCGATGCTGGCAGCGGCGCCTGCATTTGGAGCAGCACCGTCTTCTGTGGCTGAAGGGGGCGCGGTGGCTGTAGCCGCTGTTGTGGGCCGGGGCTGGCCCGTGTCCTGGTCATCGTCGTCATCGTCCGGGTCGATGGTCAGCATCAGCTGCTTGAAGTCGAGATAGCGGCGGCAGAGCTCTTCTCCACTAGTCTGTCCCTCGTCCCCAGATTTCAGAAACTGCACCGTCGGCTCTGGATTGAACCGAACCCCCGAACGCCGGTTGAGGGCCTTCTCGTACGTTTTGGCAGCTTCGTTAGGAGAATACTGCTGAATGCGGCTGTCAGTAAAACCATACGTATCCTTCAGAGTTTGCTTTACAAAGAGGAGCAAGATGCAGCCTTGTGCTGCTTGCATGCTTTCTTCAAGAGGTTCCAAATCTGCCGGGAGCCTCGCTGTCAGAGCATCCAGGTCGTCGTCATCTTCCTCGTCGTATTCTTCAGTACGTGTGACTCCCTCGCGAGGCAACAGTGCTTCACGAAAGCTCTGCAATAAGTTGGAGCCTGACACAGACAGCAGGACATCAATATGGTGCATGACGAACAGTGGCTCGTCCTGCACCTGATATGGAAAGTACACAATGTTGTCAGCCACATAAAGCAGCTCTGCCAGAGGCACCCTCGCCTGCTCGTCGAAGAGCTTGAGCAGGGCCAACAAAAAGGCACGCCTGCTCTGCCTCGTTGCTCGAAGCACGGAGTACAGGAAACCATTACGGCTGACGGGCGCTTCTGGACAGCGATACCCACGTACGAGAGAACCCAGCTGGGAAGTTCGGTGCATTTCGAAAGAGAGCCGCATGCCTGCGAGGGCTTTCATCTGCACAAAGCCCGGATATTTCTTTTCCAAGTCTTGCAGCAACTGGTCGGCCTTTGTACGCAGCAGCTTATCATCGTCGGAACCCAGACAGGCAAGGTGTGGGACCATCTGCACAGGGTGTACCAGGCCCTGCCCTAACACTAGCTGCAATACTTGCAAGGCAGCACGACGCACAACCTGGTCGGGGTGGGCAGCTGCAGCCAGAATATCTTTAAGGTAGACCTGCACCACTGTGCTGGCCATTCCGGAGGACACGTCACCCATTTCTTTCAGGTTTTCCCCTTTGGACAGCTTGCTCCATTCAGCATCTCGGCGAATCATCTTGGCCTCTTCTTCCATTAAATATGCTGTGAGGTTCTTGAGCACTTGCACTCTTGCTACAGCAGGCGCTAGGGGACTGCTTAGCAGGTGCTTGTACAGCTCTTTGATTTCAGGCCCAAGCATCAAATCGTACTGGCGCACAAGCATGAAGCCAAGACCTGTCAGTGCACGCTGCCGAATGTCCTCGACTTCGTGTTCCGTAAAGTACATCATTGCAGCAAATACCCTCTGCTTTAGAGGCTGGTCAGCGTCTTCAGCAGCAGCAGACTCTACAGTACTATCTAGAGCAGGTTCTAGATGCTCAAAGTCAAAATGCCGGCACAGCAGGCCTAATGTGTAGAGGCAACGTTGGAGACTCTGGCGGCTGTATTCACGACCAGCCTGATGCTGCCGCTTCACCAAGCACAATAGCATAAAGAACTTGTGAAACATGTCTCGAACTAGTGGGTAGTTGTGTGTTACACGGTTCACCACTGCACTAAGGCAGCTAACGCTGGCCGGAAGGATGGCCATGGCATTGCGAATGAGCTGCTTGGCCAGGTCTTCTTCGATTTGTGCTAGAAATGACTCACTCGGGTGCTCCATCAGAGGCACCACTAGCTCGAGGCAACGAGTGACATGCTGCAGCACCTGATAGTCTTGTGGGCCCGATACACGCATGCTTAGGTATGGTTGGATGGTGTGAGCGTGGCGCACGAGCAGCTGTGGCTGAATGCGGCTGAACAAATACAAGGTGCCAAGGCAGGCTACTAAATGCTGTGACGATTCAGCGCCCTCTTCCAGTCGAAGCAGCCGTTCCACCAGGCAGTCCACTATCTGCCGGCACGACTCCAATACACCTCGGCGTTGCCCGTCTTCACGGTCCTTCAGGAGGCCACAGAGCAGTTGCTCAAACAAGTCAAGTCCCATCTCGCGACACGCGACTACAACATGAGTGATGTGGCGCACCTTTTGCAGAAGTCTCTCTTCGCTGTTCTGGGGTGTGAACCACATGCTCTGGAACACTTCTCCAACTAGTTTCTTGATGCCTTCCTCGTCATTGACACGACCGATGATCTTTACACATATTTCTGGAATTTTCTCGAACTCTGGCTGTTCCAGGCACACATCCTTGAGAATTTTGATGACTCGCTTGCGTACACTTACACCTGTGTCTAATATTCGCTCCGTTAGCATGTCGTAGTACTTGTGCGTCAGCTCTGGTCGCACCAGGATGAACTTCCCTACTAAGTCCACAGCTGCTTCACGGACACTTGTTGAATGATCGAGCAGACGTCCATGCACCCCTTGTCGCATGTCTGGCCGGCCCAGGATAGAAGGGTCTGCTTCAACCACAAGTGTGAGACACTTCATTGCCTTCGTGCGCACAGCAACTGCCGATTCACTCAGGACTCGCAAAATCTGGGTGAGGTATACGTCAAAACTCTGTGAGAATGGCCGCCGAGACGCTAAGAAACGCGAGATGAGCTCCGCAGTGGCGTAGTCCAGTGTGCCTTGCTCAGATTTTAGGCCACTTCCAGAGTCCTGAGGCTTTGCCAAGTGCAGAAGAAACTTCTTTCGCTCTTCCACCAAAGCTGCAAGCTTGGCTTGCTGCTCTTCATTTGGCGCAGAGGTCTTCTTTTCATCTTCTTCATCCTCTTCCTCAGGCTCGCAATTTCGCCGGCTTGCCTTGCTCCTACTTGTGCGGCTATTAGTTTTACTTGGCGACTTTGTACTTTCTTTCTCTTCGTCACCATGGTTCTTTTCAGCCTTGGCTTCAGCCATAGCATCCCTATACCACTGAGCCACATAGAAGCGTCTTGAAAACTGCAGCGATGGGTCGCTGTCAAGGTTGGCGTCAAGGTAGTGAAGTAGCGCCCTCTGTAAAAGCTGAGTCTCATCTTTTGGCCGTGCACCTTTAGAAAGACTCGTCAAAGGCAAGTCATCTTCCTCATCCTCCTCGATCTGACGGAGAATGTCCTTCACAGTTTCTTTCTTGATCTGGCTGCTTACGGCATCTTTACGCAATCGCGCAGCAACTACTCCGAGATAATCGAGAGACGCTACTCGCAGAGACATGTCCAGCGATTTGTTGCTGAAGTTTTGAACAAGCAGTCGTCCAAGAAGGCTTAAAATTAACTCTGATGCGGGCCACTCTGGCTTGTTGACTGTGCTCAGCAGATCTTGGACGAAATTTTCAAACACTGGCCTATAGTCCATGTCCTCGTTCTTTGTGCCGCACTTACGCAGAAACACAGACAGAAAATTGGCAGCAGTGTGAACAGCTGCATCGTAAGATGTTACAATCAAGACATCTGCATCTACGGCTTTGTCTTTCCCCTCTGCTGTTTTGTCTTTGCTGGTTTCTGCCAATTCCCTTGGCACAGGAGATCCTTCAGGAAGTCTTACGACGCTGTGTATCAGCTGAAGAACCAGTGCAGTCAGCATCTGTATGTACTCTTCAGAGTTTAGGCGATAGTTGCGCAAGCTTCGCTTGCTGGTAGGCAGGCGTGCAATGGAAGCCAGGATATCCTCTAAAATGAGCTGCCGGTGCTTTTCATAATGAGCAAAAATGGTGGTCACCAAGCGCAGGGCATGCAGCTGAAGCTCACTGACACCTTCAACAAAAAATGGACCAACGCCCAACGTTGACACCTGAAGGATTAAGGTGTCTGTTAATGTCTGCAGTCCTAAAAGTTCTGCGAGCAGCCCAACCAATTCGTGAAGCTTGTTGTAAAGCTGAACCACTGTACGGTCTTTCACTTTCTGGGAGGCATGGGCACGCTTCTGCCTTGCATTGCATCCCTCCTTTCCACGAGAGTCCACCCGGTAAACTGGGTCAAACAATGGGTAGATGGTGTTTTGAATCTGAAACTTTGCAAAGATGACGATGCGCTCAATCAAATCTTCCAAAAAGACCCGCTTAGGCATGTTGGCTGAAGTCATTATGTACAAGGCAGTTAACGAGGCATCTGCAGATCGTGTAATGCGCTCCATGGTCAGTTCTGCATACAAGCGGCCTTCCTCATCCTCTTGATCATCCTGGTCTACCGGACAAAGCTTAGCACCGTCCACTACATTTCGTTCCAGTATGGACAACAAGCGAACAAGACGCTCTGGTGGCACTTGGTTTGTGGCTTGCAAAATCTTTAGCTTGGCTGCTTCATTGCACAGCTGACGCAAAGATGACGCAGACACTAGTGCTTCCGGAGGGCATCCAACCTCATCATCCAACTCTTGGGTAAGGTCTAGATCTTCCATAGAGTCGAAAATGGCTTCAACAGTGCGTGAGAAGCGCTGGTATGTATTGCTCTCCATTAGCTCCTCTGCAGAAAGTGGAGTGGGCACAGGCTCCTTCCTCACCTTCTTGGGCTTTACCTTCGGCTTTTCCCGAACAGGCGGAGGTGCTGGAGCAACTCGGCTTGGCTCTTCATCAGGTTCAAATGCAGAGTGCTCACTCTCGCTGTGCTGTGACTGTACTGGGGACTCCGCATACTTGGCCTTCTGGTGGGTCCTGCGCCTGTTTTTCACTCGCTCGCTCAAAGAACTGGCGTACTTGTCCATGCTTGATGTCTCTTTAGTTGGCGATGGTCTGTGGCAATTGCGTCGATCATTCCCTTTCGCAGTCTTGCCATCAATGCTTTCCCTCTGCTTCCGCCCTGGTCGCTTTCGTGCTACTACGTGTGAACCATCATCATCATCGGAGGATGACTGCAATCGGCTATTCTCCCGCACGGAGTTTCTCACAACCTTGCTTCTGTTTGACGCAGCCTTTGGTGTAGCTTCTTGCGCACTTTGCTTGGCCGGGGACGCTTGTGCTGATCGCCGGGTAGCTTTGGGTCTACTGCTTTCAACATTGTTTACTACACACACTTTCGGAGGCTCTTTGGACACCTCGCGTACCGGCGGGCTCACTACAGGAACACTGTTAGCACGTTCCACAGGTGGACACACAGGTGAGGGTGGCACTGCATTCTGCACTCTCACAACACCACTAGCACTGCCACTACTACCAGCACAGGGCACGGGCACAGGACACACTGGCACTGGCGGCACGGGGCACTGTTGCAACGGTGGCTGCTGCTGCTGCACTGCTGCGTGAACCACTGGTGATTCTGTCCGCTTGTCACACGGGGTCACACAGTTTCCGTTAGAGTAGAAGTTTTGGCTTGACGGCTGCTTGGGCACTTGGGGCGAGAAGGGTGTCCCATCCAGGATGCCAGCCACCGAGTGGTCGTGCAGCGGTGGGTGCGGAGTGAACGGGGTGGGCGGAAAGAAGCCTGGGCTCCCATCCAGACCTTCTGCAGGCGAGCACAGCTGAGCGGGGCTGTAGCTCTGCTGCTGCTGCTGCTGCCAAAGAGGTGGCCCCTTGAACAGTCCTCGTGCCACCAACAGTTGCAAGAGTGGGGAGCAGCCTTGGGGCGGCAGGGCACCGTCCCCGCCATCCTTGAGCTCCACGTGGTCGGTGTTGACTTGGGCCAAAGCATCCAACAGTGGGGGCAAGAGACGGGCATCACTGGCCAGTGCCCGTCGGGCTTCCTCAGCCTGGGCTGCTGGCAGCAGAGACCGAGCAGGGCCGGCTCCGGGCAGGGCAGACGGCAAAGGCAGCTCCAAGAGCAGCTCAGTGATGCTCTGGATGCCTGCGAGCGTTGTGATGGGCACGCTGGGGCCCTCGCCATTCATCATGCCGCCGGGCCGGGGCTCACGCTTTGCCCCGGACCTCTGGCCACCTGCAGAGTCAAGAATATTTGTGTTACAACCCTATAGCAAGCACATTTTGGTGATCAAGTAACAATGCATGACCACCACATCGTTACTGCTGACATTACAGAGTTCATACGGAACGGGTTCCGTCAACTATCGTGCTTGTATGCCATATATACCACGCACATAATAGCTGTATCGACGGCACAGGTAAACCACCTCACAATAGGAAATGTCGCATACCAAGCAAATTATCATTCACCGCGAATATATACATATCTTAATTGGATCGACCACGGCTGACACACAACGTGAAAGCAGCGTTCCTTCTCATTCAGAGGTCAGACTTACCGAGACTGATGACCCGTCGTTGCACGGAGCACCATTTACGTCAGCTGGTATCCAGGTGAGACAACGTTCAGCATTCCCTCTTCACGTTGACGCAGTCACGGTGCAAGCCACGACTTGACGGCACGTCTTCCGGGCCACTCGTGCACCTTCGCGGGAGGACAGCATTGACGCCCAAGTCAAGAATACGTGAGCACCGCCTGCATGAAGCAGGCGCGGCAACGGTGTTTTCCGATCACTGTTGACACATCTGTCTCGTACACTGATTATGGGGAAAAAAATGTCATCGCTGAACACGAATGCGGTCAGTCAACAACCGTACGCGAACGTGCACACGCGCAGTGACAACTAGCTTCGTAGAAACAGCAGTGGGTCAGTCAAAACTGACGCTAGCACCGTGTCGTCGCCGTTAATCCGTCACCGGCCCGTAAATGTCAGTCGCAACGTTGCTATGTTTACACACAGAGTCCAAGAGCTTCAACATGACGAGGTGGCACACGAAACGACCGGTAGTAGCGATAGAAGACAGCTTACACTACTCCGTGCATAGCGACGGCTCGTCTGTCCGACGTTTCCGTATACATAGCGCCGTATTAGGCTTAGCGAACTACGGTGCGCGAAGGTTACCCTCCACGCGTGTTACCGACGGCCGAGCAGCAATGCTCGGACTGCGACGGCGGTTTTTAGGCGAGCAATGTTACTTCTGCCCGGCGATGTATTAGTAAACAGGGCAAACTCGGCGGGACGAGTGTTTACGTGCTCTTTAGGCCTAAAGTGGTTGCTATCCAGCCAGAGCGGGGAAGCGCGTAGCCTCCGATTCATGTCATATGATCGAGACAGCGAAGGGAACCGGCTTACCTGTGCCACGCCGTCGGAGTCGGTCATGGTGAAATTATTTTTTTTCTCACTACCGCTCCTCGGAAGGAAGCATCGTAACCCTTTACGAGGCGACTGCGAATTTCTTTTTCGAATAAACTCTCAAAACGGATCATTGTCCGCCATTACGACAAAACAGGACGACATTCTCAACCCCGGATTTCGGTGAACCCAGAAACGCGGACCATTGGTACGGATCGTACTTTCACGGTCTACGCTTTTTTTGTTTTAAAACACTTTGTATTGATTATGTAACAGCCATCGGGAAAGCACGTGTTTGTAGCGTCATGGAAAAAAATTGTCTCTCGCAGCACACCGTTTCGAGGCTAGGCAAGAAAACCCGTTATGTTTTTGTTGATTGCGTTGTCTGCTTGCTGTGTGTGCGGTGTGCCGCTCTTCAGCTACGCTACATTCAGAACGAAATAAAAAAAAAAAAAAGATCGTCAGTTCAGCCAGTGTGTACCACAAGTGTTGACGCCTTTTTGTGATGCGCTACGAAAGCTGCAGGCTTTCCGCGCGGAGAGCGATTTAAATGCGCTGCCTGCGAAGAGGTACGGAGCTGTGTGCAGGCCAAGTTTAATTAATTTCAGTCGACGCGTACACCCTGCTTCAATACAGTTCGGGTTCATAACATCACAAAAACACTGTGGTGATAGTACGTGTGTGTGCGTATGTTCTGTTCTGTTTCATGACTTGCTGATTATACTGTATATCTCCTGAATTCTTTCTTTTCTCTGTTTGTTGTTTTTCTTTGCGCTAAGTTGCCGTTACATGGCGTCCACTGAAAGGTGAAACCATCAATGTGAGTTTTAGAGAGAATGTTAGTGCCCCTTGTGTTTAGTAACGCAAACGACGTTGAATCAAATTCAACCACACCGTGAATTCAACTGAGAGGTGCACACTTGCTTCGTTCGCAATTCAGTATCAATTTGCTCGCCCTGACGAGTGTGTGAAGGTAAATTGTTTCGCGTACGCGAGCTCTATCCTATTTTTTTTTTTTTTTTGTAGGCGATGCTGAGCACGGAATATTCTGGCGATTGAATGCGCGATATCTTGACCCTTTTCAAACGCTGCGCGCTTAAATTTTGAGCCGTGATATTCATTGGCGCTGCACACCAATCCCATTAAGAAAGCGGTTTTGCATATGGGTATTAAAGCATTATATTAAAGAAGTAATGTACACGGTCTGGTATATTAGTAGGTGCGATGATCGCTTTTATTACCTAGCGACAACATTTAGCAGAGACACGCGCGCGCTACCGCTATGACAAACGCCGAATTTTTTTTTTTTTTTTTAAATATGCACCTATATAGAGATACACGCAGTGAATGCAGCGTGGTGTGTGCTCGAACGATGCCCTATTAGTAAGAATAGTGGTCGGCGTACGTTTATCAGCATTAATAAGTGAAATATATTCCCATTGTTCATGCAGATATAGTTGCGCATGCATATCTTCGCAGATCCTGCTCAAGCGAAATTAAAAAAGAAATTGCTTTGATTTTGATCAGTAAATCTAGAGTAATTAAGGGTGAAATACTACATTGGTTTAGAATAATAAGTTCTATCAACATTCTTGGTTGTTAAATTGGGATAAAGCTTCATTAACAAAAGCGGGAAGGATCAATTCGAATTACGCGCCTAATTTGAAATATGGGCATTGCGTAATCGTGACGTCCTCAATATAAAGGGCGGCGCCAGGGGGGGGGGGGGGGAGAGGCAAGGGTGGGCTGGAGCCTCCCCAAAATTCTCGCCTGCCCTCCCTATGCCCACCCAAGTGCCCGGAAGCATATATTGAAAACCTAGCAGGAGCAGAGCTAGCTTGCCCCCCCCCCCCCCAGTAAAAACATCCTGGCGCCGCCCCTGTCAATATATAAAAAAATCTAGCCATGTCTTGGACACGTCAAGCACAATAAAAGTTGTTATATCTTGAATTATTGTTTCTCTCTTTTCCTTAGAACACACTTTTACCATTAAGACATCATTTTCAAGTTTCAGCCTGCAGACGACGTCGAAATCTGTGACGTCAGGTGAGCTGTTGCGGAAATTTCAAGAAAGCGTCGCCACCTGCATATGTCATTTTTTATTATTTAAGCAGTGTTATGTATTAGCCAAGTGTAATAACACTCTTTCAGGGCACGTTTATGTAAAAGTGACAGTTAGGAAACTACGCAGTAAACGGTGCCGTCTGCTACCTGTTGTTTTGTTTGTTTTGCGAGTGCAGAAGCTTAAGCTGTTGTTCACGTTAAAAATAAAATTAAAAATAATTGTTACAACCTTTGTTAACACATGCACTGCTCTATAGACGTGTGTTAACGGTGTACTGTTATCTGACCATCGTTAAAAATTCAAGCTGTTAATGCGCCGCATATATGATAGCTAATTTCAATGTTGGCAGTAAATGTTGTTGCATTCAAGCCCTTCAAAGGGGCAATATATTCAGATGGCTCAGTAAAGTTTCTTCAATCAATCGAAGGAAGCCCCCATGTTATTTAGGAGCGGGAGTTTCGTAATGCGAAAACACCATTGATGTACGAATTCCACAAAAACAATACATTTAGGCACACATATGGTTCAAATAAGGAACGAACTGAGTGTTTATTGTTTGTATATTAACATATATGTGACATTTTCAGTTTTTCCCCCGCGTTTTTTTTTATTGCTGGTATCTTTTGTCGTCCCCCAATACTTCCAGTAAAAAAACAAGGTGTCATGTATCTCCTTATTTTAACAGACCCCTGACTAATCCCCCACCGTGGATGTGGGCCATTTTCCGCGCACAAACAAGCAAAAAAAAAAAAACGAAGAAACAAGCTTACGCAATTCTCGTGCCACAGTTTACAGGCTCTTCTTCTTCTTCCAGCTCGGCGCAGTCCCGTCTGCCAGGCGATGGCGATCTTCGATTTCCGACGCTTCACTTGGCCTTGATCGAGTCCATGGTACGTACGATAAGCTTTATCGCGTGCTGTCGTGCAGTATCGGCAGTAAACCGTGACTTGTTTTACGCATCCAAATATTGGCAAATCGCGATGTGGTCGCAACCGTTGCAAATCTACTTCTGTTCGTCAAAAAGATTGCGAGTGAAACCGAGCGCGCTTGTGTAGCAGAAGACGCAAAATCGAAAGCTGGTGAAAGCCATCTCGAACTACCGTAACTAAGCGCATTTTTAATAAAGCAAAAATGTTATTGTTATTGTTGCAGTAAACGAACGTATAATTAATTAACTCTTTTAGAATAAGTAAAAGAGGGCGCACCAAATTGTGATTCTGTCACTACTTTTGGTGACTAACGTAACACTGTTCGCAACAAGGATAGTCCAACACTTTTTTTTTTTTTTTTTGTGGCATAGCTTCCTTCATGTTTCTTTTGCGTAGTTTCCGCAGTTTCTTTCCTCAAAGTGTTCCGTTCCGCACTGCTGCTTCGTAGTATAGTACACTCTGGTAATATCGAACCTCTGTGAAGCAAAACGGGAACATTTGTTGGAAGCCGATTCCAAGCGTTAGATTAGGTTAAGGCGGTTGCACTTGCTGCGCCGTCACAGACACACACACATTTTCAGCGAGCCTATTCCACACTGCACCCATACACCCGCGACCATGGCGACTACCGAGGTCGCCGAGCAGCCGCAGGTATAATTACGCTTCATCTCGCCTGATAAAGGAGAGACGATAATGTTAACAGAACGTATGTTTTCCTGTATCGCTCATACGCACCGTGCAATTTCAGCCCGAGGATGGTTCGGCGCGCGGTGTCAAATTCAAGTTCACTGAGGGAGAAAAAGTCCTGTGCTACGAGCCCGACTCGTCGAAAGCCAAAGTTCTCTACGAGTCTAAGGTGACCGAAAATGCGAAGTCCATATACTGGCTGAAAGTGTTCAACGTAGTCTTTAGTGACGTGTAGGCGTCTTTATAGCCCTACGCTTGTCTGAACACCATTTTGACATGCCAAAATAAACATTTATGTGAGAACCTTGGGCAACCCAATTACATCGCAAATAACCTAACCAATCAACGTTGTTGCTTGGCAATTCGGGCTAGCAGAGTATGTATAGTAATAAGGAAACAACCCTTCCTTTTTGTTCCCGTCCGAGCAAGTCGCTCTTTTTCTTATTGTAATGGTGTGTCGCTAGTCGCAGGTTTTGCAGCAGTGCGGTGTATTGTGACAAGTGATAAAGTAGCCGAAAATTTCGAACATGGCTCGATATTTTCATTATGGTTTAATATTTTTGTGCGTGCATGGCTGCTCCAGGTGTCCCCGAACACTCAGCATAAGCTTCAGAGCTCGAGTTTCGCCCAATAAAAAACATCAAACAGTGCACTCGAGTATACATCATGCTTCTGCCCAGGTACTGGAGCTCGTGGCTGGCAAAGACGCTCGAGGGCGCAAGATGCCTGAATACCTCATCCATTTTAGCGGTTGGAGCAGCAGGTACGTTTTCCACTGCGGCAAATGTGTTTGCTGGGCTTGCCATAGTCTATTTCTTACAGCTGGGACCGCTGCGTTGCGGAAGAGTTTATATTGCCCAACACCCTGGAAAATAGGAAGCTCATGAAAAAACTAGCGGAGGAAGCAGCTGAAAAACTGTGAGTCATAGTACCCGTGCTGCTTCCAGAAACGCCAAACAGCAGTGTCGTCGTTGTTTTTCTTATTTTTCTCCCCACTCTCTAGGTATCAGACAGGTAAATCAAAGAAAGGCAAGGTTCCTGCCATACTGAAAGAACCTTTGGACAGAAAACTACGTGGCAGGAACAGGAAGGAGCGCAGTGGAAGTGGTTTCAGTAGTGGTGAAGAGTTGTCGGCACAATCTGACTCTCCCGAGGTGACCTGCTGCCCTTTCACTATCTTGAGCCTTTCTTTCGTGCACTTTGGACATGCACTTTCAAGCGTTATAACCACAAGTATCAGATAAAATTGAAATCAACTATTCTAGTTGACTCTATTCCTCAGCCTGGTAAAAGGAGTTGATTTGACACATGTATTTCGATTGCCTTTGTTTTCAGTGCTCTGTAGTGAAAGTGAACAAGTAGGTGCAGTTCTGGCTTGCCTATAGCTGTTGTTTTTTGACAAGCCATTGGGGATAAAAATTAGCGCTGCATCTCGGCAAATGCTAGGTATTTATGAGCATGAGAAAGCTGCAAGAACTTTATGGCATTGATACATTCTTTACATAGTGGACAGATTAGTATACTTGTGGATGCTGGAGATTTGTTAGCTTCGATGCACTGCACAATCATGAAGCAGCAGTTGTGGGCATGGTTCGCTGAGTTAGGCCAGTACTCTTCAATATGTGAAGTAGGAAAGCTTTTTTGACTAAGTAGACAATGGTGAAATTTTTTGTAAATGTAAAAAGCATTTGTAAATAGTCTTTATCTTTGGACAACATGCAGATTCTTGTGTAGCTTAGTACAGTGTCCCATTCTTGGTGGCATGTTTTTCTAGCTGAGGCTGATCCTTATGACAACTAAAGCACCTATTGCTTTACAAAAACACTTGTTACAGGGTCTATAGAAAAAAACAAAAGCAAGTGCAGCCTGCAACAAGTCGTGCAAGGGTGTGTCACAGTAAAGCTGGTGGGCCCCTACCTGGTCCCGTCTTGGCTAGGCTTTTACACCCTCACCCCTTTCTTTCCCATTCTTTGCTATACTCTATGATACATGGTTATGCTTTCTCTCCCTTTCTTTTGTCGCTCTTCTTTTGTGTCTACTTTTTTTCAATATCTCTGTCTATATCTTTTTCTGTATTTCAATATTTTTGCAACGGGCCATACCAGAAGTTATTGACATTTTTTAAAATCAAGTTTTCTTTCTCTCCTTAAGTACTTTTTTTTTCCCTTGTCCTCACCTTCAATTCCTTTCCTACCGCTTTGCTATACTGGACAAAAGGCTATGCGCTTCCAGGCCCCTCGCTATGCTATACGACGCAAGGCTATGCTGTCCTCTGATAGCATGCCTCGGATAGCCGAGTAATTAGGATGCTTGCCCTCGATTGCGGGCACACGGGTTCGAATCTTGCCTCGCCACAAATCTTTTTTTCGCCGGGATTTCTCTCTATTTTTCTCTCTCTCGGCACTCGCTTTCTTGTTCATCAGAGTTATTGCATGCTGCGCTGGACGAATCGTTGTCGGTGTCCTGGAGCGAAGCAGAAGAGGGCAAAGATGAAGAGACTGAATGCCGGCTCGGGACGATGATAGTTTTTGGACACGTGGCAAGCCTTGCGACGCACAACAGCTGTGCTGCAAAGTTACTCCTCATTACTAATCCCATGCCTGTCTTGTCATTCTTTAGCAGCAAAGTGAGGAATCTGAAGAGAAGGACAGTGAGGAGGAGCCAGAGGAACTCGCTACTGAGTACAACATTGATATTCCCAAGGTACTGCGAAAGACACTGCTCGACGATTGCTACAGCATCACTGTCCAAAAAAAGGTGTGGTATTCATTCATTGTGTGCCTTTTATCCCTCGGGAAAGTAGGGGCATCTTTTGTTTACAAGTGACCACAGTGTTATACTGCATGTCTTCTGTAACATACATTTTGAGGTAGAAGCAGCACACCTAAGTGCCTACAATAGATCCCATCTAATATATTTATCACAGAACTGCAAAAAAAAAAAAAAAAGAAGAAAACAAACACAATAGCTGGGAAACTTAATGGCGCGAAAGTTTAAGATCGAGAAAGTATGCTGCTGAATAAAGAAAGAAGTGCATTGCACACATCTATACTGCAAGGAAATTTATTCATCAGTATATGGCTGAAAACAGTTCCGCCAGAACAAGACTCTTGTGCATATGATGTGCGAATGGAGCTAGTGTTTCTAAATGCGGAGCAATGTTGCTGAAGTTATGTGAAGTCTGACGCATTTCCTGCCGCAACCTAAAATCTATAGAAGTGATTGAAGACAAGCCGTTCATAATTTGCATTTACTTGTGGTATTATATTAATGGCAGAAATGTTGTTGACCTGTGTGAGTTTTGTGGCAATAAGCTCTATTGTGCATCGTTTCATAAATGATGGTCTTGCCTGAGAAGAAAAGAAGCCAAGGAAAAAAAAAAGGAGGTGTTTCCTTGTTAGATGAGATCATATTGTAACAAAGGTTAAATGTACTGTTTTTTTTTTAAACGGCCACTCACTAGGTTTTACAATATTGAGCTGACAAGCGCAATGCGTAGATGAGGCGTTCATGATCACGTCTGCCAAAATTTTCAATGCTACGCGCCGCGAAAATGGGTCAAATTTCAAGATGAATGCTGCTTTCTCTTTCTTTTGCAGGTGCGCGCCTAGAGAATGAGGGCATGACGTGCATGAATGAATGGCCCTACGTACACGGCAATGCAGTGACGTTGGTCCTCTACGTAGATGATTATGCTCTGACATTGCCAACAGTGGCACATGATGTGGCGAAAATCATTTAACACAATATGCGTAGTTGATGTTTTTGTTGCTTGAAAGACATTAATAAATGTCTTCAAGCAAATAATAAATCAATGTAAATAATAATAATCTCTAGATTAATAATGAGACGCAATAAGGGAATGTGAGCGTTCTCTTTTTTTTCCCATGAATTGCAACGAGATGCGGGGCTAATGTGCCGGCATTTCGCATGCGTTTGTGTCCCCGCAATTTCGCGGTCAGCGCATTGAGCAAACGACAGCCGTGGAACGCTCCCACGCATTCAGGCACTCATTGTGCTCATCTATTCTACCGCATCTGAGCCAGTGTTTCCAAATCATTCCACAGAAACGGGCAGTAGACCTCAAAACAATGCTGGTCCAAAAAAAAAAAAAAAAAGGTCGCTCGTGTTTATGGGGGTTGGGCTTCTTCGGGCACGTCATGCGCACGTGACCTCTTGGTCGAATGCCGAAGAGGGTAGGGAAGAGATTTGGCTTGCGAAGGCTACGTGGAGGAGCGGCAAGGGTTTCGAGCTCGCCTCCTCTCATTCTCGTTTCGCACCACTTGAAAAAAAACAGTTTTCTCAGCTCTTAATGAACCGATTCAAAAATTTGTTTGTGGCAAAATGTTCCTCATCGGACACCCAACAACTTCCACGGTCTAACTAAAATTTGGTATGGGGCCTGGTGAGTGGCCCTTTAAGTGTGGAACACTTTAGGAGCCTGGTTTGTATCCAATTCATGCATCTCCTCTGGCATGGTTATGCTCACAAGTCAAGTCCTCTATACAAGTCGTAACAATGCCAGCAATGCTCAAAGCTGGGTTGCAATGAACAAGCAAGGTAATAATACAGTGAACTTTCACTTGAATGAAATTCAAGGGACTGAGGGAAATAGTTCACTTTACTGAAAGTTCATTGAACTGAATATTCACTCAAATAGAAGCAGCATTGCGTGCACAGCAAATATCAACTCAACAGCGCGAGTGCAATTTATTTTGAAAGCAATACTGTAATTTTCGTTCAGACTAGTGCGCTTAAAGGCCAACTCTGGCAATTTTTCGAGGTCAATAGATCTCAATGAAATTCACTGGGTGCGTTAATTTATACGTTTTCATAATTCGTTCCCAATTACAGGCTGAAGTCATTCACAGTTTTTTTACAAATGAATTTAGTACTTTGTTTTTTACTCTGCCAACTCGTTTCCTAACAATTATTAGCAACATTGTACGTGTGTGCCAACGCTTTTGTCAAAGTGACGGATCCAAGGTACCCCTACATTGTCTGCTGTTCACAAGGCAATGATTGCGTTTGTTGTTTAGCCAGCGTTTTGTTGGTTCGGCGTGCGAATTTCAGTTCGTTGTGGGCCTGCTAGCGATGGATGGCAGGTAGTGTTGCATTGTGGTTGCACACGATTTCCTGTGTAATTACATTGAACATCCAGGAAACACTCAAATGTTACCCTTTGTCTCAATAGTATACCTATATTGATTTAGCTAGCAATGTGGGCTCACTTCACGAAAACTGTGTTAAATCTGTACCGGCAGAAGAGGGTCTATGCGTGAACATTATGATAGTGTACTAAGCGAGCACATTACCGCATGAAAACACTTTTTATAATGTATACAGGTCGCACCATGACCAGCTCTAGTTCGCGTGCGAAAGGGGGCACATACTTGGCCTAATTAATTTTCTTCAGTTCTGCCAGCGCAATTTTAAACTCCGCTATTGCCAGACATATGCACTCTTCTTACAGCAATATTGAGAAGCTTCAGTTAGTCCACGAACTTTTCAGCGATAGCATTTCACTGATCACGGCCCCACAAACTTGAGCAGCTTGGACGGCTGGTGTCATCTGACAGTAAAATGCACAGTCAGCAATCGCCATTCCTCTTCGGCAATTTTTCTTGGCCTCCGCAAGTGTCCGAATCTCAGCTGTCATTTTTCAACAGCTGTCATGTTTTAACAGGTGCTCTGCACATAGCACAGTCAGTAACAGACATGGTGTGGTTGTTGCGATGGGGTCAACTCTCCCCTGAGCGTCTGCTCTTCGCAGCCCTCGTACTCCATGCTGGCGAGACCAGCATGTTGTGCATGGTTTTCGGTTTGCATGGTTTTTTGCCAAGGCTTACGTCACACAAGGATATTACTGCGGCTGGGTTTCAGTGTGGGTGTTCACTTTCTTGTTTATTTAAAATTATTCTAAACTTTGCCGTGTATTTCTGCTATCAGGCCCATGACAGGAGCGGGGCGTCTGGGGAACATAAAAGGACCATTAGTTTGACATGTTTAAAAAATCGCCAGCAGAAGAAGAGAAAGCTGTCCGGAGAGTCTACATTGCTGTGCAGTGCCTCTGGCCCAGCTTGTTGCTGTGACACGAAGTCTAGCAACTTTTTAATATATCCCACAGTCTCGGCTAGAGATATAGGATTTGAACCTGCTTTAACGATTATTGCTTCTTTGTCATGCTGTTCTTCTCTCGGCTCCGTACGCACACTAGAAACAATTTCCAAGTCCAATAGTTCTGGGTGAGCAGTGAAGCGCATGTAGTTCATTTTTGTATTGCGTGCTACTGCTTTCCCCCTTGAACGCTGCATGCACAAGTGGTGTTGCACCGCCACCGATGGATGGGTGATTTGGAGGCTGTACGCGTCGGCTACACCAGTGCTGCAGAGTGCAAAACTGCATTGAATTGAATTAAAAAATTATCCCTAGGTTCTGAGATAAAGTTCTTTCAACTGAATTATTCACTATTTAGAATTTGGGGCTTTAATGGAAATTTTTTTTTTCATAGAATGTTCAAGAAAACCTAACAGAGATTTCTAAAAGTTCGATATTCTGAAATGTTTGTTAAACGGACATTCGTACAAGCAAAAGTTCACTGTATAATTAACAAAAATAACCAAGGGGTAATCACAATAATTAACTAAAACTGCTAAAAACTGTTTCAGTTTCGGCTAACTTTAGGTCCTTGCAAAAGAAGGGTGCCACCACCTTTTTGAGCTAGCGAATGACCCTCCCCCAGTGCTTCACCACTGCTGCTTCACTACAGCTGATAGGGCAAAAAGACTTGGCGTGTGTCTCAATGGCCGTAATTAGTGGGGAAGTTGATAAAGCAAAAAGTAGTGTGCATGTCACACACCAAGTTTGTGAATTTTTTTGACAAAATTCTACTTGTGCAGGCGAAACCCTACATACTTACCTCAAACATTAGCGTCATCAAAGCAATGTTAAACAGAGCGCTGAGAACTTCACTAGTGGGCATTGCCACACATTTCTTTACTTCGTCGGCTGCTGGCTTATCTAGAAGGCAGCTTATCTACGAGTGCTGATACATAATGTGCATATAAATGTCGTGATATTGATAAAGGCAAGGGTATCAAGCTATTAATAATGTATATTTTTCTTAACTGTTTCAGCTTGTTCATCTGCCATGCACTCCAGATGTGGTTGACATGCTGGAGGCCTACCTGAAACACTATGCTGCCAAGCTAGTCATGATGGCAGCCAAAAACGCCAAAAACAACAATTTGCGTGCGACGCACCTCGATCCATCGGAATATGAATTTAGGTACTGTGTGGCAGAACGAGTACTAGAGTATCTGTGCATGCTTTTTTGCTTCACCAAGCCATTATGTATTTATGTTGTACTTGCCTTGTGGTCATTTTTGTAGCTCGTACTTTAGAAACTATATGTTGCTTCCACGATCGTCGAAGGTTCCACGACCCTCAAAGTTTTGTCCAACAGTGCATAAGAAAGCTGTTTAAGAAAGAAATTGGTACTCGTTGACTGAAGCGCAAAAATTATTATCAAGGGGAATATGTGCTATGTTAAGAAAGTTACAGGGGCTACAACATCGGTTTCAGTTGTTTTCATATTTTCGTGCGGCCTCGCCATCCTTCTCCCTCACCCGGAGGGGAAGGCAAAGCCCGTCGTCGTGACTGATTTAGACCAATTGACGAGCTGTGTGCTTTGTCAAATGTGCTGATCGGCGACTTTGTATCACTCCGCGGGTAGGAAGGACTGGTCAGGCATAGGCAAGGAGCACGGGAATGGTTTTTCGAAATGGAGGCTCTGTGCAGCATGCAGATTTGTAATTTTCGTAAAACGAGATTGCCACGGCCTACTCTACCAATTGCCGAGCTTCTTTTGGGGGTGTAAAAAAATGTCGGAGCCTGTTGACTGGCTCTTTAATCTTTTACTTTTTCCTATTTAGTTTTATAGTGTGGGGCTCACAAATAGGCATGTAAAAGTTATTGCCTATGGTGATTGCTCGTCGGTATTGAAGTCTTTGTTTCTTAATTGAATCTTATGTATATTGTATGTATCATTGACATCTCTGGAAAAAAAGTGCTCATTAATATGTTGCGTGCTCACACTGCTCACTTCTAATCTTGGTTACCGACACGACCACCACCTCTTTCTCACTACTTTCACAGCCAATCTGTGGACCTTTCCTTTCTTTTGCCAAGTAATGTTATAATCATTATACAGGGCTCTGAAGTATAGGAATACTAGAGTATCCCGATAATATTTTAGAAATAGTTTCAAGTATTTATATTTCTGTATTAAGATAAATTTAAAAATGTATTTGTATCGTACGATATTTCACTATATTGAAATACTACTTATCTGATGTATCGATCGTATCGCGATACTATGCAAGACAGGAGTACCTCGTTACATTTTCATTCTGTGAGAAATGAGTCTCGGAGTGTTTTCAGTGCTTTTAAGGGGAGGCAGAACTTTTTTATAATTTTGTTTTTGTGCCAAGCCAATCAAATGCACATCGCTGGTTGGCTACACAGGAAGAGAGCGATGGTTTTCCCTCAAGCATAGAACAGCTCCTTTGGTAAAGCGCACAACGCTGCTGACAGCAGAATTGCAGCGACAATGTTGTCGGCCTCTCAAAGTCGTTGTCGGTCAAGGCCAGTGCAGCACGTCTTATTTTATTTTGTTTTGGTGGCAAGCCTTTAGTTCGGCAAGTGGGCGGGCGGGCGGGTTGGTGGGTGCGTGGGTGGGTGGGTGGGTGGGTGGGATGGGATGGGATGGATTTATCTGGCTGTGCCCTTTAGATCAGGCAGTGGCTCACGCCATCTAGCCATAAAGTTAAGTACTATCACTGTGTGCTTAAGGACTTGCGGCTCGATTGTACCCACCAATCAGTTAGCCTCCTCCTGGTTATTTCTACCCGCTTATAGTCTATTTTGCCTTCACTGTCTCTAAACCCCAATACTTTGAAAAATTCGGTGCCATTATCTTCGACTATAGGGTGGAGCACTTTACAGAACATTATCAAATGTTCAGCTGTTTCCTCCTCCTCTCCACACGCACTACATACCGTGTCTGTGCCTCCGTATTTTCCTATGTACGTCTTGGTCCCCAATACTCCTATTCTAGCCTCAAAGAACAGAGAACTACCCTGAGAATTATCGTAGATCTTTTCTCTTGCAATTTCCTGCTTAAAAGTTCGGTAGGTCTAAAAGTTCGGTAGGTCTCCAGCGATGGTTTCAGTAAGCATTCTCATCTTCCACATGTCCCTCTCTGTTTTCTTCAACTTCTCCTTAAGCGATGTTTCCTTTTGACTTGGTATTCTGCTGTTGTCTAAATACATGCTTGACAATTTTCGAGTTCATTTTCTCCATTTAGTATCGACATTCTTCACAAGTAACTGAAAACTTTCTTAGCCCAATGCTCCTCTCCCATTTTTCTCAATCGCTCCTCAAATTCTATCTTGCTGCTAGCTTCCCTGCACTTAAAGGATGTCCATCCCATGTCTTTCTGTACCCCCTGATTTGGAGTATTCCCGTGTGCTCCCAAAGCAAGTCTATCATTGCCAAGTTGTTTAATTTCCAATCTTGCTTGAACTTCTGATTTTATGCACAAGACCGCATTGCCGAACATCAAACCCGGGACCATGACACCTTTCGAAATCCCTCTAACACGTCATACCTATTGTAGTTCCACAGTGCCCTATTTTTCATTACAGCTGCATTCCTGGTGCTCTTAGTCATTACGTATCTTTCGTGCTCCCTTAGATACTCAGCCCCGTTATTTATCCATACGCTCAAGTATTTGTATTTATCCACTATTCCTAGCGTGACTTCCTGTATTTATGCTCACTACCTTTGTTATCATTAAAAATCATGATTGCCGATTTTGCCCTGCTGAACTTCAAATTTAACCTATCACCCTCATTGCCACGGATGTCTAACAATCCCTGCAGATCTTCCTTGTCGGCTATTAATACTATATCATCTGCATACATCAATGCTGGTAATTACTGTTCAATGTGCTTTCCTTGCTTTGCAAAAGTGAGGTGGAATCCGAGTCGACTCTCCTCTAATTTTGCTTGTAGTCCTTGGAGATAAGCATAAATAACAAAGGTGACAAAAAACATCCCTGTCAAAGCCCGCGTTGTATCTCTATAGGTTCAGATACCTGTTCTTCCCATTTGATAACTACCTTGTTACTTTTATAGATATCCTTTAGAAGATTAGTTATTCCATCTTCCACATCAAGTGTGTCTAGTATTCCCCGCAAGCCATCTTGAATCACACTATCGTAAGCTTCCTTTATATCTAGAAATGCCAGCTACAGGGGCTTGTGTTCTTTTTCATCTATTTCAATACACTGCATCAATGAAAACAGATTGTACTCCAACCTCCTTCGTTTACGGAACCCATTTTGTAGTTCTCCCAGCACCCTGTCATTTTCCACCCATGTCTGTAGTCTTTACTATCTGAATCACAAGCCTGTAAACTACTGATGTCACAGTTATAGGATGGTAGTTGTCTATATAGGCTTTGTCCCCCTTTCCTTTATAGATCATACTCATCCTGCTTTGTTTCCACCCATTGGGAGCTTCACCATTCATTATTGCTTTGCTCGCTGCCTCTCTTAATGTTTGCTTAGAGTTTGGTCCTAGTTTCTTTATTAGCATGATTGAGATGCTGTCAGGGCTGGTTGATGTGCTAGTAGGAACTCTTTTCTCTGCCCTCTCCCACTCTCGTTGTCCTAGTGGAGCCACTGAGCTAATTGGTCCATCCTCATCTGGTACGGTGCGTGCAGCGCTTTCTTGGTGTTTAAATTTTTCTGTAATCATTGTATAAATTTTTCTGTCATCATTGTTTTTATCTATTCTATTGCCTCATCCCCTTCTAGTCTGACCCCCTGAACTGTAGTTATAAACCTCTGTTTCATGCTTGTCTTATCACACAAAGAAATAAGATGGTTCCAAAACTTTGCACCTGCCTTTCTATTCTTTTTGTTTACTTCCGCCATCCATTGGGCCCCCTTTCTTTAATGTTGTCATTTATCAAATTGGATGCTCCCCTTCTGCAGCTCAAAAAGTTATCCCATTTTCTTTGACACCATCTTCCGGTTCACCCCTCTGTATAGCATATTTGTGTTCCCTGGAGGCTTCCTGATGTCTTACTATGGCGTCCTTAACTTCCTCATCCCACCGGTTCTTGGGTTTGTTTCTGCTTTTTCCAGTTGATTTGACTCGTACCTTAGCATGCTTTGACTCAAACAATCGAGTTATATTTGTGTACGTCTAGTCTGTTTTAGTATCTTCGGTGATTATTTTCTCATATCTTTAGTTGCTATTTCTATTTCCCTTTCTGAATAAATATTACTGTGTGGTTGCTCGTAATGCCACCTTTCCAATTTCATTCCTCTTCCAAAACGCAGCTTGATACGTTCGTGATCACTATCTGAGCTTCTGGACCCATATTCATTTATGTTCATCACCCTTAGCTGATCATACACCCTATGTGACATTATTGCTTAATCTATCGTCGACTGCAGCCTTCCCACCTCCCATGTTATCTGCCCTTCGCATTTCTCGGTGCTGTTGCAAATGATTAAATCATGCCTTTCACACATATCCATTAGCATTCTGCCTGTTGGGTCAGTATATCCATCCATATCTTCTATGTGCTCATTCATATCTCCTAATATAATTACATTGCACTCTTCTCCTAGTAAGTCAATGTCATTTCCTATGCACTGCACCCTTTGTTGATTTTCCTCTCAGGCTTTTGCCCCTGTCCACAAGTATACAAAACCCAAGAGAATCATTTGCCCTGGCACTTTCCCTTTTAGCCATGAATGTTCCTCGCACTCCTGCTTGACCTTTTGCCAGTTTGTACTTTTATGAATGAATGCCCCAATACCATTCCCCCTTCTGCTGCCTTCTGTTCTATTACAATATTCCCACGCGTAGTCCGGATTGTTAGGAGGTTATTCCATGTCTCTAAGATGTGTTTCTACAAAACCATATACCATCGGCCTCTCCTCTCTTAGGTGTTCTTCTACCTCTTCCTACTTCAAGCTATTTCTGCCACCCTGCATGTTAATATACCCTACGTCTGAATTGGCTCAGCCCTCGTGGCTACGTTTATTTTGTGCCCCGCACTCTACATGTCTTAGATATTGGTGCCACTTTGGAATCGTATCTGTCTACACCACCTGAAAAAAGAGTCCTTCTGGTTGTTTTCCTCGTTACTAGTTATCCTGCACCCCGAAGGGCCCGTGTGCCCCCCAAAAAAGCTACTGCGCGTCCTGCAAGTCGCCAACCCACCTGATGACCTAGTCTCCCATCAAAGTGAATTCTGTCTCGTGGAAAACCACCCCACCTATGCACCTCTCTGTTTATTTCCACCACCTCAAAGCCTTTCTCATGACTCATACACCATATCTCTTGGTTGACAACCGCTTTCTGCAGGTTGCCGTCACGCATCGGTACCTCCGATATTGTGCATGTTACTACCTGCACCTGAGGAAAAATGGCGCGCACGTCATCGACCCTTTTCACCAGTGTGGTCGCTAGTCCTGCTGTATCTTAATTTGATACATTGTTTAAACCGCCTGCAATTATCATGAGGTTTCGTCCATCAGCTGTAGTTTTGAGTTTCGCGCTCAGCTTGCCTCATGAATGCTTCCAGCTTGCATCCTGAAAATGTCCCTGCTGCAACTCTCTTGTCAGCCTCTTACCCTCTCTTTGATTGCTTCTGCGCATCGACTTAATTCGAGTCCCCGGCGATTATCACGTGCTGTGACTTTTCAGCTGGAGCGCCCTGCACTTGGGAATTACTTGCACCTGTGACGCCGGCTGCTTTGTCCCCTCCCAGCCCCACTACTACTTCGCCGAAGCTGGGTCTTGCGTCCATTGAACCGGCTGAACCTGTTTTTTTCCGAACTTGCTTGCTCTTTTTTCTCCGCCGTTCCGGTTGCCGGTGCCCTACAGTTTCCTCCGTCTGCCACTCATTTGTTCACCTTCGCTAGTGCCTCCTCGGCGGACTTGAGCCTTTTTCTCATAGCCCTCGTTTTCTCTTGCTCTGTCGCCAACGCAGTCTCCAGCTCGGTGATTCTCATCAGCAGTTCATTCTGGGCAACCATCATTTTCTCTCTTTTTTTCTCGATCTCACCTTACCTACACTTGGCGTCAGCCTCCTCTCTATTCGCGTCGGCACTTGGGTCCATTTTCAAACCGACCCCGTATTCTGAACAGTTTACAGCCTTTTAACTATGTTTTTTTACACGAATTGTCCTTATGAATTCTCCCACTCGATAATTACAAAACAGGGCGTACGACGGACCCTGCCCTATGAAAAAAAGAAAGTCTAAGCTCTACTACAAAAATTTGGGTGTTATGTGTACGTGCACTTCCCCCACGGGGTGGCAAGAGAAAAAAAACACAAACAAACACACACACACACACAAACTAGTAAATACCTGGTGACTGACCCTCGAAAAACCGTAAAGTGTAATAAGTGCTACAAAAGTTTAAACTGCTGCCTTAATAGTTAGAAAAGCAAGCTCAAAAGATGTGAAACCACTTATCTCCGCAGTCGATCAGGAGCGCTTAAAAAACATGTCCATCCACCATGCCAGTCCGAACTGAACTGCTTTACATATACACAGAGCACCAGCTAGTGGGAAATTATTGAAACTAACTAAAAGTGGCTACTATAAAATACTATTACAGTGGAGAAAACAACCCACATCTTAAGGAGGTTGACCCCTAAAAAAATAAACTGCAAGGTTCAGTGCTCTGCAACATTGTTTACTACATTATGTTGCTCTAATTGATGTCTCTGTGGAATATCAGCATACCCGAAAAGAAGTATTCCTGTATCTGTGTGCCGAAATACTTTTTGTGGCATTCGCAAAGTATTTTCGAAACATCTGTTATGTCAACGAGAAATTTATTTTGGTATCTGTATTTCAAGCTTCCAATCAATGTATTTCTGATATCTGTATTCCGGAATACTTTTCCACGTATCTCTGCCCATTCCTGGCATTGTATAAATAGTAATTGTTTGTTGAGGGGGGGTAGCTGAGTGAAAGATTATGTGGTATCCCATACAGCATCTTTGCTTTGTGCAGGTATAAACAGAAGCAATTTAATTGCACCATTATTTTTTCAATTAACCAAAGATGAGTTTTCAGAATGAGGCCTCCACAATGCCAGATGTTTGTCCTGATCTCAATGCATTTATGATACCGACATTCCACCATCTTTCCTACTTATGGCATATTTTAACAGGTTTTCTTTGTGTAAGGAAGCTATGGATGGACTGAGAACAATATTCTCGTACACTTTGGCCAACTCATTACTGTACAATGAGGAGAGAGCTCAGCACAAGTTGGTGACATCCTTCTGCCGCCCTATCCGGATCTCTCGGTGAGTAAGTGAATGAGATTTCTTTTTGTAAGCTTTTTCCGTACCCACAAGCAAGTGTAGTAGTAGTATTAGTAGTTAACAAGTGCATTATTTATTGAACAAGGCCATGGGTGCAAGTAGCTGTGCCAGTTGAGCTAATTCGATACTGTTCTACTTTTTTTGCACTGAGCTGCGCCAAAACCATGAAAGTTTGTTTAAATGTGTGCCACGCTGCGCCAGAATGTCCATCCTGACTCAATATTTTTTCAGCTACGATAACTTCAGCGAGAAATGGAGGCAATGTTAGTCATTCGCAGCTTGTGTCATCAATGAATCCAACCCGCAGACCCTAACTGAACTACGGTGTAAGACTCATTAGGCCAGGACACTCACGAGAAGTGATCGACGTCATGAAGTAACAACGCTGCACGCCCGTCGGTCCGCTGACCGCAGCGGATACTAATTGGCGTGATGACGCAACTTAATGTCAGAAATGCGTTGCTGTAGCCAAGAGCGCCTCGCGGGAAACATGAATTTTCTTATCAGGAAAACGCGGCTATGGAATTTCAGCAACTGAAGCTGGACGTGTATGCTGCGTTTTCGGCACGCGAACAAACTCTACATTCTGCGAACGCTGGCATTGCCGGTGACCACGTTTGTTGTAATTAAGGCGGCATATAAAACATTTTTCTGTATTGAAGTTGCGTCGCCCTAGCGAGAGATAACCGACGCTGTTGCCACGTCCAACAGGTGCACGCCCTTATTACAAAGTTTCGTGATATCTTTAAAAATTTTATCTGGTCGAACGTGCCTTGCAAGGGAGCCGAAAAGTTGTGAAAGAATGGGGAGAAGAGAAGAAAGAAAGCAGAAGAGAAGGGAAGATTTTCGAATCGTAAAAAATTTGAGGTTCGAAAATTTTTTGGCCTTGTTTTAACTCGTGCAGAATGCTGCTTAAACCACTTTTTCTGCAGTATACCGTTGCCCTGCGAAAAAGCGTCTTCGCATTTGGAAGGGGCTGTCAGCCCTAGTCACAGAACACAGCAAATTCTTTTCGAATACTTATGTGTCTCTACAGCATATAATTGTAAATATGGTATGATTTCTCATGTCTAAAATAGATTGATTGCTGACCTACTGGCAATCAATTGGAGCAATTTATCATATTAAAAAAAAACTGTGCAAATTTTTTTTTTCTGCCACTGTCTTCTCAGTTTTACGAATCTCCCGCACTCAGGGTTGCCAGCTTGGCAGGTTCATATTTGCATTTGCAGAGTCTGTCTTAGGATTTGACAGTTGTAGCAAATGCTAACGTGGACTTCAGCATTGCTTACAATGTGGGGTGGTTCAGAATACTACTTTAATTGATATAGCACAGCTTATGTTCCCTATCCTCAATTTAGGTGATGTTGAAAGGTTCATGCATATCTTTTTTTTTCTTTTTCTAAATGTAAGCCTTTTTTTATGCTGCTCTAAATCTGATCTTTCCTGATAAAAGATGGATTTTTTTTTAGTAACCTGCTCCGAATTTGTATTTTGCTGCTCCAAAAGTAACATTTTGCTGCTCCGAAAATTTATTTGAATTCTTTTTAGGCTGTTGCATACCTGCAAAACTAAAACTTGGACTACTCTTCTACTTCATGATGCACCAGCAGAGTACCCACACACAGACAGTGAGAAGAAAGAACACAAAAACACTGCATTGGCTCACAATGAAATTTTTGTTTCAGAAGCAGCAATCACAAGAGACAAACCCCGTATGTTTGCAGCCTGCAGAAACTAAAGGACAGCAACAGTCAGTGCGTGCCAAAAAAAAAAAAAAAAAAAAACGAACTAGCACACGCACGCACAAAAAAATATATAGATCAAACCTGTATAGATCAGAATTGACATGTACTTGTCTAAAAACTCCTTTTTGCAATCATGCATCCTCATTGATGATTCACTGATACGTGAACGAAGTGGTTTCCTGATCTGGTACACCTCATTTTACCCTAACAAACTGGTTCTTATGTCTCTTCAAGAAAATTACCTCATAGAATTTCTGTGCGCACCCGCATAATACACATGCACAAAACAAAATACGGGTAACTATGCGACCCTATTGATAGTACAAAAAGAAATGCTGACTATATATTTGGAATATAAGTTCCTAGAAGTTATTATTAATACGTGTTGTTCATGGCCAGGAGCCAGCTCTTGTTCTTGGGTTCAAATCTTTAATCTTTTAAAACAGACATTGATATACTTTTGGCTGCTTTGAAGACTGAGGATTCATGCTCACAATGCAAAAACATGGCCACTGATGTTGATTTTCCCCTCAAGTTAAGTGAGGTATAACTGGAGGAATCAATTACTTAAAGTATTTATGGGCATAAGAGAGCAACTAGCTGAGAATTGTGGGAATTATTTGATGACCAATGAAAAATATTTAGTGTCATTGAAGTTGCTAAATTTATGCTTACAAAATGAAAAAAAAAAGTGAATAAGAATAATAGTGATAAGATAGCCGAAAAACTGGCCAATAATGACCAGTATTTGGTGAGTACTGGCAGCCGGCCTACTGTCTGAAAAACCGAACGGGCCTGTTGAAAACTGTGTAGATGGCAACCATAAAGCACTCATTGTCCTCACTGTACATTTTTTAAACATAAATCGGAAAAATAATGTGAAATGGTTAAAATAGAAGAATTTTCCAAGCAGCTGCTGTCATTTGTTAAGTGACTCTCGAACTAGCTTGGAAGCGAGCAAGTTTTGTTCAAAATGGTCATAGGGATATATAATAAGGACTCCTCCAAAACAGTTTGGGTATATTTTGCCAGAACAATTTGTGCTCGGTGAAACGGTTAAGGTGTTAGTAGTAGATTATCGTAAAGAAGAAATCTTAACCTTTCAGTGTCTTGTCCGAGAGCAGTTTAGGGAATCATGGGGAATGTATACAACAAACATTTGTTTCATAGGCCTCATCTTGACATCCAACGACTGAATGTCATCTTTTGTTGGCTCTTCTCAAAGCATAAATTAGGTTCACATTTCTGAAATATACGGGATTCGTCTCTTGTAATTGTTGCTCCGGAAATAAAAATTTAGTTGTGAGTCAGCACTGTGTTTTCGTATTCCTTCTTTTCTCTACCTGTGTTGCCAGTTCATCATGAAGCAATATTTATATCTTTCTTATAACTTGATATCTTGTGCACTAGATTTTCTCATCACATTTTTTCTCATCTCTGTTATCATTTATGTTCCTGTAGTACTATTGAAACTTATACCTCCTTTTCTTTTTTTTTTCATTAGGACTGTCTTTTTTGCTTTCTTGTGGTACACTTCATTGCACGCCACAGGCCACGCTTCAACTTGCGTGCTGCTTTGCAATTGAGGCTGACTGTTCTACAGACATTGCATCCAACGCACATGCTTGCGTAGCTTCTGGATTGCGCATAAGCATCTTTGATCATAGTAGAATATATTGTGTTGCATGTTTAAAATCACATTTCACCAATGATTACGGATAAATGTGGTTACCACTATCAGTGTCCAATGTGTATTGCTCGTCCTTTAACGTTTAATTTTCTGGTTACAAGTTCGCCCAATTGAGCTTTGTCTTCGAGAGCCCGACTGTCATTTTCTTCATCGCCATGACCGCGGACAATATGATAGCAACAGTTCTCGCTACTGCAAAGCCTTTTGAAGGGCGCGAATTTTTGCTTGGGGATTTCAATTGTGTCAGTTTGTTTAGTTTTACTTTTTCTTTCCAGGTCAACAACAGGCCGCCAATCGAATGAAAAAGCAATGAATGACTCAAGTCTTCTGAACATGGCTCCAGATGTTGCGACAACTGTCAAATGTCGTTCTCGCAAAAGCCTCCATGGTACTCCCGATTCCAAGGGCACCTCTTCTCCAAGGCGAAAGCGTTCTGGTTGGTGTTTTTGCATGTTTGTATTGTGACACATTGTTCTTACTTCCAATGCCGCTCAACATGAAAGTCATAGTAGAACTTTCCTATGACAGTTGGCTGCAAATTACCTTTTTGCAGAGTTTTACAGAGTGTTGAAAAATGTAGACCTGTGCGAATACTAGCAATATTCTGGCTGTAAAGCGAATTTGAATATTGAAGTGTGAGTGCAAATCAAATAAAATATTTTTTTTGGAATACAGTTAGACCCTTTTATAAGAGACACTGGTATAACACACTAATGGGTATAAAAGACACCAATGTGCCCACATTGAAATAGGGGTTGATAGGAAAATGTATGCATAGTACTGTGCTTATAAGAGACACTCTATATAAAAGACAAGAATTGCTGCCTGATGCGTGCCTTTATAAAGAGGCTCAACTGGTATTTCTGGAACATTTTTTTATAACTGTGAAGCGAAATTGCCAGGAAACAAATTTGGAGAGGGTTTCTAGGCATATTTCAGGAAGATAGCGCTATGAAAGTGTTTCTTTTTGCTGCGTTGATGAAGCGCTGCCAGGGTGGTGTGTTGTAGTTGTCTTATCGAGAATGAAGCAATGCAGAGGCCGAATTGTATGTACGTACATAATTTGGTGCAATAAAACTGTTGCCGACAACGCCTTTACATGTGAAAGGCAAGTTACTATTTTCTCAGCCTCTCCTTTTTTTTCAACTTCTGTAGAAGCCTAACTGATGTGAGGGTGTGCTCCCTTTGAGTCCGGAGTTCCAAATCTGCCTCATAGATGTTGCTAATTAAGAACAACTGAAATTTTGGAAGCCAAAAATTTCCGGCGTTCGATTTTTCAGACATTCTGCCTAAATTTCATGTCCAATATAGCACTGATTGACACCTTATCCCTGCCATATCTATGGTCTCCATGTTGGTACCAACTTTTTGTGTGTGGGTGTATTTGTGTGTTACAATACACTTGCAATCATAATGAAGCTTGAAGGTTTGAGGTTTTTCTCTTTTTCTGTACATAGGCAAAAACGAACCAAAAGCAAAAGGCTGTAAAGCTTGACGGAGGCTTTTGATCCGAAATGCAGTCTGGTACACAACTTAGATGCAGATAAAAACAACTTTTTACACAAAGACTAACAATCAGCAAATTATAATCAGACAAACACTACAATGTGAAATAAAAAACAGAACAATATGCATAATAAAAGACAAAATACCAATATAGAAAACATCATCATTGCAAAATGTAGAATAGGTGAGGTCAAAAACACATTTGCAGACATGTACATTTCTAAAGCAAACAACAGCATTGAAACTACACAGCTAACAATTAGTACACATAAAGTAATAACTAATCAAAATATTATATTAAACATATTCAATGCAATTATAAAAGAGAGTTTCCTTTAATGTATTTTTGGAATTTTTTTATTTATGTCAACTACATTTTCAAGTTTATTGAGGAGACTGGGTATATGATAGTCAGTATGTTGCTGACCATAGTTGGTCCTAGTACTTGGTGTTTGCGGCAAAGAAAGCTTTGCCACAATACGAAAACATGATGAGGTGAAGCATTTTACAAATCGGGATAGACCACATTTAATATGACGTTGACTATATTTGTCTCCGGGAAGTTCGGATAGTTTGAAATTTCTAGTGCTCATTGAGCCAAATAGCAAACACTGTTCATAAAATACTCGAAATTTCGAATATTTGCACACCACTAAAAAAAAGTGATTTCAGTGTGGCACTTAGATCTGTTCAGCATTTCAAATCTCCAGAATTTCTACAAAGGAACCTTATTAAATTTAATTGAACTTGTTTGCTAATTATTTATTGCAAATGTGAAAGGCAAAGGCATGTATAGTCCTGTGCAGAAGTTTGCAGATCATTGCCAACTGCGCCGTCTGGTGGCGAACAATCTGCTGTCAAGACCATTTTTCTGAGGAAGTCTATCAAAGCAATGCTCTTGACAGCTATTTCTTCAAAGCAATGTTCTCAACAATAGACAGCTCGTGACTAGATGGTGCAGATGGCAATTTCATCTCTCACTTTCGTGGTCAACATACTTTGATTACTTTGATGGAGAAATGAAATGCAAATGAGGAGCTAAAGAGGAACAGCTTTCACAGATAAGAACTCGAGAGCATATTCTCTCATAAAAAATTATGCGGTTGCAGAAGATTGTTTGGGCCACACACAAAGTATGCAAGACAAAATTATGGTCAAGTGTACTTGAGAAAAAAAAAAAAAGAATTTAATTAGCCCTAATTTCAATGAGGGTGGCAATTTCAGCTTATTGATATGGTGGGATGATAATTGATGATAGTGCAGACTAGGGACTTGGACAGAAAAAGGCACATTTAAGACAACACAGCAACGCTGTGTTATCTTGAATGTGCTTTATTTTGTTTGTAAACTCAGTCTGTGCTATCATCAATTATCATAGCCCTAACTTGTTTGTAATTTCAACCGGTTGTTACTGTACATTGACTTATTTAACACATTTGAGTAACGCTCACTTTGTGAAACAACTATTTGTCCGTGCCTACATACTGATGATCTGTTTCCTTTTTTTTTTTTTTCAATTTGGTATTTCAGCGAGTCCACCAGAAAAGCGAACCTCGCGCTCTGTAGAACCACCTTCAGCACTGAACTCCCCTGCGAAGTCTACGCATGACGATAGCGATACTGACAACCTGCCCTTGGCTGTGATGATAACGGGTATGATACTAGTCATGAATTTTTATGGAAATATTTTCAGGTGTCTTTATTTCTATCTTAAGCTGTTGTGCTTTTCTGTAACCGTGGATGCAAATAACGTTGATAACTAATTGCCTTGTCAACAGGCCAAGTTAATCAGTTTTGAGTGGTTGGTCATAGTACTCTATAAATTTTTTCAATATAAGATTGTTTTATGAGCCGTCAAAATGAATGTGGGGTTAAGTAGTATGTCCTAGTTGTTGCTACTGGGAGAATTCGCTCTGGACTGGAGCCATCAAACCTCAGGGCGAAGACGAGCACTAGGAGCCAGGGCTGATACCAGGAACGTTTGTTTACAGTGATTTGATGTTGAAGGCTCCGTGATACTTCACAAATAATGGTAGCATCTTTTGAGCGTCTCGGCGTTCGCTCTTTATAGCCTAGGTCTTCTCAAGATTCCCTGCAGGAGAAAACAATGTAGTTTAAGGCAGTCCAAGTGAAGAAGTAGTTTTCATCTCGGCCCCCAAAACGGGAAGGTCAAACACCTCTTCCTTGCCAAACTAGGTAAGAAGGAAGAGGCATGCCCAGTTCATCGCATGACGAGGGAGGAGCGCACACATACACAATGCGACAATACGACACAACTAACACAGTGCAATGACGTGGAGTCCCATGCGCAGACAAACTGGAATGTCAGGTGCAGGGTTGACTCATCTATAGCTGCTAGCTCCTGGGTGGGCCGCGAAGACATCAAGGCATCAAGGATCGTGGGAAATGTACCTGAAGATGGATCCTAGACATTCAGCTCATTGTCCTGTCTACCTTGATGAACAAAGCAGCGCAGACGTGGCCACTTTTTCCAAGCAGCTCTGCCTGCGAATTACCCTTCCATCACCTTGCGTCAGACGGTTGGACACACCCAAAGAGGCTTTAGAGAGGGCAGCCGCTGGTCCTGAAGAATTCGCACCACGACTTTCTTGTTGTCGCCGCTTGTGGACACCTCTAGGAGTGTTGCAAAGCCGGAACGAATCGGGGTAGATTTAGCCGACACCGTCCCGCACTTCCAAGCGGCGCCAAGACATGGATGCAGGAAGATCACAACAAAGTGAGAATGCAGTGAATGAGGCAGGCTAAAGTGCATAGGAAAGGCTGCAATGGGTTTTAATAAGTCATATTTATCGAAGATTGCTTTGTCATTCTCTGTGTGTTGGTTTTGTACACTAAAAACAGGCAAGCTAAACATAAGCACATTTCTAACTGTCACTATTAATCTGGACTTCGAAGTTATTTTTTGCAATTTCTGTGCGGAAACTGGCATTGATTGACTTCATCTTTTATGTGTCAGATTTTAATCTATACTCATAGATCTGCATCTCTTAGTTTATTACAAAAAGCAATTAAAGATACTAGGCTGAGCATATGCTTTTCAGAAAAGTGCACTGTCTTCGGTTATTTAAAATACTGATAAACTTATCTAGCGACTAAGCAGATGTTGGCAAAATCAATATTGCCATTCAAGTCTCTCTGAATCCTTGAAGCAGTTTTTTGGAATTTCATTGTCATTTTAGCTACACTCTTTATGTCAAGGCCGCTGCAGGCAGTCGAATGTCAGGATGTTACCATTCAGTCTCAGCCCTGTCTTTCCTCCTTAATTCACTGAACGTGCAGCTGTCACTGGCAATGGCAGTACTACACTCGATGCGTTTAGCTGCACTTTCCTTCACGCGGCATTCTCTGGCGGCGCATTGTTGCACCGCCGGATCTGTTGACGTAAGCCACTCCCTTTAGCACATTTCATTTCATTTTCGTTTCATTTTATTTCAAGTTCTCTTATTACATGAAATACACAACACTGGTTAGACCCATAGCCACTGGCTAGTAGGGGGTCTAAATAAATATGCATTTAAAGGAACAGATTCTGTTAACAAAGCAGATATTTTATAAGTACACTTCAATCATACAAGAAAAAAATCGGAACAAAATATAAGAAGGAAACACATTTGTGATAAGTCATTTGCAGTATCTTGCAGCATTGTTCCATGCAAACAACAGATTGCATGTATACAATACATCAAATACATAAAGGTACGTATACCATGTCAAGTATGATTTTGTTAGACATATAATCTATACATAACGAAGTGGAGATTACAACGAAATTTGTGTTAGTGTACCTGTTCATTTTTCTGCAGAAAGTATTTTTTAAGAGCACAGGCAAAACCTTTGCTTTCTTTTATTTGGTATGGTATATCATTCCAGACCTTTACTCCAGCAAATTGTAGCAATCGTTTGCCATAAACATTGTTAGTAGGCGGAAGATTGAAATTATGTAATGTGGCACGTCTGGTAAGGCGGCAAGAGGATGAAAATAGTGATATATGAAAGGGCAGGTTATAAGAAATGACATTATAGACGGTAAGTGCAATTTTTTGCTGTCGTAAATTATCGAATGGTATGATTTCCATATTACGAAACAATGGCGCGCAGTGTTGATCATATCTAGCATTGTTTATTATTCGAAGTGCCCGCTTTTGTAGTATACGTAAGGGTTCTAGATATGTTTTAGAAGTCCATCCCCATGAATCTATGCAATATGTGAGGTGACAATGAAAAAATGTGAAATAGAGAATGTGGAGAATACTACTTTTAAAATAATTTCTAGCGGTTAATAATGTACTGCATCCAGATCCCAGTTTAGCGCATACAGAGTTAATGTGGCTTTGCCAGTTTAGCTGGCTATCGAGAATTACACCCAGATATTTGAATTCGTGATTGAGCTCTGTGTTTTTGAATGCTGTGGTGATGCTGGCTGCTTAATTTTTTTTATTCTCCAGCACGGCAATATTGCCCAAGCACTTAGTATTGTACCAACCAAGAGTATTTGAGGACGATCGTCGATAAACCACACACAGGCATACGGGCACTCTGATGATGCCTTTTGGCGTAAAGTTACGACTTCATGTGCATTGGTGAGAGCACATTTTTGTGCTGATGAGCTGAAGCCACTGTGCTCACCTGTTGCCTTTGTGTCATTTTGTCACCAATTGCTAGATTTGCAGCCCGCTAGGCAGTGAGGGCAATTAAGGGTGTCTGAGAAAAGAAATCTTACGATAGGCACTGTCATACATGTGTCATGCAGGAGAAGACAAAGCTAGGTGGGCGGATAAGATTAAGAAATTTGTGGATATAATGTGGTAGGAGAAAGCATAAGGCAGGGTTGATTGGCAGACAATGGGAGAGGCCTTTGCCTTGCAGTGGGTGTAGCCAGGCTTATGGTGATGATGAGGTTGGGAAATTTTGTCAGTGATGTATACTGGACATTCAATCAAATCGGTCACCTGTGTTACGTCGTGCATTCATTTGACGTACCACTGTAGTGGGCGATTGAAAACTCGTTTGACAGATTGCGTTCTTGGGTGATACATTTAAACCTGGATATAACTAAATTGACCAATTCTCGAAAAAATTTGTTATGAAGTGGATTTCGTTATATGCAGGTTCGTATAAAAATTCGAAAAATAAATGCACAAGTTAAACAAAAGGGGAACTGACGGCATACCTAACCCAAAACACTTACTTAGCAGTAAAAAGATGCATTAATATTGCAATAGCAAGTGGCCGTCATGTTCTGTAGCAAGTAGAAATTATAACATGCCCCCACGTATCGTAACTTTTACGAGCGGGTGAAAGCGCACGAGCGCTGCTGAAGCAAATATCAAATGAGCCGGCCCATCTCTATTGTTTGGAGCGCGCATACGATAACATCCCCTGCTTGTGAGAACTGCCGCCGAGTGATCAAACAGAAAAGAAATCACCTCTATTGAATGAGCATAAAAAACAACGAGAAGGGTGGGGGGGGGGGGGGGAGGAGTCGCTCGAGTAGCAACGGTGAACTTTGATACTAAAGGTGCGGTCGTGATCGCTGGTGCGCGTGCTATCTGTGCAAGCATTAGGCCGCTTTCAGTACGAAGAGACTCTGTGAAAAAAGCACTTCTCCCTGGAGCTGCTGTATTTGCTCACATCGGTGTTTCATAGAATTTCTGTTATGTGGGATCCAAAAAAGTTTGCTGACACCACAATTTGTTGTTATCGCATTCAATGTGCCGTCGTATTGTTGCCAGGGCTAATCTGCTAATAGCAAAGGCTACGGTCCCTCGAACTCGCGGCGCAAACGGAAACATGTGATGAGTTGACCTCCGAAGATCCGTCGTTGTCACCGCGGTTTCGGAGAGTTTCCATCATTGCCTAATCTGACATTTCCTCAGTAGTGATGACAGAGTTGATTGCATTCTAAGAAAAAAAAAGAAATGCATACCCGATCATCATCGAAGGCCACACCATGCCCGTGCGCACGCCGTTGGAAACAAAGAGCGAACGTCATGGATACTGCGGAAAACTATTCGGTAAAGCACCCTCCATATTCAGCGTGGCCCCACATATGTGACTCTAATTAAACACTTGGCACGGTCAATGCAAAAGTAGTTTTTTTTTTTTTTTAGGGGGAGGGCACACACGTGTATGCACACGCAATGCCAGCTCGTGGGACGCAGGCCCGCTTGCCCGCCGGTTCGCGCACACCTGCACACAATAACCAGTGGTCACTCTCACGTGGGAGTAGCCGGGGTCACGAGTGCGCCACCTCTGCTGAAGCGGCGCCGGGGCAACCGTGGAAGATGCATGCTCGTGCCGAAATCACAAAACTCGGGGCAAAATTCGAACATTGTCTGTGGCAAAAATTCGTTATATCAAGGTTGTCTCCCACTGCTACTTTATTACATAGAGGTCGCAAACATGTGCTTCTATGGAGTAACGGTGGGCAATGGAGAAACTTCGTTATATTGAGGAATTCATAATATGGAGGTTCATTATAAGTTGATCTAACTGTATACAGATTTTAAAGCCTTGTGGTAAATTACATTTGCCTTGTGATAATTATTGTTTGTGCAGAATAAATTGGCCTGCTAATGGTCATAAAGACTTGCTCTGCTGGCTCAATGGTTTTTTCGAAATGTTGCAATACTGCTTTGAGGTCCTTTGAGGACTAACTGCGGATCTTTTAATTGACTGTCAGCTCTTTTAGATTTTGTGCTTTCCTTGGTTTAGTAAGCCTTTATGCACAGTAACGCTGGTCTGTTGAGAGTTACAGGAGAATGCACGTCATTATAGTTTACCTAGTTCATGTGCAGCTTCGGCAGTTATGTGAATGCCAAGTGATATACATAGAATATAAATCGAATGCACGATAGAAGTAGGTCATAAAAAGTTCCAAAGGTTTACAAAGAAGTCTTGTTTTCAGGCTAGTGAAGCCACTTCGGGACACTTTATTGCAACCCGCTTTTGAAAATAACTTTGGTCTGGGTAAAGAGGGATAGAGCAATTCATGGACAGTTGCTGCATTGTTAGAAGCCAGGGTGTGCACGGTGCATCATTTGCAGTGCTAAAAGACCGGAAGAAATACCTAAAAGAAGGGATGACATGAGTTTTGGTTCCTGTTCACATCTTTCTGCATAGTTTCTCTGCATCATTCTGAATAGAACTGTTTTCCATGGTTCTATTCCAACTCAAGCACTTTTTCATTCTTGTTCTTTTGGAAAGTACTGTGTTCAGGCTTAGTTTTGCTGTGTATGTACATATGCCCCAAAAGTAAAAACGAAGCACACGAGCTGTGACTAAACTACGTAAAGCTGCATGCCAGCACGCTTTCTTAGAGAAGTGGTTTATTCATGAATGCAGATGATGGCACTATCTTCTCTTTATAAATAAAGAATCACTTTTCTGATAGAGCGTGGTGGTATGCATTTTTGTGTAGTTTGGCCACAGCTAGCATGCCGACCTTTGGGTCACCTGCACATATCTTTAAAGCAGGCTTTGTTAGTGGCGCCCTTCGTTCTGCGATCCATTAACGAGCATTCAAGTTGGGTTATAACAAAAAAATATTGGTAGCACTGTGCTTGCAGGTTAGCCAGGTGCATACAAGATTGAGGAGCAAGCGCAGGTACTACCTTATTTTGTACACGACAAAATTGTTTAAAGCATTGTTTTTAGGGTAGAGGCTTGTGTTCATCTTTTCTAGACTTATTATGGGAGCACGATCCATCAAAACACAAGCTTTCCGAGTCTCTTATGGAAGTTATTGCAAAGGATAAGCTGATCATGCCGTGGATACTAAATGTAGAATAGAAAGCTGAGCTAGTTGGAAGGGATGTGTGGTATGGAAAAGCATGTTTTGACTGTCTCATGCAAGAAGAAGTAAAAATTCACAGCAATTGTCAACTGCTGGTGAAATCTAGAACAGTAATATGCTATGTCTTTATGACCTTTGTGTCTCTCTCCTTTTCTGCCACCTGTCTTGCAGTATTGCCTTTTAGCCTGCACTCAATATAGTTATGTTTGCCTTTCTGTGTCTTGCGTGCCTGCCTTTTCATGCTACATAGTTCGCGTTGTTTGCTTTTGTTGAATGAACTTGCTGTTTTGTTTTTTTTTCAACTTGGAGCTGAACATCGTTTTGTGTGTGAAGAGACCCTGTTACTAAAGCTCTTCTTTTCTATTTCTATTTTTAAAAGGTAAATCACCAAGGCGGCGTACTGCAAGCGTGTGTTCTGTGTCGTCATCTGTGTCAGCAGCCACATCTGAAGCTGCACCAAGTACAGTTGCCAACAAATATGACTGCACGATACTCCCGAGCGAATGCTTAGAAGAAAACCCAGCTTCTCCTGCTCTGCTGTATGGTGTACAACACCTCCTTCGGCTGTTTGGTGAGGGAGTGCTTGCTAATTGTGTGCATTGGAAAAGTTTATTTTTTAAAATTTGCTTGAATGATGTGTTTTTAATAGCAAAAAGAGTGGTTTGCTAATCCAAGCAGTTTATTGTATGCACTATGCAGTCAAGTACATTTTAAACTTTAAACCCCGTCACTTATTATATGCTCTTTAAATTTTGTTGAGATTGCTGTAGCGACACTGGCATAGCTGGGGTGGAGGTAGGGGGGTCACCCCGTCTCTCCTCGTGATTTTTCAGTATGTGTATATAACATGCAAACGTACAAAACCTACACAAGGACATGTATAAAGTATAATTGAACAGCCCTTCCCCCCATAAAAAAATTCCTGGCTACGCTACTGCAATGTGATCCTCAAAATGAAAAAAAAAGAAGTGTGTTCTTAGGAAGCAGTGAACATGAATATACATATTAGCAGTGGAAAAAGCAGCCTGTGCACTATCATGAAAGTGGACTTGTAGCAAGGGTGGATTGGCGAACATGTGGGGAACTAATGGGCTTTTTTATTGCATAAAAAGTCTGCAGCTGGCACCAGGCACTGCCAATGCTTGCTCTACCGGATATCACTGGGTATTTTATTTATTTATTAATTTATTAAACACTCCCGGCCCATTCAGGGCCCAGTATTTTACATCGAGTATTGAATAGCATCGCGATGATACCAATTTGAAGGCTGCGCGCAAAATATTCGTATGATCCCGAATTCGTATGAACCGAAAACAAGTTGAAGTTGATCATGAAGGTGAACAAGAACTTTATTGGGGTCAACTACTTTTTGCTAAAAAAGAAAAAGTTCATGATGTTCTTTTGCACTTTCCTGCCTTCACCGCCTCTCAATAAAGTGCCGTGGTTTCCTCACTCATGCTGCTGGCGCTTAAAGCGCGTTCACACTTGGCATCAAAGGGAGGAAAAGCGGTTAAAGTTATTTTACTCGCTTTGCCGCTTAAGTGGCCGAAAAAACACGCCGCGAAGTCGACACGAAAGAAATCAGTGACACGGGAGAATTCAAAGCGAATACGCTAGATTGGCCTCAGAACAACCTTTGCGCGCGTCGAAGATGTTCACATTCGTTTTGCCCACTGCCGTTGCCTTCGCCGTTTGAGAATTTATTCCATTTTGTCTGTTTCTAGAGCATTAAAATTGGTACCGAGCTCTAGTTATGCATACAAGCCGCGTTTTGCCGTTTGCGTGCAACGGTCAATGGCGCGTTTGTACCATTTGCGGTGGCTGGGGAAACCATTCGTGTAAAACCGAATCATGGCGTATTTTATATAATGTAGTCCATCCGAAGCAAGCTTAAAATTCTTATCATCACGAAATTCGCCTCGACCGTAATTGTATCATTAAAATTTACTGTATATGCTATAATGATGGAATGATATGCTGTGCTTTGAGAAGTAGTGCCAAATCAAGCAAATATTACCAAAATTGACAGCATCACTTGTAATTAAGATGGTTCTGCCATTCTAAAATCATGCAAAAGATTAAGTTCGTATATTATGGCCTGGGACCTCCATTGAGAGCTGTTTCAATGGAGGTCTCAATGGACCTCCATTGAGACCTCCATTGAAGTGCCCCTTTAAGCTGTTTGCTTAAAGGGGCACTTCCACAAAAACTTTGACCTCACATTTTTTTGCTGCTATGTGTTGCTGGGGGCTTGTTAGTCATGACACAACACATTGTTTGCTGCAGCACGTGACAAATTAGTAATTCCAGGCCCCTTATTATCTATCAGAGCTCCAAAAACTAGGTGCAACTGTCGCCACCTAGTCGGCACCAAGAATCACTTTCGAATAGGAAATGGGACTGCAATGTCGCCAAATGGAAAACTTTCAAAGCGTGCACCATGGCCACGCACTCGCAACCAGCTGCCGAGAAATATAGACTGCCGGAACAAATGCGGCGAAAAAGAAAAAAAAGGGGGGGGGGGGGGTTATGACGTCATAGTAATTTGTTTTGTTGACTGCGTCGTGGTGATGTGAGGGGAGTAGGGGGTCCCCAAAGGGTCTCTTTTGAGGGTGTCAATGGCACTATGGAGTTTAGGGCTCATGTAAACTTCAATTTTTTAAAAAATATCTTCCCAGCTATACACTGTTGATATTTTGCAGATGATATATGAATGTTCCTGGGAATCGACCCCAAAGGCTACCTCTGCCACGAAACTGTTTGTCAGTGCCCCTTTAGTATTACGACACAGGTAGTTTTCTTATGTTGTAAGCAGACTTATTGGTGGTCAGCAGAAGTTATGCTCAACACAGTACAGTTAAACTTGCATATATTGAACTTGATGGGGCTCCTGAATTCACTTTGGGCGATCATCTACTGTTTTCTCTTATCGTGGCAGTTTTCATGATAAGTTTCGTCCGTACGAGCAAAGCAAGCGCACACTGCTTCTTATTATGCCCTCACATCGTCGAGCAATACATTAACAACAAACGTAATAAACAGATTTTATACGTGTACAGGGTAATAAAAATTAAGCTTAAGTAATGGGAGGCCTACGAAGGTCACATCTGCAAATAAGTTTTGTCACTGTGTGAACAGAGGAGGAGGGATAGACTTTACTGAGAACCAACAATTTGAGCGACATAGCCTAAGCCTTCCATGTAAGGACATTGAGGCCTTGCCTCCGCGCCGCCTTGTGGGCTTGATGAGAGGCCCATCGAGTGCGGAGCCCCGCAGAGGGACGCGCCATCTTGAATACCAAGGCTATGGGAACAGGAAGTAAAACCATTATTGCCGTCAGCCACTGAATTAACTTAGGTAGATTGAAGAATGTTTTTTGTGTGAAAAATGTTTTTTGTGATTGCAGTAAGGTGGCACGCTTGTATACACCTTCTTACTGAAGGCTCTCTGGGCACCGCCAGAAGTCCCCAAAAGCGAGACACCCCAAAAATGCAGGGCTGAAGCTAAGACGTTAGCTTTTATGTTCCCGTGCAAGAACCAAGAAAGAAAGGGATCCTCCTTTTCATGAAGAAGGTCTATTAGAGGCAGTCCTTGTACACAGTTCCACTTGATGGAAGTATTCTAGCATGTCAGTGATATAAGAGATCTGGTGTAAAAGTTTACTTGTGATTCACACAGTAGATTAAAATGGGTAAGGGTCAAACAAGAGGTTGAGAGTGAGCCACACTGGATTCATTGAGGCTACTCGGACAGTCAAGATGTGATAATAGCCGCAAAATTTGCCAGGCGGCGTTGGAGCGGACTCAGGCCCCGTTTTATCGATAGAGTGGATTGAAAAACGGTCTTCAGATGACGTGAATTGGATCATAACGTAAGCACTTGAGCCTGGAGAATTGAATTAGCCTGTTTTGTGCCCATGGAAGTCCCATGGAAGTTGCATGACGTGTTTAATCTGACGGGTTGAAGACATGAGCAAAGATGATAACGGTTACCCATTTACTGCCGGCTGGCACTATTGAGGAATGACTGTGTGTCACATCTGAAAGGGGCTTTACATCGATTATCATCATTTTGCGTGCATATAATCATATAAATCACAAACCTTACAACTGTATATCATTGAGCATAAAAATGGTAGAAGAATGATGCCAAGTAACTGTGTACAAATAACGAGTTATGTTTTCATTCGGCAGCATTACATTGTTCAAAAGTGTGCATGAGTGTAGCATTGTTGAGGGCTTGAGTAAAAGAGACTCAGCGTCCCACTGATAGGGGAGGTAGCAGTTACGTTACCAGCAAATCATGACCCGGTCTTATAATTAGGCCATTCAATGGCCATGTCATCTAGACCTGACAAATCCCTCTCACATTTGTTTGTTTGTCATTAAAAAAAAACACCCAGAGACTGGCTTTTCTCTCTTGTTTCTACTTTTGGCAGCATAGCCACCGTGTGTGTCTGCCTGCTTCAGTGACACCTTGTGCTGCTTGGCTGCTGCAACAGTTTTTGGTGATGCGATGCAGCTCCTTTTTCTTGTCCGGAGTTTCTGATACGGTGACATGCATTTGTTGTGCGTTATTTCTGTGAGATCAAAAGAGCATGTTGCCGGCTATGTGATTCATGCTATAACTAGGATTGATGCTTTTCTTTTGTTTTGACGGAGTACTTTATCATGCATGCAGGCGTGAGGCTTTGTAATAAGTTTAAATATTATGGTGTGTGAGAATAATAGATTTGGTTGCAAAGCCAGATAGAATTTGTATCCTCTTCTCAGTGAACTAAAGTTATCTTCAAGGCAAAATGCTTGATATTTTTTTGTTTTTACAGTTAAGCTTCCCGAGTTGCTGCAGAAAATGGCAATCACGAAGACAAAAGCCGACTACCTTGAAAGATTTCTGAACGGCTTCTTGCAGTAAGTGTATCTAAAGTTCTTTATTGTGTGACAACAAATCTATCTGGCTATGCATGATCTACAATGTTCATGTGTTTCAGATACCTTGCAGGCCGACATGAAGAGCTTTTTAGATCATCTGCTTATCGGGATGCCGAGGAAATTATGGCCGAACTTGAAAAGTACAAAACTAGCGATGATTAACCTTCGTCCTGTGTTGTACATGTATATACAAACAGTTTCACTTGGTTTTGGATGCTCTTGTATACAACTTAATTTTGTGTCGGTGTTGCTGTGAATAAAATGTTTGTTTGATGTGTGTGGCTTAATTGACCATAGAATCCATGAAATTACAAATGATTTGCATTAGAGTGCATGACAGGTGATGAAATTGGTGCCTCCGTGTTGGTGAAGTTTGATATTTTTTTTCTCGTAAATTGTGCCATTAATCATAAAACGAAGTTGACTTTCGGGCTACCTGGTGAGAGGTGCACGAAATATAAAATACTCAATGTAATCTAAAATATCAACTTTTGGACCCGTGACGATCTCTCGTGGAATCACCCATTAGCTTTGACTCTCTAGGATAAATTCAATGTGGCAGTGTAAAGTACATTCCTTATACTTGGGAAACATTGTCATCGGACGCAAACTGGATGTCTACATGTTTCATGGAATCGCATAAGCAGATGCTGGTGTAAACATAAAACACTTTCATTACTGTGTTTTTTGTAGCTGTGTTGCAATTCTGAGATGCTGAAAGGGGTGGGGTGTCACGGAGACATGTCATCTCTAGTGGGCACATGCAGCACTCAATACTACTCGAAATTCTTAAAGCAAGAGCGCCAGCAATTAACCGGCATTGGTTGGAGGACGCTGCGTATATTTCGTCTGTCCTACCACTGTCGCCAACGTCGGCCGCCAGGGCTGTGAAAAAGATGGATGGTTGTCCGATAATAAACTCAATATTTTATCTGCAGTCTAAGGAACAGCTCTAGAGAGCGCTATGAAGACAACAACGCTGAGCTCTCGCACTTCTGCTGTCGAAAAAATATAGTATTGTACATAGTTTTACCGGCTGCCGGTCACAAGTTTTTGGAACGTTTTCGCGGCTTCCGCAGTCTGTGACTCTACGTACGTACTGCACGTTATTCACCCACGCAGGTTATTTGCTCGCTAAGCGAAAACACTCTTGCCATTCTATAAACTGCCTCTGCTTCTGTATGATAACGTCAATCAGTCGAGTGGCTGGCGGCATGCCAGCCTTCGTTGTACCTTCGTGCCTGCTTCGTGCTGTTCACGCAATTTTAGGAAACTCTATGGTTCACGCGTGTCCGCGAAAGGTCTAATCGGCACCGGCATCAAACAATGGCTGCAACCAACGTCGGCTTTCCGGACTTGCCGCAACTGAGAACCGAGCACGAATGAGCCGGCCGAATCTCTTTTCTCTCGTACTGCCTTAACAGCCTTAACTACGATAAGCGCTAACTACGGACCATTGCTATCACAATGGACGTAGGCGAAGTTCGTATCGCTGATGATCGAGATTTCGAGCGCCTGAAGGTTCTGGCCGACAAGCATGACGGCTGGAAAGTCGAGTACAAGAAGAAAGATACGACCGTGTGGACTAAATCAACGCAGCAGACAGAGTTCAAGATGATAAAGGTACGTTGATTGGGCGGAAGCAGCTTAAGGCTAGTCACAGGTTCATATTCGTTTCCGTCATGATGAAGAACATGCAGTTTGTGACGTGTCTTCCTTTCAGCTGCACACCGCGTACAAGGATGTCAGTCCGCCTCTGCTCTTTGACGTGGTGATGGATCCACTGTACCGAAAGAAGTGGGATGTGTACATGCTGGAGAGTCGTGATATCGGATCGTTGAATCCTAACAATGACGTTGGATATTACGCAGGTGACTGGGCAGCGCTGCGTGTTGCGAACTTTGTCGAATTTACTTGTGACGTGATGCCGTGTTTTTCTTGTAGTTCGGTCACCACCTCCCTTCAGAACCGGGACTTCGTCCTCCAAAGATCGTGGCTGCAAACGGATAAAGAGTGGCTCGTAATAAATCATTCAGTGTTTCACGAGGTGAGCTTTGTTTTGCCACGGCTGTCACTTTAATTCACTTTTGCGACTTTTAATTCCCGAGTAATGTGTTGAACGGATCGCTTACTTTCGTGGAACCCGAGTAGATGGGCTTCCACAGTTTTTTTTTTTTTTAGTGCTTGATTAACTATTTGAAGTAAGACTTATCTAGAACATGCACATTTAATAGCTGTTTTAGCAAAACCTTAGAGGCCCGTGCACTAGGCAATGTCAGGGCACGTTCAAGAACACCAGAGGTTCAACATTTCTGGTGCCATCCTTTGCAACATGCCTCCTAATCATATTGTGGTGTTGGCATGTCAAACCCCAGCCGTTATTGAAATATTTTTGCTAATAGTTGTTTTTCCCTACTTCAGTCTGCACCACCAAAGAAGGGCTTCGTGCGGGCCATTTCGTACCTGACTGGACTTGTAATCCAGCCTGACGGCGGCTGTGGTTCCAAGCTGACCTATGTAACGCAGTGTGATCCCAAAGGTAAACATGAAGCGATGTTATGGCTGGCCATTTCCAAAACATTCAGCTACAGCTCAAAGTTTCTACAATAAAACATTCTTTATGCAGGCTCACTACCAGCATGCTTTGTAAACAAGCTCACTCAAATTTTCGCTCCGAATGTAAGTAGGCTGAAGTTACCTCTTTACAGCAGTGCCATTTTGTATAAAAAGCAGTGAGGAAAAGTGTGATGTTCCAGTACATTTACTTAACTAGCTATTCTAACTTTGTAGATGGCAAAGAAGTTGCGAAAAGCTTGCCTGGAGTATAATGAATGGAAGAAAGCTCACCAGCCGAGCTACAAGCCTTGGCTGCACCCTGAACAGATGAACTTGCCAAGATTGGATCTGTACCCGCTGCGTGAGCACAGGACATCAGGAATTGCAGGAGGACATCTTGGATGAAAGTCTCGTCGAGGAGCAGGAGATATGCAGTTTTGAGGACATTGACGACCTGTAGTTGTGCTCAAGTGAGCCTGTTGATTGGGTTTGCCATTGTTTGTTGATGAGAGGTGGATGTCTAATCCAGGGCCATGTCTCTCTTGTCTGCAGCTATTCGGAATTGTTTTAAGAACTGATCGTGTAATACCAAAGCAATACTGAAAGCTACAGTCTACCTGGTGCCTGTTTATGTAGTTAAGTTTTCTAAGAGCCAAGAAACTGCTCATAAACAGTCGCTGTTGACGTAAGCCAAAGATAAGAGTGGCCACTCCTTTCGTGCTAACTTCTTAAATACGTTGGAGCTCTTGCGGTGAGAACATTCTTATGTCGAAGTTTGTGCTGCTTGGCGGAACACCGAGTTTCAAGAAACTTGGTTGTCGAAGTGGTTTGAGCTGCTTTCTGCCGGTGAGTAATTTGTTGATGTGAAATCTGTTGGGAGATGTGATATCACACAGTTTCATTTTTACCAGCACCTGTGATGACATCTAACCCATGTTTCCAGTGTGAATTTTACTCCTATTTTTTTTTCTAACTGCTTGCAGGCCTATGAATGTCCTTGTTCCTTCCCGTCCGAGGCTACAGTTGGAGTGATATGTGATTGGCACATTATTCACTAAATAGTTAAGGTCATTTCATTATATCACACCACTGCCATTAACACATACACTAGCAGTAGCTGGCTGTGTTTGCATTTTAATGCCAGTGCAAAAGGCGCTATAAAAAGGCAGTCATGCAGCTTTTACACCTGCAATGGCTGCACTGTTTGTGAGTCGTGGCTGTGTATGTGGCTTGTGCCTAAGCAAAGAAATCAGGCACTAATTTTTATCTTAACTGACCATTGCAGATCTCTGACATTTCATAAGATTGCGTATTAGCCATTCCTGTTGACTACAATCTTAATTATTGTACACCACATAGTGTGTAATAATGTTCCGTAAAAATAGTAGCCAGCCTTGTGTGCTCTCTTGTTTACCGCTATGCACTCACCACTTTCCTTTGAAGAATAAAGGGGAATCTTCAAATGGCCCCTCACCAGGCATTGCTGCAAATGTTCGGATTTTGCACTGAGCATTGTAAAGCGCTATCTAGGCAGGACTTTTCTGGAACAGATTTGAAAACGATTCTTAATCATACCCTGGTTTATGCCCATGGAATGCCAGAGTTTTTCTTAAGGAGTTCAAGATGTGTGAAGTCAGTTGAAGTGGTGCTCTGTTGGAAGGAATGCACATAGCCTGCCACCTTGGTCTAGTGGCTAAGGCACTCAGCTGCTGACCCACTGGTTGTGTGATCGAATCCTGGCCGTGACGGCCGCATTTTCGAATGAAGGTGAAAATGCTTGAGGTTTGTGTGCTTAGATTTAGGTGCACGTTAAATAACCCAGGTTGTTGAAGTTTCCGGAGGCCTCCACTGTGGCATCTCCCATAATCATATGGTGGTTTTGGAATGTTAAACTCCAATAATTAATTAGGAAATGCACACGTTTTTTTTTTCATTAAATGTAAGATTTCAATCATTTTTTGGACGCACAGCCGTTTCATACTTAGACGGCGGAATCACCACCTCGTTATCTATGCACTTTGTATGTTTGCAGTTCCCCAAATCTGGTGAGGGGTCCTATAAGATGCATGTGAAATTCCTGACGGGAAGGTGGTGGATCCAGCCACTCACTTTAGGGGGGGGGGGGAGGATAGCTTAAAGTAACACCAGAGATGGTCATTACTTTTTTGTTTTTACTAGCACAAAAGCTTTATCACAGCATAAATACTGTTAATGTATGCTCAAAGGGATCCTACTCATTTGCCCTAATGGGTGATAGCAGGTGGAGGGCAAGCACTGAAAAAGAGGGGAGTGGGTGCTCACCTGTGTTGGTTTTGGGAGGGGCGATCGCCCCTACCGCCCCTCCTCTGGATCCGCCAGTGACGCTGGGCATGTAGTATTGAAGCAAATGTATACTAGGTGAGGGATAGCTATGATTGTGTGATGGAGCTAGCATCTAAAGGGGTGTACAATATTTAGGACTGTAGTGTTTCATTGCAGATCTGGGTTATGTCAGGAGATAGCATTGGTAATTATTGGCTTTGGGAAACTAATTAGGTCATAAAGAACATCTCGAAGTGTCCTTGTCATGTGAATTTTTTTGATTCCTAACATTCCTGTGTCTGTCTGTATAGCCACTCTAGTCTATACTACAACATTGCTGTGATGCGAAGCATAAAGGGGTAATTTAATTTCTTTCATTTGCTGTTCAAGAAAACTTCCAAGTTAGATAAACGATTCTACACATGCGTGCAGCCCATTTCTAGACAAAAGGAACCCACATGGCGTCGCTTTCATTATTTGGAAAAAAAATATCTCAAACTTGTGCAAGCTGATGCAAAAAAAAGAAAAGCATTTCACTCAGGCTTGGACACTGTTTTCGATATTTGCCAACATCTCAAGCCATTCCTAAAAACCCATTTGTTTCCACTAAACTGAAAGGCACTATCGGTTTTTGAAAAAATTAACAAGGTGCCATACATGATGTAGGGAAGCACATCACATATTGTCAGAGAAAAGCATGAAATGAAGGTGCGTCACTCCTTGGGAATATTTTGTACATGGCTAATCAATCTTGGGCAAATTCAAAGAGTGGAAGAAGTTTCAAAAGAGAGTAAAACTATCATCTAATGGACAGTACCTTGAAGCAACAGAGAGATACTTTTCCTTTACCTTTATTTCCTTGAATGTTCGTTCTACTGTCTACAAGAAAACTGTCTTTTTTTCTTATTGCCACTATCTACACGTGGTCCTAGTTGGCACATTTATTCTGTTGAAGCTTAGCAGCAGGCGCCCTGTTGTAATCAGCCAAGCATGTCTTACATGCTAATGTAAGCTTACAAACTCACTCTCTTGTAATGACAAAGTGCTGGAGAACAAATTTTGATTAGTCTTGGCACTTGAACGAAGTGCATCTCGTGTGTCTTCCATACATCTGTTGTTAGGATTTCACTGAGTCGTATTTAATGGTTGCATATACTCTCGGAAGTTCCTAAGCACAGTTGCAAACTGCTGTGTGCTACATACTAACAAGTGCATTTTTATTATATGCTGCATTAATTTTACTTTGTTAATTAAGATTGAACCAAAGAATAGCATTTCTGCTATCCAGTTTACATAGCCAGTGGAGTTGGAACATTTAAATCAAAATTGTTGTACATTGCAAAAATCAATTGGCCAGCCAATCAAGTTAGGTCATTGCCCTACCACATTTTAATAACCTCTCTAATATATATTTATTGCTGCATACGAGCTAGAAAAAGTTCGTTTTGTCTCCATAATTTATTAGCTAGATACTGAATGTGTGTATTTTGCGGAAGTGAAACCTTGGAGCATGTTTTATGGTTAGTTTCCTTACCCAACAATCAGATTGAACATGTTCGTGATGGACAGGTGTTTTATTTTATGCAATCAAACCTCAATATAAAGAACATGGATATAGCAAAATACTGTTTATAACAAAGTAAATGAAAAATAGTCCTTGCAGTACAGTATTAAGAATAACCTTTATAATGAATTTTTCGATATAACAAACTTATTTTATTGTAAGATTCTACTTTGTGACAATGAGATTTGAGTGTACCTGGGTGCGGTTTTCGATCGTTTGTGACTGCTTTGAATTCACTGAGTGCATTAACAGACATCTTTGGCTTCACATTATGGCTTCTTTGTTCTCCACGGCTTTTAAGAGTGGAACAGACAGTGGCCAGAGTTTACTATCGGGCAAACTAGTGGAGCCTTGCAATAAGGTCTTGTAACACATTTTTTTAACATAAAAGGTAGCACAAAACCTGTGTGAGAGGCCTGTCAACTGCAGGTTATGATTGACATCTATGTCCTTGCCAGACAAAAGCTATCGAGGGACTTTACAGTTCTAAGCTATTCCTATACTAGTTATTTGCATGGTTTACTCTGCATAAAACTAGACATGTTGCTTCGTGCTGGTGACCTTTGATTTAAGCTCGGTCTGCAATAGTCAGGTTCTGCTTGCACTGCTCTGCTTAGTTACAAAGTGTGGCTGCAAAATGAACACTCCTTAGAAGGTGTGGCACTCCTGTTACTCAGACAGAAAACAATGTCTGTGAATTTCCTTTGCGGTATAAATTTCTTGCATTCAGAGAATCTGTTGAGGTGTAAGTGTCATTAACAGATCGCATAATACTGATTGGTGCAGGCAAATGCCAAAAACACATTGAAGTCATAACTATGCTGCTTGAGATAGCTAAGTTGGCAAACATTCCAGATAAGAGAAGGCAGGCGGGATATACAGCCTTCAGAAAGACAATACGACATTCGGTGTTGATGTTTCTATTCCATGTTTTCTATTCATGTCATTCTATTATGAATTCAACCCTGTCTGTATTTTGTCAAATAGCATGCAAGTCACATTTTGACGACTCTGCTTAGCACGTGAGGGCACCATGTGTTTTATACTAAGAGGTTTATATGGGCTTTTTTTTTTACTCAGGAAGAACAGATTATTACTTTTCTGTGGTATTTCAGTTTGCTCTGCACACAGTAGATAGTACAACTACGATCTTTAAAGGGACTGCTTGAAGGTTTGCAAGGGCTGTGTGGAATAAACGTATTAAATTATAGCAGTCCCAGTGCAGAGGAAAATATTTCAATACTCAACTGTTAAGCTTGTTTTTTAACTATAGCCCTTTGTGGTGTGTAATGCAGTGGTAATTAAGAAATTTGAACTACATGGGAATTACAGGCAGTTAGCAGTTTGGCACTCAGTTTGTTGTTCGGTGATGTTAATTTATCTCTATTTTTATTGCAAACTTCTTAACTTTGATTAGTCAACAGAAGAAGTGCACTTGGCATTCAGTTGTGGAAGTGGTTTAGCAGTGTTACCAAATAATTATCAGTCAAAAAATCATCTAAGCTTTGAGGAGAAAAGTTGTAGAAAGGTTTTTTGGCACTTTAAGTTTGCGATGCTCAGTGTGGCAGGATGATGCGTAAGCTTCACCCCTTCCTCACCTTGTGTTGATGGCTGAAGTTATTGTTCAATTCATTGTATCACCATTCTGAATAAGCTGGACATTTAGAATATAGTTGGACTTAGAACATTTTCCAACTTTTTCGCAAAACTGTTGTGATGCTGACTGAGAAGAGTAAGGGGAACTGAGGGACTCGATTTCAACGTCCTGCGGCTCCTGCATTTGAGAGGATTTTCCACACCCACCTTCATGGCCGCGAGTGAACCTGGCTAACACTGTCAGTGTTGATCTTGGATGCGTAGGCAAATCCCCGAGACATTTTGATGCTTTGACGACTGCTGCAGTTGAGTAACGGTAAAGCACCACATGCTTAAATGCGCAAACGGTTTTGGCTACCATCTGCGACACGTCCACTTTCATTCCCCACGTCAGTTATTTCCATATTTGAATCGACAATAGTGAATGTTTTTCTACATTCCTTGTCACTTTTGTCGTGTATTGTTGAGGATGTTTGTGTGCAAGTCTAGCGTGTTGCGAACAGGCCCAAGCACTGCTATGTGTTGGTAAAGCTGCTTCTGTATCAGCACAGCACCGTAGTGGCACTGCTTCAGTTTTGATGCAAAAGTTCCTTATTCATGTTCCTTGTGCTACGCGTTGTTTTATTGACAACTGGAAGTTTCCCTCCATCGATAACTGTCTCTGGTGTTTATGAGGGAACTTAAGCTTAGAGGGGTGGCTTGCCATTTGCTAGTGTATTGAATTAATGGAATTAGTCAAGCTTGACAGTTTCTGTCTTGTCTCTCACTGCTGGCACTAAGTCTATGTGGACACTGCACGTTTGTTTGCTTCAATCAGAAACTTAAATTGTGTGTCTAGGCTTGGCTACCTCCTCTAGATGCATTGAGCAGTACTTTTGGTGAGAAGGGAAGTGCTTCGGACTAGCAAATGGCAGGTGCTCTCTGTTATGTTCTTGTGCAGTTAAACTTATTGTACCAGACAGAGTGAACAGAAAGTGTACTTGTTCCGTTGTTTTACTTCTATGTTGTCATAGTATTTTCTATATAGTAGAACCTCGTTCATATATGTATATAAAAAACACAATTCACTATAAGAAAAAACTTATCTACTTCCAGGAAAAGTTGTAATGCGAATTCATTAAAACATAGTGCAGTTTCGTTTGATAACGATATCGA